AGCCGAGCTGGCACGGTGGCTACAACTGAGGCTGGAGAGGGTGGTCAGGATGAGACAAACAGCGCACTAGTTGAGAACTTTGACGGCATTGACTGGGCACGTTTACCTGATTTTATCAAGCCATTGGCGCGTTCTAAGCGCCCAAAAAGTTGGATCTTTCAGTATGGCTACCGCGTTGTTGAGCGCCATGCTACATCTCGAATCTGGTTTGTGTGCAAGTACTGCCATGTACACAAAACTATCGACGCTGGCCGTGGTGGTTTGTTTAACATTACTCAGGCTACAACCTCAGCAGCCACCCATCTCAGCCAACCAAAGCCTGGCCACAACCTTACGAAAGATGGCCCAAAGTTAGCGCAGAGAGCTCGAGGCCAGCTGTCGTTGCGGCAAGCTTTTGACGCTGGTTTAGACGTACAACAAAACACTGCTAACGCGTTTGGAAACTTCGACGTAGAGGGCTTTCGAACAGCCACTGTCATGTGGCTTGTTAACCGAAACCACCCGCTCAGCGAACTTACGACGCCTGATTTTAGAGAGATGATGAGATTTGCCAACCCAGAGGCAGAGGCAGCGTTGTGGGTAAGTAATACCAGCGTTTCTACCTTTGTGATGAGGTTGTTCCGGTCTATACGACCGCAAGTTATCGACACCCTGTCAGGCTCAGTAAGCAAAATACACGTAAGCTTTGATGGCTGGACAACAAAGGGTGGTAAACGTGGCTTCTTTGGAGTAGTCGCTCACTTTGCCGACGCAGCTGGAATAATACGAGACTTACCAATCGATCTGCCTGAGCTCGCTGGCGCCCACACCGGTGAGGCTATTGCCAAAGCTATCTCGACGACGCTCTCAGCATACGGAATAACAAGCGACCGATTAGGCTATTTTGTACTCGACAACGCTACCAACAACGACACTGCGATCGCCGCGCTCGCGCGCGAGTACGAATTTGAGTCCGCTCACCGGCGCCTCCGCTGCAGTTGTCACACGCTTAACCTCATCGGCCAGGCTATTATATTTGGCACCAACAAAGACGCCTACGGCAACACTCAAGAGCAGTACAATACCGAGGAGCAGTATATGCGAGAGTGGCGGAAAGATGGCCCTATTGGAGTGCTAGTTGACGTCATCAACTATATCAAAACGCCGCAACAGTACGAGCTTTTTCGTGGCTACCAGCGCCTTGCCAACAACAACCTGCCTGCTGAAGGGCGTCTCAAAGTACTCGAGCCAGTCAAGCCTGTCGTCACTCGCTGGAACTCATACTATGCTGCTTTTGAGCGCGCTACCAAGCTTCAAGCCGCGTATAACTTGTACGCTGAGCATCATATCAATAGGGTTATCCTTGAAGATGCGCACGCTGCGCAGCGGAATAATAAGCGGCCCGACGCCCCAAACTGGATGAGATCAACTGGGCTCCGAGCTGCTGACTGGGCGGTGATTGCAGAGTACCAGGACTGCTTAGAGCCGCTCAAGTACGCCACAAAACGCCTCGAGGGACGCTCTAAGGATGGCAAATACGGCGCAATCTATGAGGTTATACCCGTTTTTGAGTACGTACTCAGCAAGCTTGAGGCCCGGGCGCGCCCGTTCGAGCACGTCGACTTCAACGCTCATGCCGAGGCTCCAGAGGATCACCTCAACGTCAACCTCCGCGCCGCGTGGAGCAAAGCCAACGACTACTACAACAAGCTCGACGACTCGCCCGCTTACTACGCCGCTGTTTGCCTACACCCGTACTACAAGAACTACTGCGATGTGGCGTGGGCAGACAAAGCTGATTGGCTTACTAGTGCCAACGCGTCGTTCCAACAGCTTTGGGCGGCATACAAACCTCAACGAGCACGCCAGCGGTATACAACTGCGCCGAGTAGCAACAACATAGACGAGGCAATTATTGCTATACTTAGCCGCAACAATGACCGAGAGGCTCCACTTGACGAGTTTGAGCGCTGGAAAACACAAGAGCCGCAGTGGACGCAGGAGCAGTACAACGCAGATGGAAATCCTGTCCAATACTGGATACAACTACTGCCGAAATACCCGCATTTAGCGCAGTTTGCAATCGATATCATGACTATCCCAGCATCAAGCAGCGACTGTGAGCGCCTCTTCAGTGAGCTTGGCGACCTTCTTGAACCTAAACGACGTGCTCTGGGCAGTGAGCTACTCGCAGCTCTTCAATTAGTAAGGTCATGGGTGCGAGCTGGTTATAAACCGTACAACTGTAGCGAGGCTAAGCTTTCAGATGAGCAGCTTGTAGGAGATTACAACATACTAGAGTGGAACACTGAGTTTTGGTAATTTGTATGTAGCTTAATCTCTTTGTAGTAGTCAAGTAATCCAAGTACTTGCAAGTAATACAAGCAAGTCAAGCAAGTAAAAAAATCACCCCAAGCAAGTCAAGTAAAGCCTATGTTTGAACCAAGCAAGTCAAGTTTAGAGCGGTGACTTGCTTTACTTGCTTGTTGGAAAGTCTGCCTTCAGGGATATGCTGGTGGCTGGAGCGACATGAATCTCTCCTCGCAATCGATGCCCAAAGTAAGAGCTGGCGTGTTTGGAACCGGCTGGTCGTGGCGGAAGTAGCAAGAGAGCGTCCGGTCATGTTTTATTTTAGGAGACTGTACAATCTTGCCATGGAGAGAAAGCAATTCCGGTACATCTTTCCTGTGTTCCGTTATCTGCACTTTATGGGTTGCGAATGCGTATGTCAGGACGCTGGATTTGCGCTTTGTAACTAATGAACGAAAGATAGCTACCGTAGTCAACGACAGAGAGCACAAAGTCTAGAACTTGAAATTGATCAGCAGTATGGAGCCTTCTAATGGAGGCGAGTGGTACCATGGCCAAACCAACCACGACCGGATTTCCGCCTATGTCTTTCTCTGCGCAAAGTATCTCAGGCCCGTGAGTAGGATCTCCCGGCAATTGGTCCCGTCAAAAGCACGAACGAAAGTTTGAACTCAGAATCTCTCCGAGCCTTCCGTTGCTGTCGTCTAAACCGTCTCGTAGCTTCACGCCAGGTGGAGCCCACCGTTGCTGCAGCTCTAGATCCACTTTTCTTCGCTGTCTGAACAGCTCATCAACGTGCTCCTGCTTTGCAGCCATCGGCTGTTTAACAACAACATCCTCGCCCGGCTTACACCCGAGACGATCGTCAGATGGTGTTTGTTGACCCGTGTGTATTATGACACCATATCAACATCTGGATCAGCTGTGAGATCTTCAGGAGTACCATATGCTTTAGCATCAGCGAGCATGTCGTATTTTTGGATTCGCAGAGTTTGCAGCATTAACACAGCTTTTCAGTAGAGCAGCGATTGCAATCTTGGAGCGTCCAGTCGATGTGAGGATTGCAGGTAAGCAGCGAAAGACCAGGATACGTTGGCCGAGTAAGACAGCCGGATGAGCGCTGCTTGAACATGACGGGTCCTGGAAGTCATGTTGTTTGCGTTATTTTTAATTGTACGCTCGTGGCATGTCGATCGTGGGTGTAATACTAGTCGATGACCAATGTCTCATGCTGTGTTGGTTTGTAAAACCGATGTATTCATGATCGAGGTCTCACCGAGGATTCGCAAATCTGCAACGACTGCATTTACCTGCCTAGGTAAACTGGTCGTGAGAATGAGCACGTATGCTACACTTGCTCTAAATGAGACCGTGCGTACGCCTCTTGACGATACGGTGGTCACAATGCGACTGCCGTGGAGCGGAGAAACTTCCAAGGCCGAAAGCATTTTGTAAGTAGGTACTGCCTTTGAAGCGGCGGATGTCACTGCTTGCTCTGCTATTCCCCTTTAGTCCTGACCTAGTATATAGATCATCAAAACACAACGCCGCGATTTACAAACTGCACTGGTCGATCGCAACAAAACCCTAACAGACATCAATGGCGGAATTCGCTGAGGTGAAGTTTGGCATGACATGACAAGGTCATGACGCGTCCACCCCAGTCCTATTCGCATCCCTGCTCAGCCTCTACATCCCTACGGGATGCTACTAGCACTCTCGAGGGAAGACGGTGTAGTATCTTCCTTCAAGCCCCGCAATGGTCAAACCCCCACATCATCTCAGTCTGATCTGATTTTCAAAATAGAAGTGCGCAAGTTGAGTCACAGAAGAACACCACGGATGTGCAGCCTCGCGGCCTTTTGGCAACGTGTGAGCACTACCAGCATTAACACTCCTCTTTCAAGGTACTGAAAGATGTTTGAACACAACGCGTGTACTATGTCTTGAAGGTTTGGCCGAGAGATTTGGTAGCAGGGTGTGCTGACATGGAAGTGGTTCTCCAACCAGTCGGGACGTGAGGCCCTCGGCGTTTACCCTGCCCCAACGCCGAATTTTCGGGCGATGCGTATTTACATCAAATGCGATCCAGGTTGTCGGGCCGTAAATGTTGTGTGGCTGACTTGAGACCGAATCGGGCTTACGTAGCATATGAAGATGTGTGAGCAACAACAGTTAAGTTGCGAAAATTCCTACAGCAGACACTTAAAACAGGTTAGTGGTCGATGATATCATAGCATATGGCCGGTACTAGGAAAGTTTCGGATGACGCTACACGGGTGCGCCGGTACAGCAAAAGCGACGCTGGAGCACCGGAAACAGACTGGTGCTCCCGCTAAGAGGCAGACTACATTCACCCTAGCGTCAGTGATCAGCAGCCCCGGCTGTCAGCTAAGCCCTGTTAATGCCCCATCTTGGACGTCAAGTATATGCGCATGGCTGGGGCATGTAAGGTGTCCCGGGCGCGTAGCTTGTTGCTTCCTTCATATTCAACGGGGGACCCCTTCACCATCATTACTCTTTCGTCATTCTTTCCTTGAGCGGGCCTTCTTTCGTTTTTCCGCTCAAATCCATTAGAACCTGTATATTGAGCTATTACCTCAACGCCTTCTAGTGGGCACTATCCAGCGTCATACAGATTCCTCGGCCCCCGCCGCTTTCGCTTTTCGTTCTCTTCTTTCTAGATTTCCGCAAAGATGGTGGGACCCATGATGTCCTTCAACAAATTAGGCCTCACGAGCGGCCTCTTCATCGCGATATGTCTCCTAATAATTTCAACATCGGCCGGCCTGCACATGGGTGGAAGTGACGTCCTGGGAAAGATCAAGGAATCAGCAAAGGACACGAAGAACCATCTGTGTAACAGCGACAAGCTGGGTTCTGGAGACTCTATTGGCAGCGCATTCTGGAAACTTTACGAACATATCCGGCATCCGATTGGAGAATCTACATATAAGGATCAGGGAGGGAGGATCCATGGGGTTCATGAAGATGCGCCATGGTGGACAGAACCACTAAAGAACCAAGTGTTGATCGTTGATATCGATACGAGAATTCCGAACAAGAAAGGCGCGTTATGGAACGAGACTCGCATGGACTGGGAGACTTTGAGTGCAGAGGGTTACCAAGGCGTGGGTAGCGCAAGCTTCATGAATCATTTCTATTATTGTTCGTACCACGCTGGACTACTATCGACGCATGCATACTGACATACTACAGCAAAAATACACGGCTACGACTACAAGTTCATCAATGCACATGATATGGGAGAGGGCATACACAACACATGGGTCAAGCCACACATTCTCTATGCGCTTCTCAAAAGCTACAAATTCGTCGTATTCATTGATGCCGACGCAACATTTCAACACCTCGAAGTACCACTCGAATGGCTCTTCAACCGATGGGGAATCACACCAAAAACCAGCGTTGCAATGCCTGTCGACACACGAGAAGACCGTGATGGCGACACACACGTATCAGAAGACAGCCGCGGCAGGACAGTTCTCAATTCGGGCTTCATCGTTGCACAGGCCCTCCCTTATACTTTCGACATGTTCACAGCATGGAAAGAATGTCCGACAGGGACCCGCTATCCCGATTGCAATCATTGGGCGGACGTCTGGTCTCACGAGCAAAGGGCGTTTTCGGAATACATCCGCTACGACTTCAACCCCAACGGCACCAACATCGTCGAAATCGCATGCGACGATGCCATGGGATACCCTGGGATCATTGAAAACGAAACGATCGTGAGCAATTGCACAGGGCAATTCATCAGACATCACACTCTTGACAAGTCAATGACGAAGAAGAGCACCCAGATAGCTATGATGCAGAGTCTAACAGACCTGCTGCATCAGGAGCTGCACGATAACAACAATACGTACATGGTCAAGGAGAAGCAAAATGACACTCTTGTGGCTAATCACAAGAGTTCGTCGGTCAATGATTTGGGGAAAAAAGGGATGGAATAATTCCTTTTGTTTGAAACCGGAGTTTTGGCAAAGTGCGTTAGCGCATCGCATGTTGGACAGATATACCTGTATTAGATACCCTGACGTTTGAGAATATTCTTTGTGCATAAATTTTATTACATGCGATGACACAGACATCTTGTCTTGCTAATGCTTCTTGTCCATGTCGTTCACGCTGTGGTTGGCGCTTGCCACTTGGTTCCACCGTCCAACCGATCGCGTGGTTTTGGCGAAAAGAAACAACTTCTAAGCTACGGACTTTCTTGACTTTATCGACTGAACTACATCACAATCCATCACAGATACAGCACCCTCATTGCCGAAACCCCTCGCATACATGTATCTGTTGGAACGCTGAGTGTTGGAGGCTGTGCGATCAATGCACGCAAGGAAAAAGGCGTTAACACCATCATGTAGGGTAAGAAACAGACAGCAATTTGGTCAAAGGTGCGAACTTCCCATGTGGGGCACCAGAGCTCTGGAAAGCTGGGTAGGATTGATATCGTACTCGCGGGTCTATCGGCGAAAGTGCTCATGCAGAAGTTGTGGCACTGACACTGACATCGGTAGGACAAAGCCGTATCCCCAAGTGACGAAAATTGGAGCACAGCAGCTGAAAATGCTAGTCGGTTTGCAACGCTCGGGTCAATCACAACTGTGAGGTTGAACAGAACTCCATCAGAAGCCGCCATATCAACTGGCTCCCTTCTTCACCTTGATCCTTGAGCTGGCAACTTCAGGCCCTGTAACTCTTTATTCAAGAGCGAACACGCCAGTGATATCTAAGACTTCAGTGCGGTCTCTACGTCAGAGCGCATGTACTTTAGAGAATGTGTACTCAAGGATCCAAGGCTTTGTTGACGACCATGTAGCAACTTATGCGCGAAAGATACATGGGCTGTGTTGTTCCCAGATTACCTGAGAAAACGGCTTTCCTCAGAGATGTGGTGCGCCTGTATGTCTCCAGTGAAGTGGGCATACACTCGGTGATGAGGATGTAGTTTCGCTATGGGTCAGAAACGGGCTTGTGATTTGATTCTACTTTCGACTGTCGTCAGACGAGTCTAACACAAGATGTGGGGCGTCGGCATTGTTCATCTCATGCTCCACTTCGGCGTTCTTTCGGTAAGATTGAAGTCCACGCCAATACGAACTTTGGAGCGCGACCCGTAGGACGTATTGCGACAAATCAACGAGCGAAAATGGATACTCTGGATGCACAGTCACCCCAAGTACCGCGTTGTCTCGCTTCTGTTCGAGCCCTTCGCCAACGCAAACGGGCTATCTCCAAGCACCTAAGGGACAGAGAAGCGCAAAATACTGTCCGGCGCGAACCGGCCAATTGTGAGGATGTGGAGCACACAGAAATCGCCACCAAAACATACAGTGCAGAACTGGAGGAACGACTTCACGACCTGCAAGCTCAACTGCAATTGCACGAGGGCGTTCATAGGGAGTTGAATACTACAAATGAGAGACGACGCATCCTTCAGGAGCGACTGCGGGAGCGAGAACTTACTCTGGAGGAGCGAGATTCTACCATTGACGAGCTCGATGGAAAGATATATGCATTAACAGCGAAAGAAAAAGTTCAATCGCAAAAAATCGAAGAGTTAGAACAGGACCTTAAGCGGGAAATGTGGAACCAACTGGAGCTCAATGATGCTCACCTAAACCTCCAAGAGGAATTGGAGAATGCGAAAGCGCAGATTCAGTATCTGACGACACAGCTGAATGCAGCTGAACCTGCGCAGCAAGTGTTCAAGGATGAAACGGCAATTCAAGAACTACAACACATGCCACATGAAGGTTTCGCGGCTTTCCAAAGTCCTCTGGCTACGACATGTTTTGTAGAACCTACGGGTAGCGGGCAACCGAGGCATGGCATCAGTATACCTGGTTATCGAAATAAAGCGGCTGAAATAGGCTACATAAAAGAAAAATATACTGCCGCGCTCGAACAACGCCATGATTCGCATCAACCGGCGCTGCACTTTGGGGGCAATACTCACAAGATGGCGATGGATAATGACAGCCAGGACACCACGTCAACTAGCCCCGAACTTGAACGCCCGTCAAGAAGCAGAGTGTTTTCAGTCCAGGAGCTGGTGGAAGATTCAGTCTAATCGTCTCGGGCCCATTTAGCGTAAGGCATTTGGTGCTATGCCGGGCACGACAGGAAATACAGAGCGGCCGAACAGCTGCACGCGATATTGCCTAGCCTGGGTCTTTCCAAACAGACGCAATGCACAGAAAGCGACTATTATCTTCCAACGGGGTAGTCATCTCGAGAGTCACAAAGCGAGAGGAACAGTACGCCCATTGTTCGCTGGGAACGACAGTGAATGTCACTTCCTTCAAGACCTCTGGCCGACCAAGCTTCAGATTCCTTGCAATTGCTTACACCAAGCCAACAACATGTATCAGCAATGCAGGCACGTCTATATATTTGGGAGTTACTAAGCACGCGTATTCTATCGTGTTTTCAACATCTGGTCGTGTCGGACGACGTAGCGCACTTAGGGCCGTTTTAACTATGCCCAAATAGGGTTAAGCAGGGCGGGGCTTCATGAACGAGACCGAGGCACGTCAGGGTGAGCGCGCTCGTGAAGAAAGCTTATAGACTGCCATTGGCATCTCCTTAGCCGCAAATCCGAGCCGTGTGTCTCCGCAACGCCTTCAACTTGACGTACTCGACGATATACCGGATTACGACACTGTCGACACGACACAACACAATGGCAGAACTCACCTTTCAACACACGCCCATGGACGACATCGCGCCAACATGCGCAAAGGTACGAGCTACGTTTCTTTCCCATAAGACTAGGCCATTGGAATTCCGCATTCAGCAATTGCGTAAGCTCTACTGGGGGTTCAAAGACAATGCAGAGCTTATCAAGGACGCGTGCAAGCGCGACTTGGGTAAGTCGGAGTATGAGACGTATCTGACGGAGACGTCTTGGTGCATGAACGACTGCATCTGGATGGCAAACAACGTCCACAGGTTCGCCAAGGACGAGAAGGCGACAGATATCCCATGGACCAACATGCCCCTACGCCCGCATATCAAGAAAGACCCATTGGGTACCGCGCTCATTATTGGGTATGTCGCTCATTGAACTAACGTCTGCAGACGTATTGACAGAAATAGTGCATACAACTTTCCCGTCCAACTCACTCTCGGACCTCTCATCGGTGCCATCGCAGCAGGATGCACTGCCGTTGTCAAGCCCTCGGAATCCGCGCCCCATGCCGCCGCCGTCATCGAGAAGATTGTGCGCGAATCGCTCGACCCGGACTGCTACGCATGCATCCAGGGTGCCGTACCTGAGACGACCGCTCTTCTCGATCAGAAGTGGGACAAGATCTTCTATACAGGCGGCGAGATGGTTGCCAAGATTATTGCGAAGAAGGCAGCCGAGACGCTCACGCCCCTTACATTGGAGTTGGGTGGAAAGAACCCCGCCATTGTCACAAAGCATGCGGATCCGAAGCTCGCGGCAAGGAGGCTGTTGTGGGCCAAGACACTCAATGCAGGCCAGGTCTGCCTCAGCCACAATTGCACTTTTGTAGACCGCGAGATCCTGCCGGCCTTCATTGATGAGATGAAGAAGCAGCTCCAGGAATTCTACCCGCAGGGTGCGCGCAACTCACCCGACTACGGTCGCATTGTAAACCAGCGCCAGTTCCAGCGCATAAAGAAGATGTTGGATGACAGCAACGGCAAGATTGTCATTGGCGGCACAATGGACGAAGCCGACCTCTTCATCGAACCCACCGTTGTGCAAATTAGTGACGTCAATGACAGCATGGTCACTTCCGAATCTTTCGGTCCTCTCCTACCCATTTTACCCGTTGCCAACCTCGATGAAGCCATCAAGATCGCCAACGAGATCCACGACACACCCCTCGGAACCTATGCCTTTGGTACCAAAGCCGAGATGAACAAGATCATAGCCGAAACGCGTAGTGGTGGTGCCTCGCTCAATGATGGCTTCTTCCATGGTTCTATCCCCACTTTGCCTTTTGGCGGTGTAGGGACAAGTGGACAGGGAGCTTATCGCGGTAAAGCCAGTTTTGACACTTTTACACATCGCAGGAGTGTCACCACGACCCCTGCATGGATCGAGGGCCTCATGGCTGTCAGATATCCCCCTTACACGGCCAAGAAGCAAAAGGAGTATACAAAGATGAACGACATCAAGCCCAACTTTGACCGCCAGGGCCGCACGATTGGGTGGGGGGCATGGTTTATTGGTTTGCTCGGTGTAAAGAGTTTGGCGGCTGTTGTTGGTAAGTGATAGAACTCTTACGAGTATGGTTTCATGGCTAACAAGACACAGCGGCAGTTGCGATAAGGGTCTACCTGCAGCGAAAGGCAAAGTTGTAGACAAGCCTTGCAAGATCAGGTGAGGGACCAAGTTCCGTGTAGTGCGTGTAGTTGGTACTCTGTGTACATGATCCGGGCAGTGCTTGATGCACATTTTCCCTGTTCCCCTCTTATCCATCTCATATGTTCTACTGATTCTATGATTTACACAAGCTACGGCTATATCTTTAACAATACTATTCTACTGAATCTTCTTGTTCTCTTCCCCGTTATGTAAGCTCTTATAGTCTCCTCTACTCACCCTAGGCATCACCGAGCACAGCTTTTGACGCCATCAAACATCCTGTGTGCTTGTCCCACACCCCCTAGACTCAACAATAACCCTTCTTGTCTATCCCCAAGCAAACCCCCCTGTCTCACGCTTCCCCCTCTCACACCCCACAAACAACTCCTTGACCATCGTGCTTGCGTATATATTCTCGTCTACAAATCCACATACCCCCATCCGAAACAATAACTCTTCATCATCACCTCGAAAAGCTAGAAGACAGGGTAAAAAAAAAGTATGGTAACCTACAACCATTACGACAGCGCCAGAAACGTCATTCACAACCGCTACTACTACACCCCTGCCCCACACCCACAGCCGCACTGGCACCAAGGACCTATATATAGCAGCACCGGTGAGGCCAGGAAGACTAAACTCGTGGTGCCGGAGTGGTATAGACCAAGTGCTGAAACAATCCGTGCGACTACTACATCTACATCTACGACTTCTTCTTCATCTCTTGGTGCTACGTCTGGCTTTTCGTCTAAGGCAGCAACAGCGGAAGCAGAGGCAGAGACTTATTGGCGCAGTGCTGCGTATACGTATGAGACTGGTAGGGGGTGTGGAGGTGGGGCAACGCCGGTGTGGTTTACGAATGAAGCTTCTGCAACTGCGTCGGCGCGTAGGATCAGGGCTGAGAAGGATACAGCGGCCGAGGCGGCACATAGGAGTTTGGTGAGAGATATGGTGTATGGGACGTATGCGGTGCCGGCGCCATCGTCGTTAACGGGAGGACGGTCGCTTAGGGGGAGGAGAGAGGAGTATTTTGTGGGTGTGGATGATGTTAGGGGGTTGGTTGTTGAGGCGGGGGGGAAGGGGAAGGGGAAGTTTGTTAGGAGGAGGAGGGTTTGATAGGGAGGGTGAGTGGGAATGGCAAGGGATGATGGGTTAGAGTATTTGTTCAAGGGTAAGGGGTGGAACAGATATTGTATCACAATCATCACTGGTAATAGAAGAGTATTCGATTTGCAAAAGTATGAACATGAATTCATCTACTGACATACACGAAGAAACACCATCATCATCACACCATCTCCGATTCCCTCCTCTACCAATCCAACCCCTTTACACGTACTTTACAGTAACCTGCGAAGCACTGTTAATAGCAACATCAGTGTAAACGGTGTTACCCTGCTTAAGATCAATAATAGTAGCGCTGATCAGACCCTCGGATCCACCAGTGCTAAGCCCAGCACTAGCACCAGTGAAGACAACCGTGCCAAAGTTACCCAGCGCAACCAAGCTACCACCAGACTCAAAGTCCTCTACAATCCACTCTGCGTTCTGACGGCACAGAGTCGAGCCGCTGGGCGCACTCAGCGTCTGGCTAACGCTCTTTCCGGTGCTCACGTTGGTGAGCTTGACAGTGCCCCTGGTGGTGGAAGTAGCGACAATGTCGACTTGGATGACTTGGCCGGCCTTGATGGGGAAGTTGCTAAAGTCGTAGGCGTAATCTGGGTACCACTCGTACCATGCGTCGTAGGATACGGCACCGTTGCTGGAGACGGTGAAGTCGATACCAGCTTGGAGGAGGCCGGAGCCGCAGGTATCGCCGTCGATACCGACCCAGGCTGAGGCAGCCTGGTCGCCGCCAGAACCAACGTGCTTGGGGGTGGGCACAGTGAAGCGGCCGGTGGCAGTGGTGAAGTAGCCGGATGAGGGCTGTTCGAGAACAGCACCGGACCAGTTGGATGAGTACTGGACATGGGCAGTGGTGTTGTCGGCAGACTCAGCAACAAACTTGGCGTCTTCCTTGGTGGTAGTGCCGACCTTGATCATGGGCTGGGTCCTGTGGCGAACGGTACCCTCGGCGCGGGCCTTGACACGGGCAGCGAGGTTGGAAGAGGGACGGGCAACGACTGAGCCGACGATGGCGGTGAGGAAGGCGATGGAGAGCTTCATGGTGAGTAATGTGTATGACGATATTTACAGAAAGTAAAAGCGAGGGAATCGGAAGAGAAGGTTGGCTGAGAAGGCTCCTGGGTAGTCTTGCTGCGATGCTGTGAAGATGATGCACACTCTTCAACTACAGCTACCACTGCCCTTTATATAGGTATCCTCAGGAGGCTCTTCAGTCCTAACATAGCTTGATCTCATGGCATGGTGTACGCCGGTCCTGAGAGGTCAAGTTCAGCATGTGTTGATACCTTCCTAATCCTGCTCTGGTCCAGATGCACTCGGGTCCAGGTGATATCCTGACCCTGCTCAAGGCGAAGAACGGGCTTCGGTGTCCATCAGATAGATTGGCAAGTATAATAGCCTCTCTATTGGCTATGGCAGGTGATCTCCGTCGGGGTTTGTGTCTGTGGCGGCAAGGCGTAGACAGGGTAGACAGCTCTGCATGCGTGGTAAGGTAGATGATAGGTATCAAGAAGTGAAATCGAGTACACTCAACCTTCTGGATTCAGCGGACGGCCTCGGCGCATGGTGTAGTGGCGCCTTCCTTACTGGGCGAACGATTCCGAGCTTTATTTCCATCACGTTTCGGCATCTAAAGTAGTGCATGGATGGCGTGGAATGAACACACTTTGCGTACCTGTAAATCAAAACGCCACTTCTGGTTGAAGATTCCTTTGAAAACTACCGTACATCCCACATCATGATCTCACGATTCCCCAAACGCCCAGACCTACAAATTGCACAAGGTCTCGGCATTGTGTCGCGCGCAGGCGCCTCCCGCCCCCATCCAACAATATCAAAAGCCGATGTGAAAAACCGCATGCAGGATATATTAAGTGTCCGAGAAAGCTTGTGCGTGCTTATCAGTTGGTGTGCCACTTGGCAAGGGTGCGTGTGGATTCTGCTAGCCCTGAATAGGCAGTTGGTGATGCGAAGCGCCCTGATACCAATAGTTGCGACATATCCAAGCCTTTTTGCATAAGAAAACCAAGAAAAGCTTGTATGCGCTTGGTTATCCTTCGGCCCCGAGTGCGCGCATTATGGAAGGTCTCGTAAGGACCTGTTGGGTTTGATTGGATCCTCGTGTGGTCGGTCTGTGGTATACGATGGGTGTTTAGCCAATGGCGGGAATTTCGTGCTGCACTGATTCCGTATCGGTAGGAGCCGAGGTGGAACTCTTGGCATGTTAGGTATACTATGGAAGTACCTGGCTATATTGAGGACTGATGTCTTCCGTGTTACGCCCAGTCCGACTCTGGCGATCTGAGTACATGATTTCTGTTGGGGTAATGAAGAATAACACCATGTGAAATTTTTGGTACTTAGTCTGATCTATACTGCTATATATGCTAACAACTTTGGACCAAGACTTGAAAATATTGTAGTGCTGCAGAAATTTGGGTATACGGGTTGTCAATACAACTGTTCCGCGGCGAAGCACGCCTTCAGGCCACACCATACTTAAGTCATCCTATGGGATTTGTATGGTATCTGATGATTAAACAGAGGAATTAACAATAACACATGTACAAAGTCACCAATACCGATGCTGAAATCCATTTTCAACTATCAAATGCGAGTATCTCCTTTACTTCCGCCACCTTCATATCCTTAGATAGATTAGATAGACAAGTGTAAAACGGCCCGGTAGCGCTCCTATCAAAACTATGTTATATACGGTTCTTCAGTTTTGATCACCGAGGTTGGGTACAGTGCCCCTAGATATCCGGACTCGTGCTGATCAAACTGGAGTTTCTTCATAACCCCAACGAACGCCTCTTCCGCACCATCCAGGAAGACTGCACCCATAATTGCCTTGGTCATATTCGCCAACGTTTTCTCAACCATAAGAGGGAACCTAAGATCCGCAAAAGTAAACATTTTAGGATTGCGAAGACAGGAATCCAGGGATAAAGACCTCGCCAAGTTCGCCAGTGCAGTTAAGCCCAACTTATCATGTGTGACCATAGTCCATTCGGCTGCCGATTCTTGACCGTAGAAATCCGGTCTGAGGGACCACCAGTTGCACAAGACATTCGCCATCTTTACAGAACCTATGACGGCAAGAGAATCGTTCACGAAGCCAGGTCCGAAAGGGTTTTTCGCGTGTTTGATTGCCCGGAAAGCGTTCGCCTTGTTCATGAACGTGTAGCCGAGTTTTTGTTGTGCAGTTTCGGTTATATCGTCGGGGCTCACGGAGTCCAGCATAGGGTCTGTCATGTCAATTGTCTGTCTTTGGAATTGTTGTATCTATGAGACGGTTGATGCGAAGAGTTGAGGTTAGCAGGTGTCCTTTGGGCTGCCTTTATGAAGAAGCCAATTGCTTGATTGCTCGATAGTCAATTGCGTACTGGAAGTTGTTAGGATGCCTCGTGGTGGAATAATCACCCGGCTGACGGCTGATTCAGCTGTCTCCAAGCACGTTGACAGCTAGTAGTAGTCTGATTCCGTATAGAAGGCATCATCCTTGTTGGGCTGTCGTCGTCAAAGACGTCATCCTTTTACATGACGCCACATCCGATTTACTGTTCAGGTACAACGAGCGTAGTCGTGTGCTCGCTGATTGTGTCGCTTGCGTGGGGACCTTTATTCTGGCCAGTTCAACGGCCCGTTCGGCCCTTTTGCAACAAACTCTGCAGTGTGAGCAAGGTCCACGGATGAATTATAGGGGCACGAGCAGACAACCCATACGTCAATGGCGGGCAGTGTCTTAGTTGTAGTCGCGGGAGTCAAGCGGCTAATGTACAGATGGCAAAGTCATCTGGGGCTTAGATCTCGATTGGAGTCGAGCTGAAGGAGGAAAGGATACGCGTCAATACCCCGCCGCGCAGACGAAGGAGTGAACATGTGGCGGTGTACCGCGAAAAGAGGGTCCAGAGCTGCGCCACATGGGGCTGATCTGCTACCCTTGGCCACAAGAAGCTGCATCTGCAGGGGTAGGCAGCTGAACAGGCCCAAACCTAAACCCCTTCTCCACGATATCACAGTACACGTCACATGTCTTTTGCCGGCACGTCTATGGGATTGGTCGCACGCGTAATCTAGATGGCGCCGTCGGTGAGACTTGGATCTGTGGCTTCCTTCTAGGCGGTCGATTTGCGCAAGGATGGGACATTGCAGGCCATCCCGTGTCATTGAAGCTAATGAATCTGAGGAGATAAGCCCGACCCAGGTCCTTTGAGAAACACAAGTGTTGGATATGGTTACTGCTGTGTATGCTGGCCAAGCACAAAGACATGGCGGCGTCTGTGTGCTATAATGGCTTTTTGCTATGTGACTATGACGTCTGTAGCTCGAGGAATCCGGAGCCAAAGACGGAACTTGTAGTGATTGACGTAATGTGTGCACTGTTTTCTTGTTGATCTGCCAGCGAGGCTGGAGCTTGACAATGGTCCCAAGAGATACCAACTTGTAACCAGACGCATGACGCGAATCACGTCTTGCTTTTGCCGGCTCGGTAGTTCCGGTAACCCTGGTCGCGCATCACAGTGTCATGTCCCTCACATGTGCTTGTAAACGCCTGAGCGGGTCGACATGTCCACGGCCAGGCCGACAAAGGCTGGTGATAGAGGCTGGTGATGAGTCGAGTGCGAGCAATATTGTGCCAGGGTCCAGGTGCTCGATGCAAGCAGCGATCTGGGGGTGGGCAGAGGCTGGTAGCGTGTTGGACACAGGTCGCAATAGGGCCGATTCGGGCTGGGTGCATGGGCCACGAACGTCACACTAGAGCCTGGCCACGGACTCCTGGATAGCGCCCGCAGTCCTGTTTATTTGTATCGCGTACAGGGAGCCTTTCAATCTCCTACCGGGCATCTTCCTTTGTGAATTTTCCCTCAATCTCCTAGGGCGCACGCGACTGCCCATTTACTCACCATGTCGACCACAGTAAGTTGAAGATGAATTGCGACAACAAGACGTGCGTGTGCTGACAGCAACAAAGGGTGGTGAAGTTGGCAAGGCCAAATCAGAATCTTCAAACTCCCTCTCCAGCTTGGTCTCGACCCTCATACCCACTGCCATCATCGCCTTTGCCTTTGTGGCTGCCTTCTTCGTTGCGCGCAAATATTTCCGCAGGGTTTACGCGCCGAGGACGTACCTCAATCATCTGGGGCAGCAGCGACAGACGCCAGCACCGAGTCCGGGCTTCTTTGGATGGGTGAAAGACTTCAAAAACCTCAAGGACGAGTACATTCTCGATCACCAATCGATTGACGGCTACCTCTTTGTCCGCTTCTTCAAACTCCTCATCATTACCTGTTTTCTAGGATGTTTGATCACTTGGCCCGTGCTCTTCCCCGTCAATGCCACTGGAGGCGCTGGACAGGAGCAGCTCGACCTGCTGTCCATGAGCAACATCGACCCCACCGGTACCAATGTCAATCGCTACTATGCCCAAGCTGGAGTTTCCTTCATCTTTCTCAGTTTGATCTTGATCATCATTGGCCGCGAGTCTTTCTTCGTAGTCAATCTTCGTCAAGCATACCGCCGCTCGCCATGGGGTGCCAGCCGATTGTCATCGCGCACAATCTTGTTCACCAACGTTCCCAAGGATCTTTCCCAGTCGGCCCTCTTTGACATGTTCCCAGGTGTCAAGCATGCCTGGGTTGCCTCGGATACCAAGGAGTTGGATGATCTGGTCGAGGACCGCGACGACACCGCTCTGAAGCTGGAAGCTGCCGAGATTGATCTATCACGTGAGGCCAACATGAACAGACTCAAGGCTGAGAAGGGCAAGAAGCACTATGTTGCCGAAGACGTAGCGGATGGTTCCAAGTGGATCGACCCCAAGAAGCGCCCAACACACAAGCTCAAGTTCTTGATCGGCAAGAAGGTTGACACTATCGAGTACGGACGATCGCACCTGGCTGAGCTGATCCCCAAGATTACGGCGGAACAGGATAAGCACTGGAACGGCGAGGGCGACCTCGTGGGTGCTGTGTTTGTCGAGTTTGAGACGCAGAAGCTCGCCCAAGATGCCTGGCAAATGATGCAATCCACCAAGGCCAAGCCCAGCAAGCAGCTCAAGGCACGCCAACTCGGTGTCATGCCTCAGGAGGTTGTGTGGAGCAATCTGCGCATCAAGCCCGCTGAGCACCTCGTTCGATGGGCTGTTGCCACTGGCTTTATCAGTGTTATGATTATTTTCTGGGCAGTTCCTGGTAAGTCTGTCGTAGCTGATTCATGAAGCTCTGCTAACAATGTGCAGTCGCCTTCGTCGGTCTTATCTCCAACATCAACTACCTGGCCGATCGTTTCCCGTGGCTCGAATGGATCCTGGATATCCCCAAGCCTATTCTCGGTGTAATCACTGGTCTGCTTCCATCCGTCATGCTTGCTGTTCTGATGGCGCTTGTGCCTATTGTCTGCCGCCTGATGGCCAAGCAAGCCGGATACGTGACGTACAGTCAGATTGAACTAAAGACTCAGAACTGGTACTTTGCATTCCAGGTCGTGCAAGTTTTCCTCGTCGCAACACTTTCCAGCGCCATTACATCCGTCATCAACCAGGTTCTGGACAACCCAGGCATCGTTCTTCAGCTCCTCGCCACCAACCTGCCAAAGGCTTCCAACTTCTACATCAGCTACTTCATCCTCTTGGGCCTGTCCTCGGCTGCCGGTACCCTCCTCAACATCGGTGGCTTTGTCGTCGTAGTCCTCCTCGGCCGTGTTCTGCCCGGCAAGACTCCTCGCAAGATCTTCGACAAACTCACCAAGCTTTCGGCGCCTTCGTGGGGCTCCGAGTTCCCCAAGTGGATCAACTTGGGTGTGATTGCCATTACCTACTCTGGAATTGCTCCGCTTATCCTCGGTTTCGCTACTGTTGGCTTCTCCCTCATCTACGTTGCTTTCCGCTACAACTTCCTCTATGTATACGAGACCGATCTTGACACTAAGGGTGAGGCGTACCAAAAGGCTCTGCGTCAACTCCTTACTGGTGTCTACCTCTCTGAGATCTGTCTCATTGGTCTTTTCGCCATCGCCACGGCTGACAACATCCAAGCCATTGGTCCATTGATCATTATGGCCATCATGCTTCTGCTCACCATCATCTTCCAATTCACACTCAAGTTTGCCCTGAAGCACGAGGAAGCCCGCCTAGCGTACGCTGACCCCTCCGGTCACGGCGGCATGATCGGCCACCACGAGGATGGTCTCCGCGGCTCGTCCGCCGAAAAGGGAGCCAGAGCCGAGGCAGGAAACAGCCATCAGCCCAGCCCAACCAAGGTGCCCATGTTCCTGCGTAAAGTGCTGAACCCAGAAAAGCATTCCATTCACGTCCTATCCAACTCGCTCGACCAGTTCTACCACAAGCCGCAAGACCCGCTCCCAATCGAAATCCAGAAGCGTGCTTTCTTCAACCCGTCAGTCACGAAGCCCACGCCTGTGCTCTGGATCGTCAGGGACGACATGGGTATCAGCAGGCGCGAGATCCAGGACACGCAAAAACAGGTTCCGGGACTCGTCATGACGGATGAACAAGCGACGTTTAACGAAAAGGGCAAGGTGTATTGGAAGGGTGTCGAGGATGGTCACTCCCGCGAGGCACCTGTTTTCGATGAGAGAATCGTTTACTGATGTTGAACGATGTGGTATGGCAGAGTTGATAGGAATGGTAATGAAAAGTTGAGCAAGCGGTGCGGTGTGTGGCGGAGATTAAGTTTGGATGGATTGGAGTTCGATACCCCCCTTTCGGGATGATATATATTTTCTGGTCTTCTTTTTTTCCTTCTTCTTTCCCCCCTCTTCTTTCTGCGTATGAGTAAAGCTCCGTCTTTTAGCATAATAGATGGGTAACTCTTAATGAATCTTGCGTCTGCAGATTGTGATTTGTTTGAATGTGAAGATGTGATTGTTTAAAAAAAAAGTGGAAGAGTTGGAGTCCTGTTTGTTGGAGAGTTGATTGGGAGTTTAGTGTGTTGTGAGTGTTGGGCAGGTTCACCGTTTTTTTGATGCGTGGGACAAGGCAACGAGGCAATAGAGTTACATGGTAACACGGTAACAGACAAACATTCAAATATGGCATCAAAGTATCACAATAGTAAACAAATATAATGATTTAGCAATCGAGTAACAAGGTAGTAGTGTAACAAAGCTCAAAGGCAACACGGCTGCAGAGCTATCAAAACAGCGCCATGTCATTTCTTAATTCATCGTTCTACAAAAGTCGTCTAATGTACTCTCATCGCGAATATACGCTCTACACGTTCGCTACTAGCCCACAGTACAGCGTCTCCTTGTATGTGTTGGCTGCCTCGTCAGCCTCCACATCAAGTCAGACTACATTCGCTGTAGTCAAGCTCGTACTCTCATTGTTGTGTGTTTCGGCGGATGGTTGTCGAACATGGGTCTCGAGTGTGAGCATTCGCGGCTCAGACTGCATTCTTTGGAACCGAGTGAGGTTATGACGTAGACTGCTAGCTGGGCGAGCGCATGGTAAAGGAAGTATTTGTTGTAACTGGGTATCATGTATGGCCTCGGCTCGTGCGTGCTGCATATGTCGCTGCGCATGTCTGCTCTCACACAGCACCAGCCCTCCTCTTCTCCATTATCTGCTGCTTCAGTCCCTCGGCTGCGACTTCCGTCTCCAATACTCTTCCCAGCCCCTTCTTCCACGTCTCCTCGAGCGTCTTGATCTCGCCAACGACGCTATCTTGTTGCGACCGCCTCAGCATCTCCGCCTCTTCATGCTGTTTCCTCACATCGGCTAACTCTGCCTCGATGCCTTTGAGTATGTCCTCCAGCTGGGAGTTGCCAACCAGCCACGCATTCTTTCCGAACTTCTCTAGCAATCCCAGTTGGGTGAGCCTGGCCTCTACATACTCTGAGCTGGTGTAGGCCTTCTTCAGTGCCTTGTTCCACTGCTCAAGCAGCTCTGGCCTATCCTCGTCGCTGGTCGGAGTCGTGTTCTCTGGTGCGTCAAGGTCCTCGTAGCGCTTCAGGTCGACGCCAGATAGTTTTGAGGTGGGGTCGTCGTCGAGCCGGGCATGTTCGCGGGCGATGAAGTCGGAAAAGGTAGGTGTGTACTTTGCAGCCGGGACCAGGGCGGGATGCATTTCAGTCATGTCTACACCGGCGCTTCTCATGTCGGCGATGATAACGGCTTTGGCAGCAGCGAGGCTCGCGGCATCAAGCTCCGCATCCACATCTGGAAATTAGTTAGTCGAGGCGATAACGACGATATGATCACGCGCGCAATGGGGTGGGTGCAAAGAGCCGTCGCGCATCGGACGTGTCACTACTTCCAGGGGGGTTGATATTAACTACGTACAGGGAAGGTGGTCGTAGGATTCTTGAATAAGAGGCATTGTTTATGTTTATGCGGGGGAGGTTGCAAGCGGGCTGCAGGAGCGGAGAGAGGGTGTATTGAAGGCTGGAGGTGTCGCGAAACGAGAGGCTGGCCCCGGCAAATTTAGGTTCCTGCATGCCTGCCAGGTCCGCCGTCCCCACCACTCAGCGCGCCCAAGCCCCCCGCTGCCGTCATGCTTGCAGCCTGTCAAGTGCCATTCGCGGTCAAATCGATAGTTGATAGTTCAAGTGTGATATCACCGCTGCTTCACTGACCCTGCCACTGCATCTGCACACTGCACAAGGGCCAAGTTTATCCTACACACCTACCTAATCGTCCCATGTGCAAGCAGTAGCGACCGAGTACTTGTTGCCTCCTGAGCGAGTGCGCCGTTTTGTTTCTGATCCGTCCGCATCCATCCTGTCATCGACACTGACTGCGCAATGGCACGTTCACACATCGCCGTAGCCTTTGGCGCGGCTCTTATAGCTATTTTGATCGTCGGACAGCTTGTCATCAACTTGGGCTTCCCCTCGGTCGACTCGTGGCACGCGAGACTGGACCAGAGCTACAATGGAGCCCAGCAGGACCAGTTCGTCAGTGAGAAGCAGGACGGCGGCGCAGGCAGCGACCCGTCCTCATACCTCGTCGGCGTGGGCAAGGCGGATATCACGGGGTGAGTACATTCACCAAATGGTGTAGTTGTATGCGACAATGCTAACGACGTCACAGGCCCGTGGTCGAGCTCAACATGATGGGCTATGCCAACTCATCGCAAATAGGAACTGGACTGCGCCAGCGCATCTACTCGCGCGCCTTCGTTATCGGAAACCCAAGCGCCCCAAGCGAACGATTTGTGTACCTCGTCCTCGACACCCAGTCTGGAGACACGGCCATCCGCAATGGAATCCTGGAGGGACTTGCTGCCATGGGCTCCGAGTACTCCGTCTACACAAAGAACAACGTAGCCGTGACTGGAACGCACAGCCATGCTGGTCCTGGAGCCTGGTTGAACTACCTTCTTCCTCAGATCACCAGCTTGGGCTTTGACAAGCAAAGCTACCAGGCCATCGTAGACGGGACCCTTCTTTCAATCAAGAGGGCGCATGAAGGCCTGACTCTCGGAACAGTCAGTGCTGGAAGCGCAAAGATTGATAATGCAAACATCAACCGCAGTCTCTTCGCCTATCTCGCCAACCCGCAGGCTGAACGAGCCCGTTACACAGATGACGTAGACAAGACCATGACCCTGTTGAAGTTTACACGGGCCAGTGACGGAAAGAGCATTGGAGTACTGAACTGGTTCCCTGTGCATGGCACAAGCTTGCTCGGCAACCAGACGCTTATTGCCGGAGACAACAAGGGTGTGGCTGCATACCTTCTCGAGCAGGACATGGAGGCAAGTGCGACTGCTGCCCCCGGCTTTGTCGCAGGTTTCTCACAGGCCAACGTTGGTGACACAACACCCAACATCGAGGGTGCCTACTGCGAGGATGGCTCAAACCAGCAATGCAGACTCAACGACAGCACTTGCGGAGGCAAGAGTCAGGACTGCCATGGTCGTGGCCCATTCTACGGCTTGAACGATGGCGGACATAAGTCTTGCTACGAGATTGGCAAGCGCCAGTATCAGGGAGCAAAGAACCTCTTAGATTCTGCCGACTTTACTACCATCTCGGGCAAGGTCCGCTCTTTCCACACCTTTGTCGATTTTTCAAACTTCACCTTTACACTCAGCAACGGATCAGTCGTCCGCACGTGCCCTGCGGCCATGGGCAACTCCTTTGCCGCTGGTACAAGTGATGGACCTGGTGCCTTTGACTTTGTCCAGAACGACCCTGGCGCTCCCTCCAATCCCTTCTGGAACATTGTCGGTAGTGCTATCTCTCCTCCAAACGCTGAGCAGAAAGCATGCCAGTACCCCAAGCCCGTATTGCTAAATGTTGGACAGGCCAAGGTGCCGTACCAGTGGTCCCCTAACATTGTCGACATACAGGTTCTTCGCGTTGGCCAGTTTGTCATCATCGTGTCCCCTGGTGAAGCAACCACCATGTCAGGTCGTCGCTGGCGCGAGGCAGTATACAACTCTGTCAAATCGTCTAACATTGCCGCTGAGCCCATTGTTGTGCTAGGTGGACCGGCAAACAGCTACACACACTACATTGCGACAGAAGAGGAGTACGGTGTACAGCGCTACGAGGGTGCTTCTACCCTCTACGGCCAACACACACTCAACGCCTACATCAACTCGACTCTGACATACCTCCCCTACATTGCCGATGGCGCTGCCAGCCCTCCACCAGCCGGCCCTACGCCACCTGACCACCGTGACAAGAGCATTTCGCTCATCACAGGCGTAGTCTACGATGGCGCAGGCTTCGGTCGCTCCTACGGTCAAGTAACCAAAGACGTCTTACCCACCTATGCCCGGGGCGCCATCGTCAGCGCAACATTTGTTGGTGCTAACCCGCGTAACAATCTACGCCTCGAAGGCACTTTCGCCGCAATCGAGAAGCAAAACACCGATGGAACCTGGTCGCAAGTCAAGAACGATGAGGACTGGGAGTTGGTCTACCAATGGAAGCGTGTTAATGGGCTCACTGGCACAAGTGACGTGACCATTAGCTGGGACACTGGAATCACGGGGCCGGCGGCTGGCACATACAAGATCAAGTACTATGGTGATGCCAAGGCGGTTGGAGGAAAGATTACAGCGTTTGAAGGGGAAAGTGCGCCGTTTAGATTGGCGTGATTGGGTGATGTCATTTATGGTCATGTTTATAAGGATGGAGTTGTTATTTATACCCTATCGCGTGACAAGCATGTGAATAATGTTCTTCCTTTGCGCAAGAAAGGTTTTTATGTTGATGAAGTGATGTAGCCGACGTTATTGGGTGGAGTGGTGCACTGATACTGTCTTATTTTGCAAAAATAAGAGAGTGAGAGCTATCTATGCAGCCATGTAGGAAGCGATTATAGTTTCTTGCTAGCTTCTCTTTACTCGATGCCGCAAATAAATGAGGATACGCAAAGATTCAAGGGTCTATGTGCGTTTGCTTGGACTGCTGCCTAATGTCCACCTCATCTCACCTCGATCTCTCTTGTTGCCCTGCACGACTATTATTGTGTAGTGTAATAAAGAGTCCAAATCAATAACAGAGCTGCATAAGGTGAAGGAATGTGGGAGTTTGCGAGCTCAAAGTTCCTTGCTGTACTTGTTTGCATGAGATGTAATGGTAGTGTACTTGCTCAAGCATCTGCTCTCACCTGTCAAGCTTGTGTTTATGTGTTTCCTTGAAATTACATTATATTAAAGTTCGCACCGTCCGATTACGCATTATATCGACATCCGCATTACTTCGAGCATAACAGTACTCGCTCTCACTCACTCACTCCCCTTTCACTCACACTCACCCACACGTTTGCCTAAACCCACACACCTCAAAATAAACTCAACACCACACCCCTCTATATAAACGCCGCCAACCAGCAAACTACCATCAGGCATGAAAAAATTGACTGTGCATCCCCCAAGTTCCATTGGCATAATGGCCTAGTGGTTAATCCATTGGATCCCTATGTCACAAAAACCCCTGCCCACCTAAGTGTTAATAGGAGCCGACGCTATCAAAGAGCCGGAAGTTCGAATCTGTTCACTGTCACTCGTACGTTCGCTTGCGTTCGTGCAGATGTTTCGAGCCAAACGCAAGAATTTGGGGGTTTCGTGTAGCTTTTGTTCATGTTTTTTGGAGAATTTTTCTGCTTGGTGCTCTTTTTTTGCTGGGAGAGGAATGAGAGAGAAAATAAGGTGAGTGGGTAGGCAGGCCGGCGGGCTAATGGTGAGGCTGCTGGCGGCGAAACTTTCGTCGTGGACTTTGTTTGTCGGCGGGTTGGTCCTACGCGCTCACAGTTAGCACTTACCAATAACGTCACTCGTTTTACTCACAGGGTCGAAGCCTACCAAGCAGTTCACAGTCTCAGCACCCAGCCCGGGGTCGTTGATGCGACCGCCGCTTGGCATGCGAAAGTAGCCCGTCAACTTGACATATGCGTCCAACGCATCCACCATCGTCCGCCCCATGGCCAGCGCCTTGTCCGCCCTCGTATGCGAGTAAAAGGTCAACAGCTTCCTTGCCTCGTCCCTCAATCCGGCCTGCAGCATGCTCTTCGCCCCGCGCTCTACCCACTCCATATCCACAAACGACGCATTCTCAAACCCAAGCAACATGTCCTGCACGATATGCAGATACGTCGGAGGGTCCAAGCAGGTGTAATACAACACCTGCTTGAAGATGCGCCCGGCAAATTGCGTGGCTTCTTGGTACTGGTAGTCTGTGTCTAGGAACGTGGATGCCGCGTCTTTGTACAGATACCGGTGCAGTCCGTACTCTGGTGGCACACTCGTGACGCCTAGCCACCATGGAACGAATGGAGCGGTCACGGAGCTTGTGGGTGCGACCCAGATGCGGATTAGATCTGGGTCCATGTCTGCATGCAGAGAGACGACTTGGCCATAGCCGGCTTCATCGTCTGAGATGCGGTAGTCGCGGACGCGGGCGATGAGATCCTTCTCTGTCACTGGGGCCATTGCGCGGGTAGCGTTTTCAAGAGCAGCTTGGGACATATACTTTGCGCCTCCATCCCTAGCCGTATACCCCTCAGCTTGGTAGGCATAAGCGTTGAAGATGTTGAAAGGTACCGTGCCATTGGGATTCCACCACCCCTGCTCAACGGCGAAGCTGACGATATTAGGACTACCCATGTAGTCTGGGTTATTTTCAAAATCCACGGGAAAGTCCTCAATGTAGCCTGGGTAGAGGACACGCACGTCGTTGTCACCCAAGCGCTCAGCAGCCCACAGCTTTTGGCCGCCAGACATCTCCCACACAACCCATCCTTCATTTGCGTCGGCAATTAGATGTGAGTTTCCGCCGTAATCAGCATACCCATACTCTGCAATCATCCTTCCGATAAGTTCTACGCCCTCACGTGCCGTGCTCGCACGCTCCAGTACAACACGAGCGAGGTCAGAGTACTGTAGCCCTGTCTGGGGATTGGGTGTCATCGCAATGAGATCATCGCGGTTCTGGGCCCAGATATCTCTTACCGCCACGCCCTTTTCATTTACGCCGCCATTGGTAAGAGGGGCGGGGAATCCTTCAAAGTCCGAGTACTCCATGGACAGATATCGATACGTATGTGGTACTTGAGAGATGTTGAGCAATTGGCCAGGCATCGACGCATCTTCGGTTACTCCAACCGTGATTGTGGCGTTTGGCCCATGATCTCTGGCGGGAAAGATCTGAAGCCAGTGAGAGGATACTTCCTCACCGGTTCCGCCGACCATGACGCTTCCATCGTGGGTGAGGGCTTTGCCAACATAAAAGCCATAGCTGGCCGACGAGGCTTTTGCGAGACTTAACAGGCCGATTGTGAAACGCGGCGCAAGCATTGTCGCTGTAGACGAGATGGTGACACCTTCAAGAACAAATTACACGTTTTTCTTATCCAAAAAGCAAGGGTGGGGGGGGGAGAGGTGGATACGTTGACCGCGGTCCGATATGTCACGTTATCTTACAACAACACGACTTGTGGGGGATCACAACTCTTCTCGGCCAAGCTCGAGGTTTGCTCGGACAGGGGAGCTATGTAGGAACCTGAAGCTTAGTCGATGGAAGACGTAATATGATGACGCAGAGCCGACAGCCGTATTTGTAGGATGCACTCCTCCATCCCCCCCCCCCCCTCAGCGAAAAGGACGGATGTAACTGTTGGCGGCTTACCACACGTGGATACGAGGTGAGGTTTGAGTAGAACGGGTGAGGTACCCGGCACCGGAGCCCGGCAGGATAATGAGGAGGCGCGGGTGGGGAGCTTGGCAGGTAATGCATCTTGTCACGCTAATAGCAAGCGCATCAGAAGGATGACTCCCTTGCTCCGCCTTGACCCGGTATACCTCAAGACTCATTCTGACTCAAGATGATCAACCTGTAGGGCTGCGAAATCTCCTTGATTCAATGACTGTAATTGCTATGTACCTGCCTGATGGGGTCCTAGTTGTATTCAATCTACGCTTTTTACAGGGTACATATCTTGTTGCCTAAAGACTGCGGGAATGTAAGTGGATCGCTGCAAATTCTGCAGATTCCACAGATTAGCGATGGGGTTGAAGAGTAGAGTATAAGTAATACAGGATATGAGCTGCTATGAAGTAAATACACTTGGCTGTACAAACTAATTACCTAACCAATATCATTCTTTACCCCATACACCTGCCTTTACCATGTCGTCCCCCTCCCCCTCCCCTCCGCGCCAACGCATCCGCGAAGTCCTTCCCAATCTCTACCTCGGGCGCTACCAGCCCGGCCCCAAGAACAGCTTGACCGACATCCCTGGCGTCCTCGTGCACACAGAATCCATACACTCGTCCGAATCCTACCCGAACGCAGAGGCCAATTCCATAAATACTGGTGTCACAACAATCCTTCCGCGCAAGGACTGGTTCCATAAAGCATGTTTTGCGGGCATCTTCTGCTTCAACGGATCCGGAGAAATGACGGGATCCCATTTGATCCAAGACATGGGACTCTTGTTTTCACCAATAGTCATTACGGGCAGTTTCGGGGTCGGAAGTGCGTACAACGGCATATACGAATACGCTATCCGCGAAAATGGCGACGAAAACGGCAAGGTGGATTGGTTCCTGATGCCGGTAGTGGCTGAGACTTTTGACGGTTTCTTACATGACGTGGCAAAGTTTGCGGTTACGCCTCAGCATGTCATCAGAGGAATAGACAAGGCGAGCGACGAAGCAGTGCCGGAAGGAAACACCGGTGGCGGTACGGGTATGATTTGTCACTATTTCAAGGGTGGGACTGGAACCAGTTCTCGCGTGGTGCCTGGGGAGGAGGGAAAGCGTTACTCGGTAGCGGCACTTGTGCAGGCAAATTACGGCAAGATGTGGGATTTCAAGATCGGAGGAGCCCCTATTGGAAGACTCATTTACCAAGATCAGAAGCGAAGGATCGAGGAGAACCCTGACGATCCGGAGTTATTGGCACAGGCCAAATTACTCTTCGAAGTCGACAAGGCCAAGGACAAGAAAGACGGTTCCATCATAGTCATCTTGGCTACTGATGCACCACTCCACCCGACACAGCTCCAGCGGCTAGCGAAACGCGCAACCGTCGGGATAGCTCGAGTTGGAGGTTACGGGACTAATTCGTCGGGCGACGTTTTCCTGGCCTTCTCCACGGGGAACGAGGTGCCTGTCCAGTCAGTGACGGCGGGACAAGCGGCGGTCGATCCGTACCTGGCAAAGGAGATTCCGGTCACCATGACTGACGATCAGACAATGAACGGCTTGTTCGAGGCAAGCGCCGACGTAGTCGAAGAGGCAATTTACAATGCGGTCTGCAAAGCAGAAACGATGGATGGAAACGGAAACAAGATTGAGGCGCTAGACCTGGAGCGGGTGAAGGAGATGATGCAAAAGTACGTATAGAGTAATAGTGGATTGTGAGAAAGCAGGGTATAGGCGGTGCACAAAGCCAAATGCCAATCTTGCGGACGTCTGTGACCCGGGCCATGAACTAGCATGTATGTGCACGACGGGTGGTGCCTGTCGCCCGTCAGGCCTCGAGATTAAAAGCGCGATTCATAGGCGGTTACACTAGAAGCAAGCTTAGAAGAGGCCGTGGACCCTGAAAAGTTTAAATGCGCGAGCACGGCCTCAGGTACGTACCCCGCGCGTCAAGGTTTGGGAACACGGCGCTCGTGTGACGTGAACCGTCTCTGTGTCGTGTGTGGGTGTGTGGGTGTGTGGGTATCGAGTGCGGCTGTAATGCGGCTGTAATGCGGCTGTATGGGGCATGAATCGGGGCTGAGATGTCAGGATGGCGGTGATGAGTAAACTTCTGGCGAAGTTTTGACTAGCAAAACCCGATTCGAATCATAGATGGCCATTGCAGCAGCTCGTTTCGAGATGCGAAAAGAAGTTAGTAATAGTTGGCGACCTGACAAGTTGTTTCTGCGGGAGGCGTGTGGCGGTGGTGGCAGCATGTTATAGTTGGCCGATTAAGAAGCCGTCTATTGTACCTTGAGATCGGACGAATCGAACTGGCGGCATGGGCTCTGGGGTGAGATCTACGATGGTAGCGCTCAGGGTCTTGAAGTCAAAGGAGCGTGCGCCATGTCGATATATTACGAGAGGGGAAAAGCGTGAGATGCGCGGCAGTCGGCACGCCGTTGGGTCGTGGGCAGCCGTGTTGGACATGCTGCGGAACCTTAGCAGTCGATTGACGAGCAGTCTAGTGGCATGACCAATATCCCAAGACATGGCCTGATGGCTGGTGGATGCTAAGTGAGTGAGTTGATAGTGCTTTTTGTTGCACGCCCACGATGCCGGGGCAGCTTTCGATCAGCAGCCCCCGGGAAGCGGTTGCACCCATGGGAGCACTGCAACGCAGATGATATGATGAGATGAGATGACATAGTCATAGCCTGTTTCTGCGAGTGCTCGACTTGGCTGCATGGGGGGACGACTAATGTCGAGCATGGCCATCCCCGGTCATCATCTCAGTCGTCAATCAGGAGCGTGTCGGAACATGCTCCCCCAGCGAATAGGACCGAAGATGGTTTGCGGAAAGCTTCGAGCGCTCAGCGCGTCGTGGTGTTGATGGTGCGGGCCACATGATTGATGCTTGATGATTTTGACAGATGGCTCAGTCTGCAATCTGCATAGTGCTGTTAGGCCCAGGCTTACCTAGCCCTCAGCCCCAGCCCAGCCCAACACAGCACCAGCACCAGCACCAGCACCAGCACCGGCGACCGGCCTCACGTAGTCAGGCAGCGTCCTGGTGGTGTGGGTGGTAGTTCGGCCACTTGATCGCCCGAGTAGGGCGGCCAATACTACGGCATGCCATGACGGCAGCCCGCAAAGGGCCATGATCCATGGCCGCTTGCCCGCCTGTATATGAATACGACGCCGTGCCAGCATCGTGTGGCGGTGTCTTGTCTTAGCATCTTGGAGTTTTGTACCTCACACCTGCTCTGCCCGGCTGGTGTCATTAGCGTGCTGCACAACTTGGGCCCAGGCCATGAGTGTCCCCGAGGGCCAGACCACGCTCTTTTCATCTCGCGGGCCTGGATCTTTAGCCCACCACCGCCCGTCAACATCCTATAACGCCTCGTTCCACCTTGCGCCCGCCAGCAAGGTCACAGCAGCGGCACTTCCCATGCTGTTGGGTGCGACGCTCTTATATGCGAATTTGCCCATTCCCATCCCAATTCCACCACAGACGTCACCCACAATGGCGATCTCTTCCGCTTCTAGTCCCACGCAACCAAACCTCGCTGCCGTGCTGGACCGCCTAGGACTGGCCGAGTACCTGCACGTCCTCACCGACAACGGCTTCCACAACTGGGAGACGGTTGTCGACATCACCGAGGACGACCTCACCACGCTCAACTTCAAGCTCGGCCACCGCAGACTGCTGCAGCGCGAAATCGCCACATACCGCGGAATCCCCCAATCACTATCACTGGAACCAGAGGCAAACTCGCCCGAATCCACTTCATTGTCCACCTCCGCCCTCGAGACCTTCACCCGCCAGACCACCACTCCCCCGCCCCGCGAGAAGAGGAGATACCGACGCCATCCGCGCCCAGACGCCCACGCGCCCAAGAAGCCCAAGACCGCATGTACGCTTCCTCATAGTGCGCCATGTGACCCCCATCCCCTACTGACACGCTACCAGATGTCAACTTTGCTGACCAGCTTCGCACGGATCCCGAAGTCAGCCAGCTGTCCTTTGTGGACATTGCACGTGAAGTTGGCCGCAGATGGCAGGACCTCCCTCCGGAGAAAAAGCGCATCTGGGAGAGCAATGCCGCACGTGCCATGCAGGAGTTTGAGGCCCAGATGGACGAGTACAAGAAAACCGACAACTACACAAAGTACCAGGCCTATCTGAACGACTTCAAGATGCAGCAATCCATCCCTTCGACTGGTAAGCAACGGCCCGGAAACAGTCGCTCGACAACAGACACCTCCAACAACACGAAACAGTACTCACGTGCTAGCCCCAGCTCCTCAGACAGCCCCACCTCCTTCCTCTCGTCCAACACGCCCATGGGCATCGAGGCCGAAACCTGCCACAACGCATTGACCCTGGCCTTTAGTGAGCTTGTCACCCTCAGGGGCGAGATCCTGACTGGAGGCGCCCAACAGTTCAGCGAGGATTTCCTACCGCCTGAAGACCGAGTACGGCGATCAATGTACGCTTTCATTCGTGGCACCGGATCGCTCCTTTTCATGTGGACTTTTGAGCAAGCCGACGAGATTTTGGATCGCATCTACCGCCCGCAAAAGAGGGTTGACAAAATGACGCTTGCCGAGTGTTTTACAGTTGCTGCCATGGGCGCGCACTACGAAATCAACGCTTTTCCTGATCGCATGCGAAGACTGCTCTATGCCTCAGGAACCCTCCACTTCAACGAGCAGACCGCAAGAGAGGATTATTTTCGCACTATGCGCCTTCTTCTCTCGTTATCTTTCTACTCGCTTTTGGAGAAGCACATGAGTGCCAAATATCTAATCGGTGTGTTGATCTGTTACTAAACTCAGTCACTAGCAAGCTAACAATATTTAGCTGCGGGTTTGCAAATTGCCCGTTGGAAATGTCCTGTCCCACAGTCGCCCGGCTCAGCTGCATCAGACGACAACTGGAGGAAGGTTTACCGAAGCCTCGTCTTCATGGATTCGTGGCTATCTTACACCCTTGGCTACCCCACCGAGGTCACAGCTTCTGACACCCAGGTATGTCACCAGCAATTTTTTGAGTCGTCGACGATCCTAACAAGGCTAGATTGCATGTGTCGTGTACCGATCAGAGCAGGATCCCATTAATGAGCTCATACACTCGCAGATTAGCAAGATCAACTTGATTGCGGCCGAAGTTGCAAAGACGCTGGCTTCTCCAGAACTGGCTACCAGCGGAAACATCTCCGCGCTAACCCAAAAGTTGGAACAGTGGCGCCAGGAAGTTCCACATGCATTGCAGATGCCCACGCTTTTGTCAAGCGAAGGTCAGGATCTAACGCTGTTTCAGAGGCGCGCGATTTTCATGCTACACGTAAGCGGATCCCGTTCCCAGATCATGACAGTGCGTTGACAACCATAGATCATGTATCTTGGCGCGCTAGTGTTGCTGTACCGTCAGCTACTGGTTGCTACGGCTGAAGCTCAGCTTATCGATGGCGCGGCATCCTCATTCAACAACCTATCGACCAACGATGTCAAGTTGTATCGACAGCAATGCGCGACAGCGGCCCAAAACATTGCTCGCATGCTCGGATTGATCGACTTTGACGGCACATTGACCACACGCTGTTGGATTGTGTAAGTCGGCTCAAGCTTAGTTGTACCACCCAAGCTAACTTCAACAGCATCTACTGGTCTTTCTCGGCTGCCATTTGCTTGCTCTTCAGCGCAACTACCAAATTGATGGATGGCCAGATTGACGACGTCGAGGCAGATCTCGCTTACGCCAAATCGTGCATGGATATGCTTGAGCCGTGCAAGCCCTGCGAGCCCGTTGCCGCTCGATATCTGGATACCCTTTGGCCATTGTACGACCACTTGCAGGACGTCCATCGCCGAATGCTCGGCAAATCGAAAAGCAGTATATTCGCTATACTTCAGCCCGATCCCAGCCTACTCAGTCCTCCGGTACCTGTGTCAAGACAAGAGATAGGGCCCATCTCCGAGAAGCTCACAATGCTTCTTACAGACCCTTTCGGAAGGAAGCAAGACATTGATGGAACTAGGAGACGCATCCTTAGCAATGATGGCTCATACTCGGTGTTCTGGTTCCGATAATAGGTATTATGCGTGTTTGTGTTGAGAGACACGTTGAGAGGGTCATTGTCGAGGCAGATGGCAGGAGCGCCCCTGGACCGCCCACGGACATCGGCATCTCCCGGATCCTCCCCTTTTCACTCCGTACCAGACGCGGTTCGATATTACATGCTTCAAAGTAACCCGGAATCTGGATAGAAATCCGGAACGAAACTTCCGGACATTGCCTACCAAAACAATAGAGACACTGATAAGTTTCGCAACGCACGCAATTCGGTCTGGGCCCAAAAGATCACAATCGATAGAATGCTGCACGGATACTACTGCACGTTTCAGTCGTTCCTGACTAGCATGTTGTCCCCATCGGATCGCCCCCATCGGATCGCCGATCGGCACATATGCGGCACGGCACGGCAGCCATGTTCACAGCTAGGATTGTGGTTGGACGATCGAAGCACTGAGGCATGGGTGGTGACTTGTGGCTGGGTAGCGCTGGTGGCCTCATTCTGGGACAAGCAAGATGACGTAGACGCCACCATAATGTGGCGTATTTGAAACTACGGTCGAGAGGGACTCCTGTAGTTATCATGTACATAGTTTGTGTAGAAGTACGGGAAGGAGGGTTGTGATGAGATTCGATCTGAGCGTTTTGTCTAGTCTTTGTCGTCGTAGTTGTTAGCGCTGTTGTTATCAGTACTGTTACGAGTAATATCATTGGTATTATCCATTGCGGCTACTACTTTATCGTGCTTTCAAACAATGCTGGTGGATCTATGATGATTGTTTCCTATCACGTACACACGAGACAAGATTTCTCGAAAATATCATCAGGAAGGGAGCATTCTACAAGCAGCCCCGCCCAATTCTTTTCACCAGCCCCAAAGAGAACCAACCGCAATGAAAGAAAACCGACGTCACCACATCATGCGCACAAATCGTGCTACTTACACAATTAATCCATAACTCCGGCTTCGGCTCCAGCTTCTGCTTACTCTTCACACCAACGTTCGGTTCGGTTCGGTTCGGGTTCAACGTGTCCATTTGCATGTGCATGTCAGACCTGCGAATACGAGGCCAATTAGTTAGCGCGCAAAACTCACCCTAAACCGACTACACCTGTCATAAACACGTCCGACATCCGACACTAACGCTTGACATGTCCGAAGTCCGAACGCATATGACTACCTACCTAGGAAAGGCGAGTACGAGTACGGTGCGTTGGTGTGCATGTGGGGTAGGGTGTTGATGGGGTGCTTACGGGAAGGTGGGTAACAAGAGTATCACGGATGAGGGATTATTGTTTTTCTCGCCTTGCATTCTCATCATGCTAGTGTACATTCGTCAAGGCTCCCCAACTCCCCAATGCACCGAAGTGCAAAGTATGGGTCTAGTCCATATCCTCCTCTGCATCTTCAAAGTCGTCATCGCCATCATCTGACTCAGATCCATCCTCGTCCTCACTCTCGGAAGAATCGACATGCTCAACAGCTGGTACAAATTCCTCATCATCATGGTCATCGTGGTCCTCCTCTTCTTCATGATTCACTTCATCGGAGTGGCCTTGAGCAAATTTGGCGACCTGCTGACGGAAGGTTGGGTCTTCTCCGTGGGCGAGTGCACGGAAGAAGGGATGATTTTCGGTGAGCGGCTTTCCAGTGGTGACGAAGCCCATGGGCGTGTGCTCAAAGTCTTGACCTTTGCGGCGGAGAGCAATCCACTCATGTACTATAACTCGTTAGCAGGCGAAATGATCATATGACAGCGGATACATACAGAAGGTGAGGGGTTTCTTTGCGAAAGCTGGCCTCTCCGGGTGCTGAGATAGGTCTTGGTCGAGACCCAAGTATGCAAGCAGTTCGTAGTATTCGTCCCACTCAATATACAAGCGACCTGAAAACAGGCCTAGCTCAACCCTCAGCCAAACTGGGGCCTGGAAGTCGACTGGTAGAGAAGGCGTGGCGTGATAGCTGAGCTGGTTGAACTGAAGCATCCGGCGGGTTACGGGCGCGGCGTAGACGATGAGGTGAACAATACCGGCCGCCTCAAAGGACCGATGCTCGCGCATGATTGGGATGAGTTCGTTTGCTTCCTCGGGGCTGACAAGAAGTGCCTGCTGGCTGATGGGGCTCCAAAGCAACCAATGCGCAGAACGGATATAGTTGTCATTAGGCTCGTAGATTTCGATTGTTCGGTTAAACTGCGTTGATAGCCACAGTCCTGACTTCATGGAAGTGTTGACTGCATGTTTCAGACCAATCGAAGTACGGCCCAGTACCGAGAACATAGGTTGATAGGCATCACTTCCTGCCACTAGTCTGCCATAGACAGCAAAGTGGTAAACGTCTTCGTGCAGTTTGTTGACCTTGAGAGCATCAAAAAGTAGGGCCTGGTGCACCTCGCGTACATTTTCGACTTCAATTTCGACCTCCCTTTCCGCCTCGCGCTCCTGTTCAATCTCCACTTCTTCCAGTGCGGATGCATGGACAGCACTGCCTCGGTCTTGGAAGTGCTGCTTTCTGTTTTGAAGCTCATCGTATATCCTCTGTAGCGAGGGCTTCCAGATGATGGAAGCATATTTGGCTGCAGCTGCTTGGCGTTGGCCCCTGGGCTCATATAATTGCTTCAGAGTGACGGAGTCTTTGATACGAACTGTGTCTACATATGCATCGCGTGACGACCGGTTTTGGAGGTATTGGTGGTGCGGGTACTCTAGCCGTGCTTGCTCTTGCTGTAAGTAATGCGAAGTTTGAGCAAAGTAAGATGGCTCAAGCTGCTCGATTGAATCACACGTTTGGGCAAATACCCAGCGAAGCACGTCGTTTGAGGTAGGCTCGTGAGACGGTGTCGCATTCTTAGGTAAGCGGTCCAGTATACCCTGATGCACTTCAGGGGGTGAGAAGAAGGTGATCGATTGAGTTTGTCCAAGAAGCCGCAGCCTCATCGCTGCTTGTACGAGAGCGTCCTTCGTTAGGTGTTGACCCAAGGTCACTGCTGCTCTGGCGTGTGGTGGGAACTTGATGTCGGTTCCACGGCAGTGGCTTTCGTCCAGATAAACAACGCATCGCTCCAGGTCGTCCACGAACGGAGATGCTACTAGAGGTATACACCTTCCAGTACGGTACAAAGCCCATACACGATGATCGTCATCAAAATAGACTGCTGCTGCTGCCATGCTATCGGCTTCTAGCCAGGCCCTCGCAAAATCTCTGTTTGAATGTTCAAGAACTTGTGCACCAGCGTCGATGAGGATTCTGATTGGAGATTGTTGCTGAGAACTCCAAAAGGTGCTTGCATGCTTGGAAAATTTGGGACGGCCATTCGATTGAGGGGCCCAGAAAGTCTTTGCCAGATTCTCGAGAAGATCCATTTCACTCCACCGAACCCCGTTCGGAGAGACCATTCGCATGTAGGATTGATTTCGAGGTGCGAGGAGATAATATGGAACCTCTGCATTCGTGTGTGCTAGTTGGGGTAGATCTCGCTGTTGGACTAGCAAAGGCAGCTGGTGCCTAGAATCGTTTGTACCAGAAAATCCAGTAAGACGGGGTCCGGTATTCTCTGTGATGGAAGGAAAGAGGTTCCAACCCGATGCCTGGAGTTTGAGCTTGAAGGTCTTGGCGTATTTCGGAAACACGAAGCTGTTCAGGTAGAAATCGACTGAGCTAGCGCTCGAACGTACAACGTGGCAGAGCTCGCTCAACTGCCGCTCATCCTCAGCATTGATTGAAGCATAGTCCTCCAGCTCTTTGGGAATAGCGTATTCCTTCGGAAACCACTTTTCATATTGTACACTAGGCTCATCGGTCTTCACCAAGTGCTCGAAAGCCTCTTTGAATTGTTGGAGACTGAGCCCTTCGTAGTAGAAAGATAAACAAGTCAGAGTGATAGCAACGTCAGGATGGCCCCACTCGGCTGCAGGGGATGGCACACCCTTCGCTAAGTATGGTACGGCTATCGGAGCACGTGTCGGATGTAGTCCATATTGTACGTTCCACCGCTTCTTCAGTGTGGCTACCAATATGCGATTGACGAAGAAGCCACGTAGCAGGTTGATAACTCGCACAAAGGCTTGCTTGTCCTGGAGATAAGAAGTGATCCTGGAGACTACGCCGCTGCGCACAGTTGGTTTCGAAATGTACGCTTCCAGGTCCTGCTTAACGGAGGTCGGATACTCTGCACATGGGATAATCGACGGAACTTGGCCTTTACAGATGATCTTCACCAGAAGTTCGATGAGGTAGTCCTCAGCATCTTTGCGGAGAAAGTATATGAGAGGAAAGCCATTCGCTCCACGTTTGACGATCTCAATACTGCGAGGATATTTTGACTGTACAGTAGATGAGAAGTCCTTGACGAGCTGTAGCACGGCTTGAGTGACCTGCCAGCGCATGGGATGACCATCAACTGTCATTTGCGTACCAGATGGGTAGACCAGTTGCGTCCTAATCGCCAAGGACACGTCGCATTCATCGAGGATATCCCGAGTGTGTTCGTCTAGCCAGCGTTGAAGCTCGATCATTATTGATGCTGCTTTGAGGTGCTCATCGCACAACTGCTGCAACCCGCTCAGTTTGAACGAGAGTATATGTTCAGGCAGAGCAATGACCACACCTCGATGATCTCTTAATCGCGTGTGTATCCTTCCGTAGAGATTGATCAAGGACTCTGTGAGAGGCGTCTTCCTAGAAAAGGGGAGATGTATAAGTTCACGGTTCACCAATCCTCCGAGTTTGGCCTGCATCGCTTGTGCTGACTGTAATAAGAGAGCCCTCGGCACAACTACACGAGCGAGATCGTTCCCGTTGGCAAGTAAGGCAGCAACCATAGGGAGAATGCAAGACGTCTTTCCCTTGCCCATCAGAAGCTGGAGAACGGAGTTTCCCCCCGACTGTGGCGACACTGTCGCCAAAGCCACGTTGACTTGTTCTTCTCGAAGGAGGATATCGCCGTCTATCTCCAACAGAAGCCAGTCCGGATATTCTAGGGCGTTCCAATTACCATGACCTTCATTCGACCACTCATCTTGCTGTTGTTGTTCTTTGCAGCGCTTTTGTGCATCCTGGATACGAAGTAGACGCTGATGCCTGCATATGGCGAGCCCGAAATCCACGAGCGCTTTTTTGGTGCCCGCTGGAAAACGATTACTTGACGTAACCCGAAGCTCGCTGAGAAGCTCAACGGTTGTCATCTTCGGCCAAAGATCCACCATTTGCAGCCACCTAGCCTGAGGATCGCTAGCTTGGAGAGTATATCGAATGTGATTGGCGATGGATCTAACAGCATTCTTTGCCGAGTCAATCTCTTCAGGTGAAATTCGAGAATAGCTGTGGTGCGCTGTGCTTCTCTTGCTCGTGAGATGTTTTTGGAGTGCATCGATGCTCTCATTCATCTCTTTGCTGTACCTGGATTGTACGAAAGACGACGGGTCCTTGAACTCTGCGACGATATCTCTAAGCATGCCAATCTCTTTTGATTGTGAAACCTCAGGGTATGGACCAAGTGAGGCTTTCCCAACTGGTGAGGCACTCAAAGAATTATAGAGATTGGCGGAGCGACTAACGGCATTACCAAATCTCATAACAAGGGGTCCAGCATATGATGTGGAAGCCGCGGCGGGTGGCGAGACCATGCAGTTGCCCAATAGACCCGAGAGCGACATATCGTCACCAGTTTTCGATCTAGTGGGATAGACTGGAAGCGACGTTGGCTTGGTCAGTGTGCTTGCCACCGCAGAGGATCCCGCTCTTGGATGTTGAGCAGCTACCCGGAAAAGAACGTTCTGCACACGATCCAAATACAGGGATAATTCGTAGTTGCAGGTAAGACGATTCCACTCAGGTGTAACGTCGATTACAGCACGCTCGACATCGAGAAATACTGGGTCGATGGCAGGTAGTTTCAGTGGGTCTATGAGAGATGCAGGCCATTGTTCCCCGATTGATCTAGCCAGTGCCTCGCAACTTGCATCGACGTTTGGCTCATGCGAGCTCTCAGCCTTGACTAGCTGGGAGCGTTTCTTGAAACCAGTTCCCAAGAAAGGCACTCGTGCTTTATCCATCAGTGACATTAGGTAAGATGCCGGGGGTGCTCCATCGACCCGAAAATGATGGTAGGCGGGATGTTCAGGTGGTTGTATAGCACGTATCTCCGGCAACATTGCAAAAGAAGCCAGAACACGTAACAAATCCAGGTCGACATCAGGCGAAAACGCCATCGTCCCCAAGAGGAACATCAACGTGAATCTATCATCGATATTGCACTGCAGTGACTTCTGAGAAAGTGCACCCCACTCTGCTCGAACATCGACAGCAAGGTGATCGGTCAGTAGAGACTTTCGGTAAAGTTTGTCATATCCCCCCACAACCGGCGCGTCATGGAGGAGAGTGATTACTGTTTTTTCCATTGGTAAGGACGGCCGCCATTCTAGGAAGAGCCTGGAAATCTCGAGGACATTCTGGCGACTATCTGATGAAGTACGAAGATCGCGGGAGCCGTAGGGTGTACTTGAACTCCCAAGCCTTCGCTCAAGGCCAGAGAGTTTCAGGGCTCGAATAGCCAGATGAGCGGCTTCCGAAGACACACCAGCCGTTTCCTGGGCATTGCGATCGGGGAAGAAACGCGACAACTGAGACGACCTCCGTAATATCTTCGCAACAGCTGTACTGTACCGATCGTCTTGCATGTATACTGTACAGTCTGCGGTCCAGATCACTGTCTCCATGCACTTCGCATCTTTGGGATAATACCCTCTCTTCGGGGATAGCTCTGCAATCCGATTCAAAGTGGATATTTCGTCACTCAACAACGGGTTCCAGGGTTGATAGGCGCCTGATTGGAGTAGTTGGAGCGCCTCTTCGGTCCCAGTTCGTCCAGTGAGCGGATCGCTTACAGCATGCGAGGTATAGGCATGTAGTAGAGCTTTCATATACAGGAGACGGGGCTCGGGTGCGCATTCAATGCGCCCCAAAACGTCATTGATCACGTATTTCAAGTAGACACCCCTCCTCATCTCAATGGCGACGAGTACGTGAGGTCCATCTTTCTTCACACGCACGCTTCCCCAGGGTACGAGAATACTCTTTTGACGCCGATTGGCAACAGATTGTACGACAATTTTGTTCTCTAGTCCGTACCAGGTTCCTGCATCTTGATTTGGTGGAATAATAGCACCTAGCCGTCGCGAATGCAGTAAGCCATCAAAGTTAATATAAAAACTAAGCTCCATTCGCTTCAGCTCCACGGTAATTTTACCATCCAGCGTAGCGAATACCAAGATTTGGGACGAGAGCTCAAAGTGAGCGAAAATCCGTGTGATTCTCCTCACAAGATCGCCCCCTGGATCGAGCAAGGTGGTCTGTGAATCCTCGTTGAAATGTCGGACTGCACGATAGAAACAACCAGCAGGGTACCAAAGAATCCACCAATTGCTAGGTTTAGACACCCAAGCATCTTTCTGTCGAATCTCAACATGCCCGTCGTTCACATGCAACCAATGGTAGCAGTTCTCAACGAGAGGTCGAGGGAGATCAGACTCAAACGCACTTCCAAGCATGAATTCTAGTAGTCGACCCGCTTGGACGGCTCTGATAATCAATTGGCCATTGCGAAAGCCTAGATGAATCCGATGACCACCCCGCATCGTCTCTGACAGAGTAAACTCCATACCCCGTAATGAAGACGTCGAGACAATCGGATTTTTGGAGCCAAAGATATGCCGATAGGCTGCATCGTTCCGGTACGAGAGCGGTAGGGTTCCCATCTCCTGTCCGTCGATCAAAAGGGTACCGTAGAGGCAATTGTAATGAACGAAATAAAGATGGTTTTCCTCGGCGGACTGAAGGGTGAGTGATATCCATGAACTATCCTGGTCGATCTTTAGGATAGGCTCCGAAGTGTCGTAGTTGTCGGGAATCTGCCATAGGCTGTCAAGTGACGCAATGAATGTCTGCGGGTGGGCGAGGATCGCGCGTCTTATGTGACCACGGTTTTCGTAAGCGAACAATGTGTCTTGTAAAATGGCATTGCGCATATGGTATGGCATGGAGCTGAAGTCTCCGGCCAGATTGTACTGCAGCGAAATTGAAGCATCGATGTATACAAGAAGATCCTCAGGTTCAGCAAAACACTGTGCATCGGTATGCAGCGTCCGCTTGCACAACAGTGCTGCCCATATAGCTGACTGTAGAACATTCGGGTCGTCTGTGACAGCTGATTGCAGTTCCCTCCGCCAATTGTTCGTGATGTTACGCGCTAGTCGGAGAAGCTCAAATCCATCTTTGCGAATGGCATCGCTCATAGTCAACGACACGAGCTTCAGCAAGATCGTGACCAGAAGCTCCATTTGAACAGGCTCTCGCCAGTTTCGCCGTATTGCCTCAAGACGAGACCGAATCTGCTCCAAAAGCCTCGCACATAACTCAGGGTCAAGCAAAGCGCTGTGGACCTCCGTATGACATGTGTCGGCTAGGCCCGGGCCATGTTGTAAGATCAGACGTAGTACAATGACCCAAGTAGACTCAGACGAGAAATTTAAATTTGTTGAACCCATTTCGCGTAAAAGATCAAGCCACCTGGAATGAGTGCCGACTAAGAGACCTTGAAGTGCTGTGAATTCATGTACACCAAGGCCCTGAGGACACCTAGCTTGGTTCGCTTGGATTCCATTCGAATTTGGCCAATTGGAGTATCGTAATCCAAGGTTGGACATTGCGGATCCAGGAGGGAACTTGACGGGAAAATGATGCCAGAACGAGGCTTTCTCGGGGCATCCTGTCCAGACCTTACTATGTCTGTCATAATACCTAGGTCTAAGACCGCAAGTTCGTATGACGTCGTGTACTCCGATAGGGAAACCCCAAGTTGCGTAATGGCTCTCCAGGTGAGCCTTCTTATATGAGCCGAGAGTCACTTGGCAGTTGGTGCCGTTGATGTATGGACGCAACTGTGAATAGTCTCGGATGAGCGATATCCTGTCAAGCTCATCTGCTGGCTGATGACATAACTTAGACAGTATCAACCAGGTTGCATCCCGATAAGCTGCAAACACCTCTGGGCACAAAGTTTCAAATAGTGCCGCTTTCGCAGCTGACTCATAGCTTGGAAGCGGGTGTTCGAAGATCTGGATCCGGATGCTCCTCAGCTGATCACGAAGATGATGCCACTCGCAAGGAACTCTGTGCCGTGACTCGGTCATGCCGTTTGGAAACACAAAAGAATCGTATATGCATTCTTTTTCTTTGAACTTCTTGTCGACCTCCTGGTAATGCATACTCTTTTCTTCCCATTCACGTTCTTTGCGGCACTTGTGATCTTCAGCAATGTCCTCAATCACTTCGCGCATAGCTGGAAGTTCGCCCCGAAGCTCCTCGCTGTCGTAATAGCGGGCTGCAAAGCAGTCGTCAGTGGGATCATCAAAGATTGTCTTGCTCTGCACGTGTGATAGTCGATTCCGATATCGAGCTGCCAGGTATTTTCGTACATCTTGAGCGCGTGACATTTTTTCAAGCGTAAGCAGCTGGATAGGGTCCAATATGTCAGCCTCGAAGCCGGGATGGTAGTCTCCAAGCAATGGATAGCAAGCCAGTGCGTTTTTGTCCATGAGCACCCAAAGTTCCATCAGGTGCAGAAGTTGCTGACTCTTCTGGTTTGGAAAAGAATTGTCGACTGCACAGATCATTGGAACGTAGTCCCGGATTGTCTTGCTTAGCTTGATGACGCCGAGGCCTGGAGGCTGCACTGAATGCTTGACTGGAAGCACCACCTCTTCATGATACTTCGATGATAGAATATGACTGGCAACTGTTCGCATATATGGTTTTACAGAAGCAGCGGAATGTTCGTAAAGTTTCAGAAGCTCAGAGGATGTTCGCTGTTCTGGTATAGGACGGGAATTGTGATCAGTCAAGACGCTTCGTAATATCTTGCCGCTGTTCAGTAGGCGCAGCCGAAACTCATCAGGCTTGGCACGTGAGCGCAAGTACGGAATCATGCGTTCCTTTGATTGCCTGTGGGTTCGCCAAACGTTCTTCAAGTAACCTCCCGTCGTCGCCAGTGTATTCCCGAAGAAATTATCCAAAGAAAACAGCGTGTGGAATTGTCGTGTCGTTGTTGACTCATTGACGTGCTTAGTGTCCGAGTTGAGCTTGGCAAGGCGACGGCCTAGCTTCTGGCGTAGGAAGAAGGCTGCCTCAAGAGGTATCTTTTTCAAGACCTCTTCCAATAACTGAGCATGGAGGATACTCATGATAGTCTTGTAGTGGAGTCGTCCATATTCTGCGCCCATGTGATGATATAGGTGCCGCTGAACCGCTACCCGAAGGACGAGATAGAATGCTGACCTTCTCCACGGCTTTCGCGCGTTATCGAAAACGACCGAGTCCCGCACGCGCTTGCGTAGTCGTGTCACAACTGTCTGAGTCCCGTTGGCCTCCAGTATGGTCATCAGCAGGCCAGAAATTAGAGCTGGATCACTCGTATCTCTGATCTCTGGGACCTTTGCAGCTGCCTTCCAGGTGACTGCCGCAAATTTGGTGACTAATTCGGTACTCGCTTGATGAATGAAAGTAGAGAGAGCTTCTTGGAAAGGCTCCTCGTTGAATTTTGACTCGGGAATTGACACGGCCGAACCGGGAAAGTCCCATTGCAGCGCACCTTTGGCAGCGAGCACTTTGTCGGCAGTTGCGGATGTCTCGAAAGCCTCAAATACTATGCAGCGCTCACCGGAAGTACTGAATATGTTAGTGAGAGAAATTTAGAACGGTCAAGAACACTTACGAAGCCGAATAGTAGACAAGCAGCGCGCAGTTTTGAGGCACAACGTGCAGGATGAGCATCTTGCGGGGATGAAGATTGCGCATCTCTTTCATCAGCGATTGCTTACTAATAGTCCCGTCCACGTTCAGCACTTGACAAGCAAGCAGTGTATCTCGCAACCCGTGGATGTGGGGAACAAGGTCTGCAGAGACATGAGGCGTAAGTATTGCGACAGCGTCCAACATACGCCCCAAGAGTACTTCCTCAATACGGCACAAGTTTGCATCTTCTCTGCCAGGCAGGTTGCGTGGAAGCGCAACGTGATTGAACAGCTTTTCGAAGAACGATAAACGGATGGCGTCTGCCATCGCTGGTCGGCGAGTGCCTGCTGCAAGGAGGCAGCCGGCGAGATAAGTAGAAGTTGGAGAAATTGAAGTAGAGAAAACGTGGGTGAAGATTCCACGTGGTGTGAAAAGTAGACGGGATGTTAAAGAGGACGTGCTCAGTACTAAGGTTGTTTCGGATGCCAAGCATCAATGTGGCCAGGGCTAGGTGACAGCATCACGCAACCTGCGCCGCATTGCTGTTGAACGATGAATGGCGAGCTTTGCACGCACTTGAAATTGCGAGCAGCCTTGTAGCCTTCTGAGTGACCGGTGAAATGGGCTGCATGAGGCACGGACAGAGAAGCTGGTAGCCAGCGGATGCGTGGCTGAGACCCAGACTAGCTGCAGCGATCATGCACATGCTTCTGCTGATACAGAAGCGCCGCTGCGATTTTGGATGGAGACAAGCCTGGAAGATCGCCACGTACTGCTAGCATCTAATCGTACAGTGGCAGGTAAGAGGTACAGACCACCGCGAGTCTATGTACTCTCTCATCAAGTGAGCTGTCCTCTTCTCTTACCGTTACTCGATCAAGTGCCTTGCCTGCTCTTTCAGCAAGAAAGCGGTTGACGATAGGTGAGGCTATCTCTGCCTCGGAACCATCCAATCATGGACTTTCCGCGACGTGATACCGGAAAACCAGGAACCAGTGGTAATGAGACCGATGGGCATAAAGTAAAAGAGTTTCAGAGGCGCATAGACATGTGTATGAATGAAAAAGGTGAAGCAAATGACATAGGAGAGACACCTGAATCCATTGGACTGTCAAGAGGCGCAAGGCTCGACTGGCGCTGCGGCGTGGTCCAGCCGCAGCCTGTTCACAACTTATAGGTCAGTTCAGGCGGCTAGAAATACCTATCGCAATACCTGATTCCGATCTTGATGGGCGATAGCCTTGAGCATGGCGCGACGATAGGTTGTCTGTTTATTGGAGCTGTAATGAGACAGAGCGCGTGGAAAGCCGGCGCATCGATTGTTTTCGTCGACCAGGTTTGTTTCACATACTTGAGGAACAGGGTGGTTGAGTGATTAGAATATAGTAGCAATGTATGGTGAGCCCAGCAGAACAAGCACAAAGAGTGATGAACGGCGGTTGAGGTTTGAAGATGAAGGGTGAGGTTGGCCAAATCCCGTCACCGCTTAGCTCCGCATTAACTTAGCAGCCTGGCGCCTTCCGCTTCCCGTCTCCATGTTCACCCGCCCTACGCGTCCCCACCACGCAGTCGCACCCCCATCTCAGCCTCAGCCACAGCCACAGTCATGGCGATGGGCGAAGCAGACGAAACCCTGCCTCCTCACATCAAGCATGATGATTGATCTCTCACTAACCTAATCTAATGTCTGTGTTGTTCAGCTGCTTCGCCCTCAACTTCCGCCCTTCTGCACAGCCATGCGCCCTCATCTTCGCCCGAGGGCGGAAGCACCAAGTATGGTAGGGCGCTGTACACGGAAGTCTAAAGCATAAGTATCGCTTATTGGAAGGTAAATTGATCACTACTAATCAATATCGAACTCACACAGCTAGTCCCTTGTCCGTCTACTCAGCATGGAGGAACTGCCTTACGATGAGCAATCGTCTGGTTTGGAGCAAGACCCCAGCATGGAAGAAGAGCACAACATGGAGAAAGACTCTAGCATCGAGGAAGAGCTCATTATGGACGAAGATTCCCTCTGGTGGGAATGGGGGTCGGTCTGGTCCTGGGCCTCAAGCGGCTTTGGGGAATACACCGCCTCAATCCACCCCATCGGCTTTGTCGAGCTCCCCTCAGAGTCTGCCATGTACGCTGCAGGTCGAGACCCAGAACATCCCTTCAAAGACTTGCGAGCCGCCCGTTACGCCCATCAACGTACTCGAAAATACTCCAAACGCAAGGATAGCAGAAAGAAGCGTCGGGGGCTTGACAAGGAGCGACTACGATATGGAATCGCGCTCAAGGACGCGTACTTGGGGATCAAAAGCAGAGAATGGGAAGACGACTGGGAGGCAGAAGAGGCACACAACACAGACCTAGAGCACATGGATGATATCCTCGCATACTACCGATTTGGCAAGAACGCAGACATCTTCGAGCGAAGCGATGGTGGCGAGGTGGTCCACGGCGAGGACTTTGGATCCTGGGCACGCCGTCGCATACACGAGATGCGCGCAATCAAGGAAACCAGGATAAGCAAGCATGGCTTTGGAACATGCCCCGAACCACTTCCAGATGTAAAGCAACATACTGTCCAGAACACCTGGCGCCCCGGCCGCATCAACGCCACCATACCAACATCACCGTACTCCAATCCCACCGAAACGACACTTCCCACCACCCCCGCCGATATCGATGCTCACGCCTTGCTCGCGTGCGTCCTCAGCCCCTCCAAATTCCACCTCACATACTACCGCAGCCGCAATCTTCCTCCCTACCAGCACATTGAAGGCTTCGGCTGGTTCGGAGAGTACACATGGCAATGGCATAGGAACGCGTCTGGGTGCTGGACCCTGGGCTACGGCGGCTGCGAGTACGACGGCGCGTTTCCATGTGAATGTTCTTGCAATGGAAGTCTTACATATCGCTGCTATTGCGAGGAGTTCAAGGTGGAGACGTGGCAGAGGGTACCTGCGCCGGAAGAGAAGCAGGCATGTAGTCTGGTTGAGTGGGTGCGAGGTAAGTTGAGGGAGGACATGGAAGATGATGAGCGGGGTTTCCAGGAGCAACTGAGGAAATGGGAAGAGGAAGAGGATGAGTTGATGATGCGGGCCGAGGAAGATGTGAAGAATTGCGAAGCGCACTTTGGGGGTGATGACTTTGAGCGTGAATGGGGACATTATTGGGAAGATGAGTATATAGTATGCGAAAGCGAAGGGAGTGAAGATTGGAGTGTGGTTAGTGGAGTTGAGCAACGCTGATTCGCTACTTTCAAAGACGGTGGTCCTGATGAAGGAAGCAGTAGTCATCTTGAAAGCTGAGCAGAGGATGAAGTAATGTGGTAGAACAAAAGTGCCATAGCATGTATCACATAAAATCTATATTTTGTCTAATCACCGCCTTCATAACAAGCATGCCAATCCCCTCAAACCTCCAACTTCACCTTCCCATCAACCCCACTAACCCCTCTCCCAGCCCTCTCAACCGCCCTCCTCCTCTTCGCCTCCGCCCTCTCCCGATCTTCCCTCATCTGCCTAATCAAAGCACTCTTCTCCCTAATCTTATGCCCATACAGATAAAACACCACAGGAATAGGAATAAGCGCAAACTCAATCAACGCAAGCATCGTCGCGCTCCAATGCGGGCCGAGACTAGCGTACATTTTGGGTCCAGCGAGGGGTAATGCACCACCCATTGCAGAGCGCAAGACGGCGTTTCCAGCGAGCGCAGAGGCAGCGTAGATGCCGTAGGAGTGGACGAGGTAGTTTGAGGCATAGATGAAGACGCCGCAGTTTCCGGCGCCAAAGGGGATGCCGGCGAGGAGGGGGAAGACCCAGTGGACATTTGGGGTGCATGTCCTATGATTCTGTTAGTCTAAAGGCAGTTTTATAGTTTGTGATTCTAGCTTACCATGCGAAGATCATTTCTCCCACAGGCACGCATACAGCTGCGATGACGACAACGCTAACCATGGCTTCGGGATATGGTTTCCCTGTCTCAGGATCTTTCTTGTGGGCGTTGATCATCCGGCGTAGGAGGGGTTCAGAGCTAATTGTTACGACCCCACCAATGCCGATGCCCATGTAGCCTAGGCCTACGAGGCCTGGAGACCAGCCACGGAGTTCGCCGAAGACAATGGGGTACGAGACGAAGCAGAGGTACAAGACGCCGTAGACGAGAGCAATGTAGACGTCCCAAAAGATGCAGATGGGTTCGTTGACGGCCATGCTGAGGGGGCGATATAGATTCTCGCGGAGAAGGGGCCAAAAGGCCTTCTTGTCGTCGTAGCGGCAGTGGTACCTTGGGTCACCCGTCTCTTTGCGCTTCTTCGCGGACTTTGCGCGGAGTATGGCTGGTGCGTACGTCTCCTGAATCATGAAAATCATGAACCATGAGGCGCCAGATCCGATCATGACGACCCAGTTTGTCCATCTCCAGCCTAGGGCTTGGAAGACGAAGCCTCCTATCAGAGGGCCTATAACGGGGCCGTTCATCGGGCCAAGAGACCAGATGGAAAATGCAAGCGCACGGTATTCTTCTCGACTTATATCGGATACGGTTCCTGGAGCATTTGAAATCATGGCCGCGCCGGCAATGGCACCGAAGAATCGCATGACAAGAATCTGCGCCAGGTTGTTCGACAGTGCGCATGGAATGATGAGAACGGTAAAAGTGGCAACAGCGATGAGATACACCGGTCTTCTTCCATACATCTCACTGAGCGGTGCCAGAAGTAGCGATCCAACTGCCAAACCACACAAATACGTTGTGATACCCAGAATAACCAGCGTCTTGCTATGTATACCAAATGTCCGCATCATCCCTGGTATACCGCTTGTGTAAGCTGTAGAGTACATAACTACCACGAGTGTTGAAAAGCTCATGAAGAAGATGACAAGAGACTTTTTCGCCATGGTCCAATCTTGGGGGTTCTCGCCATTGTCGTCAAAGTCGACCTCGAAGCGTGGATCTTGGGTTGCGTTCGTTGTCACTGCCGTAATTGCATCCTCCTTTTCCCCAGGCCATGAGTATCCTGTATTCCTGCTCCACGTCTGATGTATTGCCGGCCGCTGGTTAATCGAGTCGGAGTGCGTCGATGCAGACGAAACGGAAGCGCGATCATCGTCGGATACGATATCTTCGACTACATGGGACTTTTCCGACGTATGTGATCTCAAAGATCCTGTACCGTTCTTCTTCCGTTCAGTTGTCGTTGCGACAGTAGCGCCGCTGTCGTTGTCACTATGTGACATAGTGATTGGTAATGGGGCTCCACGCCGCCAGTAGCAAAGGCAATACACTCACAATCGAGCTATGTTTCGGTGGTATTTCCAAGTATAGCTCGAGAAGAGATTTTGCGCACTTGACTTTGAGAGTTATTTGTATTGTGATGTGATTATGCAATCTTTGCTGGAACTTGGTACCGAGAGGTTCGCAACCAGACGGTGTTGATTGTGAGATACGAGTACTACTGGCCTGCTGGTCTCCTGACCCCCTCCGCAATTGAGCTATGTAGTAGTAGCAGCAAGCTATCCGCGCCTGTGGAAATCGACAAATAGAAAGAACAGCACACTGAAGAGAAAAGCAGAAATGAGGAAACAGACAGACGCCTCAGACCCTGTCGTCGCGCCATAGGAGTCGAGACGGGCTACTAGCGAGCGCCCTTTTGCGCAGCGGCCTTACCTCCTTCATCATGAGCGGTAGCTAAGTTAGCGGGAATAGCGGTGATAACTCCATAATGGTAACCGAGGGGGGCACGCGATCCAGACAGGCCGTTTGCGGGTGCTAAGTGCGGGTCGCTTGTTCGCCACCGCGGCATTGGCGTCGTCGGACTAGGGAGAGGAGGGGTGTGATCCTCGGGTCATGACTCGGCGAGTGTTGAATTCATGGATATAGCTATTCATGTGCAGGTGTTATTGGGCGCATTTGTTCAGATGCAGTAGGCGTGATTGGAGTCGAGGTTGGATTAAGAGCAAAGTAGTCGAGATAGACGTATGATGTCTAAGCGCCGTGCGCCATGTGCGGAAGCAAGCCGCCCATCGGGGAGAAAACTACCCCGTAGACCGAAGTGCGCCCGCCTACTTTGCTCTACTAAAATAGAGGTTTGATATTCAAGCCACAAAGGCGAAGTGAAACCAAGAACTCGTACCCTGGTTTCATTACAAACTTGACCCCGTTTACTTGAAAACGGGGTCAAATTTGTAATGAAACTGAAGTGCCCATATCTACCTTCAAAATTCAGGAGTACCTTACGGGCCGATATCGGAAAATGTACGGCAACAACTACCCGAAGATTTGCCTCAACCGCTATACGGTACACCATGGCCAGCCACAATATGTAACTCTAAATCATACATACAGCACGCCTCCAAAAGCAAAAGCTACTCTCAACGTTCAAACCGGCATTTCTATTTGCCACACAAATCACTCACACCAACTAACAAACTTCTCCACAACGAATTCCTCAAGCCCCCACTTGCCATTCTGTCTCCCAAACCCACTGTTCTTAACACCGCCCTGACTCCCCGTCGGCGAGGTATACACAGAGATACTATTCGCATGCACCTGTCCATACTCAAGCTGCCGTACTAACTTCATGAAACGCGACATATCCCTCGTCCAAACGGTAGCATTGAGACCGTAAGCCGAGCGGTTCGCCAGCGCAACAGCATCTTCATCATTCTTGACTACATACAGCGAAGCCGAGGGGCCAAAAGTTTCCTCGTCAACGATGCGCGAGTCCTTTGGGTTGAGTATGATGGTTGGTTGGAGGGAGAGGTTGGACGACGATGTAGCAGATACACCACCAACTAGTATTTTCTCCCCTTTTTCTTGTGCATCTCGTATCACGTCTTCGGCGTGTGCGGCGATGGAAGAGGATACTGCTGAGCCAGCTGGTCCTTGCATGCCCTTCATTGCCTGCACGAGGAGCTCCTGGAACTTTTCTGCTGCGCCTTCGAGGACGACGATGCGCTCGGTGCTAAAGCAGATCTGTCCGTGGTGTAGGACGGCGCCTAGTGCGCATTGTTTTGCTGCTTCTTCTAGATTGGCGTCTTCGAGCACGAGTGCGGGACATTTGCCTCCCAGCTCAAGTAGCACTGGTTTGAGATACTGTGCTGCTGTTTTCATGATCTGGCGTCCTACTGCTGCTGAGCCGATGAATTCGACTTTGCGGATTGAATCATGTGCTATTAGTGATTCAGTGACTTGTGGTGCGGAGTCGCGGCTGCATTGGATTTGGTTTAGGACACCAGGTGGTATGCCTGCGGCGACGAAAGCTTGTGTGATGGCGAAATGTGTTTTGAGACATAGTTCGGAGGCTTTGAAGACCACGGTGCAGCCGACTGCTACAGCGCTTGCGATGCCGCGCGTGGCGAGGATGAGGGCAGCATTCCAGGGCGCAATACATAGGATGGGTCCGATGGGCTCTTTGAATACGAAGCCCAGTGTGTTTGGTTTCTCCGTAGGTGGGATGACGCCAGTAACACTGCTGATTTGTGCGGCAATCTCTTTGAGATACGATACTGAGAGTGTGGTCTATTGCGACCACGGATACTGTCAGTCGACATGGGGTGTTAATGATGGACACAGAGAAAGGGACGAACTGACATTTTGCTTTGCCCATGCCTCTGTGCATGACGTTTCTTCGATCTGTCGAGCCACAAACTCGTCGATGTGCGATTCATAGTATGCAGCTACACGCAAAATGAGGTCGCGGCGGGTGACATGAGTCGTTTGGCGCCAGGACTTGAAAGCCGTCCAAGATGATTCCACGGCCTGTATGGCGTCTGTGATGGAGGCTGAGGAAGCATTGTGGAAGATGTTGTCCGACGAGGCCTGATTTACTGGAATTGTGGATGATGTAGACACAGCGTGGTTATCGATCCACAGAGGGACCGTTGAATCAGCTGTGGACGACATGACGCGTTTCTGTTTACTCCTTTCACCTGATATACTATCTTTGGCTCGTATCTCATAAAGATGTCAGTTACTTTGTACATTAGAGTGTATAGATTGAGATGGGACAGTACTCCGCAGCCGTGGCGTCATGCGGAACATTGATGCCGATCATACTTCGGCAGATGTTGCATGCAGTGCCGGCGGTAAACTCAATTTGTGGGGAACACAACATAGAAACTACTACCGGAAGATAAGAATCATGTCCTCCCTACTTGTTTAGCAAATAAAGGTCGTAACTGAATGTTATGGAGAAAATGCGATGATGGGGACGATACAGTTGATCTCGGAGATAAGACATTAACCCCGTATGACCACCATTCAAATGCATAACTTTCATGGAAGGCGAAGAAGAGATCAAAATCCCATGAGATGTATTAATCGGAAGATACATTTACCACTAGGTCTACATAGGACGAGTAGAGTACATATCCTCCAAACATTAGTGTTGACCATTGGCACGTACTCCGACATATCGACCACGCATTTCTTCGCCATTCCCTTCAACCAGATTACCAAGTAAAAGTCATCAATTGCGGGTTCAGCACAATCGGCAGCAAAAAGTGATTAACAACCACCGTGCCCATGGGCCAGACAGCAATGAGCGTCGTGATTCTGTATTCCTCATCCAGTCCAAACGCCAACCCAAGCATGACCGCCGTCATGGCCAAGCATATCAAAAAGCTCCACTTGAAGCGCTTTAGCACACGGGTCATGGCCTGGAAGAATCCAATCTGCTCGCTTTCCTTTGACGTGGTACCCCATTCAAGCGGGATAGAGAGAAAGTGGCAGAGAATGGCTTGCGAGATATGGAGGGAGATACCGCCGAGGAAAACGGTGAGAAGGGGGATCCATTTGAGATTTCCAAGGTAACCATAGAAGAGGTTGCCTTCATTGATGCGGTAGCGTAGGACGGCGAGAGAGACATTTCCAAGAACGGTGAAGATCATGATGATGCCGAAGTAGACTGTTATGAGATGTTAGTGGATTGGATGAAAATGGAAAAGATTTGTAGCATATTGGTGTGCAGATGCTTGATACAAGGCACATACCTTTGAATGAGTGAATATAATAATGGTCCAACCATCCATTGAGGAAACCGATGAGGAAGTAATTGAGCATAGTTAGCATCCAGGAACAGGCCAGAGCGTAGTATGTTCCGATGTAAGCCATGATGGTAACCTTGGAAGCGAGTGGCATGCGGGAACTAGTTTAGAGAGTCAGCAATGTGTGGCAAAGGACAAGATAACACCCCAAAGGATTCTTTGGGTCCTTACCGCATGAACATGATGAAGAGGCGGTTAAATGGACCTTTCTTGGGCCACTTGACAATGGGATTGAAGATTAGCTCGTTACAGCCATATGCGTACCTGCGTTCAATATCAGTAAGGGTTCTAGAAAAAGGTTAGAAAATGTGGATTAGGCATACTTCTCCCAGCGGGCAAGCTCGTCGTAGACAGTGAGCGAGACACCCTCCTTGAAGCCATCGCCCTGGTATGCAGCTAGTCGAACGATGAATCCAGCACTTTGGAGTCGCAGACTCATGTCAAAGTCTTCAGAAACGGTTTCCTCTGACCAAAACATGTCCAACTTGGCACCCTGTTCTTCGCTGGATGGATAGGCAACTTTCTGCATCGCAGACCACCTGAGAAAGGCGTTGTGCCCGACGAACGGGGCAACATCACCACCAGCGACGGCGAAGCGAATCTGGGTATAGATCATGTTGGTGAAGAAGGTGATGCCGTTCTCGAAGAAGTTCTGCGTAACGTTCATGACTCCAGAAGAGAACTGCAAGATACCAACGTCTGGGCATTGCTCCATCTCGCTGACAGCCTCGAGAAGACAGTCCTTGGGAACCCGAGTGTCTGAGTCGATAAGTAGAATGTAATCGCCCATGCGGATGTCGCCATCAGCCCAAGCTTCGCCCGCACGCTCAGATAGGGCAGTCTCCATCGCTTCCGCGTAGAGCGCACTTTCTTGTTGACAGGTCCAATCATCACCGCGGGTGGTGAGGTCCATAAGTTCCTCTATCCTGCAGCTAATCTTGAGTCCATAATTCATATTGGATGCCTTCTTGAATTTACCAGGGCGAATGAATGGCTTCGGCCCATGCTCTCCTTTCGGGTCGTGTCTAGGTCGCGCTACCCAGCCAATCTTGTGTTCGTCATAAAATTCTTGACGCTCGGTCGATTCCTCGGCTGTGAGAAGTTGCACTGCAATAGTTTAGCATTCAGTTGCATTGTATCCCAATGGTTGAACTCACATCCGTCGTCGTTGATGAATATGTTTGCGCTTCCTCCTTGTAGCTCGTACGTAGATATAGCGTCCTTGACCGAGCGGATAGTTGGCTCAATAACGGCTCTAAGACCTTCTTTGAAGACTGGCATCTCTATCGTGACGTGCGGGAGTTTCTTGCCAAAGGTATCGCAGTGGATTCGTTTCGGGGCCTTGCCAGAGTAGTATTTGCTGTTCTCAATCATGTGATCAATAGGACCAATAATCTGAGCGATGTTACCAACTATGGCTTGGAAGAAAAACTTGATAGGTTAGTATCATGACAGTAGCAGATTGATGCTTTGAAACCTACCAACGAGAGCCAGACTTGGGCAGGTATACAGATTATGAAGAGCAGTCGAAGCCAGTTGGGGTCTTCAGCTTGCTGTATGGCGATCTCTCTGAATCCAGTCCCGAGAGCCGTAGTTAGGAGGAAAATAGACATGCCAGTGTAAACTGCTTGCCAAAGCATGACATATCGGGGCTCTTCAACTCTGCCTTCGCCGTTATCGAACACATCATCGAAGTCTGTGACGTCGAGAACGGGGTCTTTTCCTAGAACCTTTTCAAGTTCTTCCTGGGCACTATAACCGTACTCAACTCCACAAAAGTTTCTCATCAAGGAATTGATGATGAACTCGGCGCGTTCTACTAGCATCTTGGGATCATCTTGCCATACTAGCAGTATGCCACGCGTAGAGATGAACGCGCCTGACTGTGCTGTCTGAGCTACTGATAGTGCCTCGAAGTCGGCAAGTACTTGTACGCGAAGACCAGACTGAATTTGGACATAGGGCAGTGTATTTCGCTCTAAGATGTACTGGATGATACTGTTGTTGATGGTCATAGCGCACTGTGCTAGTTAATCCCCAAAGCATGGACAAAACGTGACCTTGTGCAACTTACCCGGACGTTGAGCTTAGTGACTGCCTGATATAGGCCGCTGCCGTCATGCTGGATGTTATCGGGTGCACATGCATACTTGCCCTTCGACTGCTTCATGAAAGCGCCCTCTCCAGCTGCTCCTGTGGTCCATACGCGCTCTTCCTGTTTTGCCTGGATCCAGTGGGCCATAAGTTGGGCTTTGAGACCCTTGATATCGTTCTCTCTAGCATCACTGCTATCTTCGGCCGGTTCAGTGGAGCTGGGTGTTCTGGAAGCTGAGGCTGAACTATTACCAAGCTGCATCGGTGTAAAGCTCGCAGGTCGAGATTCGGGGGCTGCTGAAGCCTCCCCAGGCGGGGCGAGGGGATTCAGCGGAGGAGGAGCAGTACCATCGCGGTGGCGGTGGAATGGAGAAGACCCATTTCCATCCTTGTTGCTACGCCAATATCCCATCCTTGCCTTTCCTGTTCGCAGAATCGACTGGAGATTTTGGGGGTGTATGTTTGTAAAGAGTAAGAAAGGATCTATAAGACCGAGAAAACGGCCAGGTGATAGGAGAAGTTGTATTTAAAGCGAAGAAAGTTGCCCACAAAAGATTTGTAAATGGCCAGCAATCTTGTAGATAGTGACGCAACGCCCATCAGACTGTTGAGCGGCATAACGAGCCTATCTACGACAGGCATTGTGAAAAACAGGCGCATACCTCATTAACAAACCATAGGATATATGGGTCAACCGGTGTGAGTGGGTTCTCTGTGTTGAGGTGGTACTGAACCCGCAGTGGCGATACCCTGATTATCGATACTGGCGAATTGTACTCATGCCTTACTGGCTTGTTCGTAAATCTTTATGTGTTGCCAGAGCATATGCAGGGACCATATTACTATCGTATCGCCAATGGGTCCACCCTGCATTATTCGTGTGCATGTTCGGCGATGGGAGACTTGCTTGGCGTCAGGCGCTTGCAACTCTGGAGACTGGAGAATGGTTGGGTTGGCTCGTAGCCACATATAAGAAAAATTACTGGGATGAATGATGGTGTGGTGGAGTTGATGATATGTTGATGGAAGCGTTGAACATTATGAGTGGGGAACAGGGTTGGCCGAGTCAATTGTAAGTGCGGCCAAACTAAAATTCGCTAACATGATCCATGGGCGAGCGGCGCACACGGGCGAGCGGCGCACCCCACCAACTTTACTCACCTTACTGATCTTAATCTACAATGGCTCAACGCAGCGCTACTCAATTACTATCAAATGAAGCAGATATTCAGCTTGCTATCTCATCTATTAATGCGCACCAGATCCAAGGTACCCGTACTGCTGCAGTAGTCTACAACGTAGCCGAAACAACGCTCCGCCGCCGACGCGCTGGTATACCTGCCCGACGCGATTGCCCGCCCAACTCGAGGAAGCTTACCCAGAGAGAAGAGGAGGTGATTATTAGCTATATACTTCAGCTAGATCTGCGTGGATTTGCGCCTACCTACACAGCTGTACGTGATATGGCTGATAAGCTGCTGGCTGCGCGTGGTGGAGAGCAGGTTGGAGTCAACTGGCCATCTACCTTTGTTAAACGTACAGACAGTCTTCGGACGTGTTTCAACCAAGCGTACGATAGGCAGAGAGCTCTTTGTGAGGATGCAACATTAATAAAGAGGTGGTTTAAGCTTGTAGAAGAGACAAAGGCTGAGCTAGGTATCTGCGATGAGGACGTCTACAACTTTGATGAAGCTGGCTTTATGATGGGCAAGATTACAACGCAGCTAGTTATAACAGGAGCAGAGAGGAGAGGCAGGCCGAAGAGTATTCAGCCAGGCAATCGCGAGTGGGTAACGCTGATCGCTGCTATCAGCGCTGCTGGCTGGTCAGTCCCACCGTTCCTCATCTTCGCTGGCCAGTACCACCTATCAGCCTGGTATAAGGAAGCTGAGATCCCACGCGACTGGGCGATCGCAGTCAGCGATAATGGCTGGACGAATAATGAGCTTGGAGTTGAGTGGCTAAAGCACTTCAACGCTCACACGCAGGCTCGTAGTGTAGGCGCGCGTCGCCTGCTTATTATTGATGGCCATAAGAGCCACCAATCTCTAGAGTTCCAGGAGCTCTGCAAGGAGAACAATATCCATACGCTCTGTATACCTCCTCACTCATCTCACCTACTCCAGCCACTTGATGTTGGCTGCTTCTCGCCATTGAAGCGCGCGTACAGCCGTGAGGTGGAGAGCCTTATGCGCAACCACATCAACCACATCACCAAGCTAGAGTTTCTGCCAGCGTTCAAGGCAGCATTTGATCAAGCGTTCACGCCAGCCAATATCTGCTCAGCCTTCCGCGGCGCAGGCCTTGTTCCTCTACAACCAGAGGCTGTTCTATCAAAGGTAGATGTACAACTGCGTACACCTACTCCTCCAGCAGCTCTGCCAGAGGCTCCCTGGGTAGCTCAAACGCCGAGCAACGCGCGTGAGCTTGAGGCTCAGTCAAGCCTAATACGTGAGCGCGTGCGCCAGCACAAGAGCTCATCACCAGCTTCAATTATTATGGCGATTGACCAGCTAAAGAAGGGCGCCGAGGTGATGATGCTCTCTGCTGAGCTGATGCGCGATCGGATCTCTAGTCTTGAGAAGGCCAATAGCGCAGCCTCAGAGCGTAGGCGGCGCTCTAAAAGGCGTATACAGAAGCATGGAGTACTCACAAAGGGAGCTGGAGAGGATATACTGGCTCAAAATGAGGCTGACCAGCAGATTGCTCATGAAGAGCGTCAAGGAGGAGCGCGATCAGGCCTCAGCCAGCGGGCTCAAAGGCGCTGCACTAGGTGCAAGGAGACTGGGCACAACTCGCGCACATGCAAGACTGATACTATTAATATAGAGTAATCTACTGTATCAATATCTAGCAATAATATTATCGCGTTGTTGAGATGCATCGCTTTAAAGTTGCAAAAGTTGGTGGGGTGCGCCGCTCGCCCGTGTGCGCCGCTCGCCCATGGATCATGTTACCGGCAGTACTTTTGTGGCGCTGCGTCTATTCAGCACAATCAACAAAGACATAATTTACGCATGCAAACGCGGACGCTGGAAAATGCGCGGCATCGGGCATCGCACATCGGGATACTCAATACTGTTTACGGTCGAAAGCGACCTCTGTTAGTTATCAAGAGGGGTCTCATGCTTTAAGGGGGGAATTTGGACCCACACGAGCGAAGATAGAAAGTAAGAAGAAAGCGGTTGTTTACGAAACCTGGCAGTCATGATGATAGCGACAGAACCTGGCCCGTATCCCACTAACTCTGGTTCTGGTGCACAGGGGCATTATGAGCCAACGGTGTAACTTCAACGCCCAGATCCAACAGAAACGTCACCCCTGGACGGTCATGTATTGATGATGATCGATAATTGATGTCTCGTTTTGGTCAAATACACAAAGCCAATAGCCGTAGTAACCATTGTGTCAAAATGGTCGACGAATTTATTTGTACATGTATGGACACAGGGACAACCTAATTTGACACATTGCGAAAACAGTTGAGAGAACCCCCAACGGAGTTTGATGGATCAGTCGGCAAGCCTGGTGGATCAGTACGGTACGAAACGAAATCTGTTGAGGGTGAGACTTACCTGTAGCTGACCAATGTATCTACACGATGGCTACTGGTGCTGAAGCTTCGGAGTTGCACCTTTTCACCATTTTTAATTTCCTTCGCATCGCTGTCGCCCCATTCCATAGGTACCTCTGAGTCGGCGTCGGCATAGACAAGTACATTGAAAGTGCAGTTGCCGTCTAACATGGGTAAGAAGGTGACTGATGCGGTGATCTGCCTGAAAATAGACTGAATCTCAGCTTGGATCTCAGACTCGGTCTTCTCTTCTGGGGCATCGCTCGCTCTGGGTATCGTCAGTCTACCGTTTTCTCTGCGACGCGGCCCACTTACTCTGGTGTCGAGTTTTCTTGGTCCGTTGTTTTCTTGGACGATTTGGAAGTGCCGGTTTTGCCAAAGATTTGCACCTGTCTGAGGTCAGAGGAAGACATTCAGTGCACAGTGATGTTCCATACATCAAATTGCCATCGTTCAACATGCTCTCCAGTTTCTTTGCTCGTGATAACAACAACAAGCTTCGAAATCTTGCCACCATACATCCATTCTTTTAGTTGTCCCATAATCTTCTTGATGTAGGCTTTGACCTGATCATCCGCAGTAACTGAAGCTGTTAATAGTGCGATGGCAGTGGGGTCGGTTGGACTTCTCACCCATCATAGTCAGACCATACTTTTTGACTCTGCATTTGGTTAGTGGATGAAGTGGCAACTTGTAAGACTAGTGCTTACGCGGTAAAGTCCTCGGCTGGGTACACGCCTCGTTGAAAGCTTGAAGAGATGATCAGTTCTGGAACGCCGGGTTGGACGGTTACATATGCTTACAGGATGGTGTTGATTGAATATTCGAACTAATTCGGGTAAGCGCGCGATGCTAGACTAAGCTCAGTTGACTTACAAACTCATTGACGACCTTGGATGAGCCCTTTAGCGCGAGTTTGTGCACCTTGGAGGAGTCGCTCTTGGAAGATTTCGACTTGGAAGACTTTGATGTTGATGCTGACTTTGAGGACGCTGACTTTGAAGTTGCCGACTTTGAGGTTGACGACGATTTGGACGCCGCCTTTGACGACGTCTTCGGCTCCGACGTGGAAGGTGTTGGCATTGTTTACGGTGTTTGTTGATGGGGTAACTACGACCGGCGAGGAGGAAGTGGCGAGACAACACACACGTCTCACAGAAGTTCGGTTGGCGTTTACTAGGGCTTAGATTTCAAGTAAGAGCCAAAGCAGTGTGCTTTCCGAATGGCAGTATAGTCGAGACGATCGGGTGGTGGGCCTTGAGTGGGTGACGGTAGATGCAGGAACGGGCGGTGGCCGATAAGATAAGCAACGCACGACGAGAAAAAGTGCAACACCATCACCAGAGCGACGGGCAGCAACGCATTCATCCGACTCCATGCCCACTAATGCGATCATGCGTGCGAACTGCGAGCAGCCTCCTGCACGGCTGGCGGACGCGGGCAGCCCACCCCAGAGACTTTCGGCACCCGTCGCGCCTGCTTGAGCGCCTCACGACCCCCCTCGCCGCCAGAAGCTATGCCCAGGCTTTCCGCCCGCAGTCGGACCTGGAGAAGCGCATCGCCCAAATCCCCATTGACCGGTACCGCAACTTCTGCATCGTCGCCCACGTTGACCATGGCAAGTCGACGCTGTCGGACCGCCTACTGGAGATTACAGGCACCATCCAGCCCGGTGGACAAAAACAATTCCTTGACAAACTGGACGTGGAGCGCGAGCGCGGCATCACAGTCAAGGCGCAGACATGCACCATGATACACACACACGAGGGCCAGGACTACCTGCTGCACCTCGTCGACACGCCCGGCCACGTCGACTTCAGGGCCGAGGTGTCGCGCAGTTACGCCAGCTGTGGTGGCGCACTGCTGCTGGTGGATGCCAGCCAGGGCGTGCAGGCGCAGACGGTCGCCAACTTCTACCTCGCCTTCTCCCAGGGATTGACGCTGGTGCCAGTGCTGAACAAGGTCGACCTCCCACATGCCGACTCTCCGCGCGTGCTCGAGCAGATGAGAGAGACATTCGAGCTGGACCCCGCCGATGCCGTCCTCGTCTCCGCAAAGACCGGCCTCAACGTTGCATCGCTCCTTCCCACTGTTGTGGAGAAGATACCTGCCCCTGTCGGCGACCTTAAGAAGCCCCTGCGCATGCTGCTGGTCGACTCGTGGTACGATGTATACAAGGGCGTCATTTTACTAGTGCGTATCTTCGACGGCCAGGTGCGACCGGGCGACACCATCCGCTCCTTTGCCACCAAGCTCAAATACATTGTGGGCGAAGTCGGTATCATGTACCCCGATCAGACGCCGCAGACCGTCCTGAAGGCTGGCCAGGTGGGCTACATCTACTTCAACCCCGGCATGAAGCGCTCGCAGGAGGCCAAGGTTGGCGATACATATACGACCATCGGGTCAGAGAAGCTGGTGGAGCCATATCCAGGCTTTGAAGAGCCAAAGAGCATGGTCTTCGTTTCTGCCTTCCCTACCGACCAAGACAACCACGAGCATTTGGAAGACAGCATCCAGCAGATCATCCTCAACGACCGCAGTGTCACTTTGCAGAAGGAGTCATCCGATGCACTGGGCGCTGGCTGGCGCTTGGGCTTCCTAGGCACACTGCATTGCTCCGTCTTCGAGGACCGCCTACGTCAAGAACATGGTGCCAATATCATCATCACACCACCATCAGTACCATTCAAGGTTATATGGCGGGATGGCACCGAGTCCATCATCACCAACCCCAACGAGTTCCCCGATCAGGACCAGGCACACTTCAAGGTGCAGGAGGTGCATGAGCCCTACGTCTCCGCCACCATCACCCTGCCCGACGAGTACCTCGGTGAGGTCATCAAGCTGTGCGAGGCCAACCGAGGCGAGCAAAAAGAACTCACCTTCTTCACTGCTACACAAGTCATCCTCAAATACGACATACCGTTATCACATCTGGTTGATGACTTTTTCGGTAAACTCAAAGGCTCAACCAAAGGTTATGCGTCCCTCGACTACGAAGATGCGGGCTTTCGCAAATCTTCCATCATCAAACTTAACCTACTTGTCAACGGCTCCCCAGTCGATGCCGTATCGCGCGTTCTGCACACATCGCAAGTCGAAAAAGTGGGTCGAACATGGGTTGAGAAGTTCAAAGAACACGTTGAGCGTCAGATGTTTGAGGTCATCATACAGGCTGCGGCAGGTAGGAGAATTGTGGCGCGCGCAACCATCAAGCCGTACCGCAAGGATGTCCTTGCCAAGCTGCATGCCAGTGACCTCAGTAGACGACGCAAGCTGCTCGAGAAACAGAAGGAGGGTAGAAAGAAGCTAAGGGCTGTGGGAAGTGTTGTTATTGAACAAGAAGCGTTTCAGAAGTTTTTGGCCAAGTAGAAAATCGATACCCCTCCGCTCAACTCATCTCCGCATCCCATGGTTCTGGCATTGACAGCTGACACTGGCGTCGGCGCAATCAGACGCATCCAGAGCCTGACGCGCCAAGACGGTTCTTGCTTGTTGAGAAGGAATACAAATTAGTAGAATCATACTAACATCATACTTCTTCCAAGCGAAGGGTCCGGCTGCTTATACCCCTCTTGCATTGGGTTTCGGCGTGCCCAACCAGCCAGTGGTTCATCCCAGGTTATGAATCGCTCACGGCCGTCTTAAGGCTCGATCGTGTGCTTGATCGGCGCTAATGTGTCGATGACATCAGTGGGTCATCGAGATCGCACGGCTTCGGGCATTTGAAGGAACCACTCGGCTTGCTTTTCCCGTCGCGTACCTGCAGATATGTGAAAGTTTTAGCGCATCGTAGGATCGTTCGCTGATCTCTGCGCGGTCTGGATGCCATGTCTGATCACGGGTCGTGTGGTCCAAAGTTGGTACGCTTGAAATAGTTGGAAGCATCATAGACAATGAGAGGGAAGATAAGGCAGCTGGCTGACCACGAACACAGCTGAAATGGGTGTTAAGAGAACGGTTATTTACTAAAATATTAGTCCGGAAATATATCGTCAAGAAACAGGGCTCTCATGTCAACGAAAAGCTGCGCGTCAGAAGCCTTGCCTTACAGCGGCTCATAGCGCCTCTGCGACCCCTCGCTAACCTTTATCGAGCATAAATCACGAAGCTAACCTTGGAAAAGGCCTGTTATTTCAACGGTACACTTGTAATAAGTTGCAGGGAATGACGTTAACCTTCTGGGCCGGCCGTTGCGACAAGCGGACAACATGGGCGAAAGCTCATATCTCGAGGCCGCCGATAATATGTGTCAGCACAGCAGGTACCTTGTCAACGCGGCTTGTTGTTTCCTTTACATTTCACATATTCCCGTGGGATGAAGTTTTGCTTCCTTTTTCCTTCGTGAGGTTTGCTGTGCAGCTTGTTAATGCAATGGCGAGATTCCTGGGTCTTAGAGGTCGACCTTTAGCGAGTGCCATTAGCGTCACCTGCGGCCTTTGCTTTTTGTACGTTGCCTTTCCCAGAAGCAGTAATCCATTGTACACTTCATTGTAGACTAATATTCAATATACAGATGTTTTGGATATGCACAGGGTGTGATGGGCGGTCTGTTGACCGTTCAGCGATTCTTGGATAGATTTCCAGAGGTAGACATCGTCAACGATTCGAGTTTTCATCATGCGTGGGTCACAGGTACATCGAAATCTGAGTAGATTTTACTACGCAGTAAAAGTACTGACACATGTAGGTCTCACTGTGGGGACATGGCATCTGGGATGTATCGTGTCGGCCGTCGCGACCATCTTCATTGGTGACTTGCTTGGACGACGACGCACACTCATCATTGGCCTTACATTCTGGGTCATTGGCGAGATCATCCAAACTTCCTCTTATAGCTTCCCGCAATTCATTGCTGGTCGAGCGATCGCAGGTTTTGGTAGGCTGTCTTCCATTCCGCAGCTTTGGGCATACACTGACAATACATCAAGGCAACGGCTTTACTACCTCAACCGCCCCAGCCTACCAAGCAGAATGCGTCAAATCGCACCGCAAAGGAACAATACTTATGATCAGCGCCGGGGCCTTCGTTTCCGCCGGCATCGCCCTCTCGTACTGGTTCGTCTTCGGCTGTGCCTACATAAGCGATTCCTCCGCATCGTGGCGCATACCCATTGCCCTGCAGATTGTATTTGCGCTACCTGCCATCTTCATGCTCAACGTGCTTCCCGAGTCTCCACGTTGGCTGATTCTGACCGGCCGCGAACAAGAAGCACTCACGGTACTTGCGGCTCTCAACGATGACGAGCCTGATAGCTTCGAGACGAAAGACGAGTTCCTACAGATCAAGGACGCGATTTTGATCATGGCACAGGGCTCGGGCGCAAGCATGTTCTCGAACAAGGAACGGAGAGGCTTCCATCGTGTTGTCTTGGCATATTTCGTTCAGGTTTTTCAGCAGGGCACTGGGATCAATTTGGTCTTGCAGTATCTTTCCTGGATCTTCCTTACTCGCATGTCGTTTGACGGATGGCTGGCTAGACTACTTGCATCCTGCTCAGCTACCGTCTACTTTCTTGCTTCCTTCATCGTTGTAGTGGGTATTGACCGCTTCTGGGGTCGACGCTCCTTGATGATGTTCGGTGCGACGGGCATGTGCGCTTGCATGATTCTTGTCACCGTTCTGCAGTACCTCTGGTCCGAGCACGGCAGCCAGGCTGGAAGAATTGCGAGTACAGTTTTTCTCTTCATCTTTTCTGTATTTTTCGCCATCGGATGGCAGGGCATGGCTTGGCTATACCAAGTCGAAATCGTACCTCTTCGGATCCGTGGCCCTGCGAACGGGCTGTCGACTAGTGCTAACTGGCTGCTTAACTTTGTGTCAGTCACGATTCCGTTCGTATTTTTTTTGATTATGTCAACGACTAACATCAAACAGAGTTGTTTTCATCACCCCAATTGCGTTCCAGCGCATCGCATACCGCACATGGATCATCCTCGCCGCTACAAACTTTGCCATTGTTCCGCTTGTCTACTTCTTCTACCCCGAAACTGCATTCCGATCCCTGGAAGAAGTTGATGTGATATTCCAACTCGCAGACGATGCGCCAGGAAACCCCTGGCTTACAGCCGTCAAGATCTCCAAGAGTGAACCCCTCTGGTTCGGCAAGCAAGATCCCGAAAAACGGCTCAACTTCAACTACGGGAACAGCTCGTGGCATAAACGACTAGTAGAAAGTCTGGCCAGCAAAGGAAGTGGAAGCGGTACTGACAGTGGAACTATGGAGCGGCGGCCATGGACTAATGGCGAGAGTCCAGATACAACACTAAGAAGCTTTCCTGGTGAAGGGAAACGCTCAGGATCTCCTAGCGACACGCGCTTTGGGACTACCGCTCCTCTCAGCCCTAGCACGACCGTGACAATGACAACAACCATCACATCCGATAAGCATCAGCGACGAAAACTACAAAAGCGAAACTCCAGTTCCCGCGCTAGCAGTCGACACAGCTACACGGGCCATCAAGAAGCTGCCCCAGTATTCGGTCTATACCACACTGACACCGACGATAGCGCTCCTCCTCCCGTAGTGCCGTTACAACGATCGCGCCCACCATCTCACCACCGAACACGCAGCACGAGCCAAGGCAGTATCCACTCCGTCCGACCAGAATGGTGGACAGAGAACCTTGCACCAGTGCCGATCAACGCTCGTAGTAGATCAAACAGCCAAGTCGGCAGCGTCAGCATAGTGGAAAATCCTATCAACCAGCCCCACGTCCGCCGCGCCTCCTCCCGCATATCCCTACAAAGCAGGAGCGCCAATGTCTCAAACAATGCTCTAAACCGCTTCATCAACCCCGATCTTCTCGCCGACGCCGAAGACGACTACGATCAACCATATCGCAGATCAGCATCTTCGCATGTCCAGCCCCAGCTTCTCCACCATTTCCCTTCTTCATCGTCGTACAACGACCCACACCACAGCCGTCGCTCTGACGTTGATTTCTTCATCGATATTAATAACGAAAGGGATAGTGCGGATGATACATACCCTGGTCGTCTGGACACAGAGGAACTGGGCAGAGGCAGGAGCGTTATTTCGAGAACCCCTAGTCAGAGGGAAACATACCTTCCCGATGGCGTATATGAGGTTGTGGAGGGGAGAGTTAGGCAGTTGAGTGCGGGGGGAGCGCCGGGGAACGGGGATAACGGGAATGTGAGGAGGGTCTCTGCGAGGGGCGCGGGTAGAGCTAGATAAGTAGGTGCTTTTGAGTACGGTTTCGGAGGATTTGTGAGCCGTACGGAGTGTTTTGTGTGGAGGTTTTTTGAAAAAGTGCGGAATCGACGGGACGGAACGGATTTTTTTGTTCATCTTCTAGGAGGATCGAGTTTGGATATGTTCTTTCTTCCAACTTCCAACTTCTACCTCATATCTTTTCTATCAGCTATCTAGCTGGACTTAAACATTCTTCATCATCACATCTCCCAAGTTCCAATCTTGCCACTGAGTCATTCGTGACATTGCATTTCACCCGCGGTATTTCGTCGAGCAGTGACATAATCCACGCGCTGTGAAGAAGAATGAAACGACTAGTGCAGGTACGCGACTTATAGTAGCGACTAAGTAGTATGGAACTTGGCGGGGGAATGTCAGCAAAATGTATACATGAATTTTCGAAGTTACAGCTTTGCAGGTTGGATAGTAGGTGGATAAGTTGCCCATTTAGGGGGATGATCTCTTATTTTAGTTCCGATGTAGGTACCTAGATTAGTGCCTATCTGGGATAAGAGTGAAAAAACTCGGCAGAGCTCTCGTCAAGATCATGTAATCGCTGGTTCTTCAGTAACTGCCTATATGATAGTACTCACAGTCCGCAACAATCAATTAAGTGGGTCCTAGAAGGTTCAGATTGGATTGATTGATTACCGCTTTAAGCCTAGTAGTTACCTATAGGAGTTTAAGCCCTACCTAGATAGGTAAGTGGGTCTAGGAGAGTGACCGGATTGAATTGATTGTTGCGGAGTCTAATAGTACTAGACTATACGAATTGATTTCTTCTACCGTTCTCGGGTTTTAGGGTCATGTTAGATTACCTAGGTATCTGCTTATAGGTCTTGTAAATCTTTGTAAAAATGATGAGTATTTAAGACTGAATTTTTGTTGTTGTTGTTGTTGAACTGCGGGATGCTCGCTCGCTATGGTTGCCTATACCATTCGACGAACAAAACGTCCGAGGCCACGCCGTTAGCGAATTCCGCCAACAGGAAATTCTTCCGATCTGACCGCCTAGCTGGATGGAATGAGAAAAATTTCACTCAGGTACCCAGGTACGTCGAGACCGGTGTGTTGTTTTGCGGGTCAAGCTCATGGCGTAATCACCTTACCTGGCGGAGTCAATGGTTATTCATCTCGACTTGCGGGTTCATCTTTGCCCCAGTGATCAATCCTACAGCCTATTTTACTCTAGCAAGGACATATGTATCCCATAGTGCACTGGTTGGTTTTCGTTGCGATTGCAAGAGCCTTCATAGCCCCCCTTGGCTCTTTTTAGCCTTTGTGATAAGTACCTAGGCACGGTGCTTCTAGTGACATATGTGACGGTTCATGAGGTAAGGATATGCTAGATGCCACGTGGTAGAGAGATGGTTCCTCCTCATCTTGATGAGCACCTTCTACACCTATCCGTGTCATAGATACGTCATGTAAACAGATCATTGTGATGGCCCTATAAAAGGCGATCACCATAGCAGAACACACAGAACAAAACATCAGCCTTTGCAGAGCATCTTTCTCTCACTGCTTGCACTGTTACAACATACCCGTGGGTAAGATGGAGACTATTGCAGGTTTATAGAGGGCACACGTGAGAAAACGGCAGTTAAAGCGGGGCCGAGCGATGAGATAGGTAGATTATCTTTCACGAGATTAACAGTGTCAGCATGCATAGGCGAACCCATGTAATCATAGCGCGAATTCGTAGTACCAACTCCACAATTATCGTATTCGCGATAGAAGTTCCACCGAGCAGAAAACTATAAGACTCTAGAATACGACAAGATAGTCCTTTAAATACCTCTGTTTTTCATTTTGTGCAGTATCGCCATCACTTCAAGTCCTCCGAGAATCTATCCAGACATACCCACTACTTGCAATAACGACAAAGCCAACAATACCTCCTGCGAATTACTATCGTATTGTACTCCTGAGTTCACTACCGATTTGGTTTCCCGAGCAACGATGCAACTCTCCGTTCTCCTAATTCTCCTCACCGCTGGAGTAGCGTCTGCGAAATTTTGCATTGGTGCATCCATCGTATGCGTCTGTAAGTTTATTATGCTACTGCGCATATCACACAGATACGCACGTGTAAACACAAATACTGACTAGGTTGTAGATGGGGAACAGAGATGTGCAAAATCTTGTTACAAATGCAGTTGTCCCGATAAGATGATTTTCCGAGAAGTCAGTATAGGGAGGGAATGGCAGCTGACGGATAGGTACTGCAGCGTTTTTTTCCTGGATGCGACGCCGGGCTGCCCGGAAAGTGCATTATAGGCGAATTCTTTCGACAGATAGGGTAGGAAGTTATTTCCAATTCGAGCGTGTGCGCACGAGCTATTTTGCTCATTCTTACCGAGATGTGACGTCAGCTTAGAACTAACGCGTCTCTCGAATACTTCTTCAGATCATGTCGTCTAGGTACTATTTGATTTCTGTTTGGCTTCATACGCGCATTTTGCTCGATATTCCTGCTCAAGGTTTATACACCCACTCCCCACGACGATGCGTATTGCCCTCACTACGCTTGCGGATATCCAACGGCAATGGCAGATTCGACTATCACATCATGCTTATCCGAGTTACGACATGAGCGGAGATTGTCTTGAACACCTGTACCGACTTCGTTTCGAGAGCGCATTGTCATGGTATCGCGACAGCTCGAACAATGCCGGCCACACTGTCACACTGAAAATGTCTTACCGGTCAACCCCAGAGGTCTTCCTGGTACAGCGTCTGGAGTCAGGATCGCTGGGAGATATATCCTAGAAACTAGACTCATACCCCTGCTTCATTGAAGCAGCCATCATCATTTCAGGGTCGCTGTGTGTTGTGGTCTAATCAACGAGAGGCTGTTAACAGTCACCACCAGAACGCTATGACAGGTCACGCGGCCGCCCTGCATCCGAACACAAGCGTGAAACTCTGGAACGACCTCTGTATAACAGCCCGTAAGCCTTTATGGAATCAAGCACAAGCCGATATCTAGACAATTCAGATTATATTCATAGCGTACAGATGGACTCGAATACTAGATTCCGACCGTGGTTCTGAGCCCAGAAGACTACGTGCACTAGAAAGTAGAATCAGATTACCTCGTCTTGTTAATCACGTATATGGGATTACCGTTACCAGATCTTGGGGAACGCAGCTCGGCTGTGCAGTGATGCCCAACTCGCTGCGATACTACAGGTGCGTATCTTGCGGCCGAACGTGTTGGTCACAACGTCAGCAGTGTCACCGATTGCGCTATCGTTACACGCTGGTTCTTCCGGTCAATTCTCCGAGTAAAAAACATCGAAGTGTTGGACTAGAATCGGTGTACACGCGAGAACCAGCAGGACAAGCATTGAAACTTGTTTTAGTGTACCATCGGCTCATAGCGTTACTGAAGGACGAATTCTCTGACGACGGGATCTATAAAACATATCTTAGGGTCTGATCCGAGAGAGAAGGTTCCAAGATACCTCCCGAGATCATCTCAAACTGCACAATTCTCATCAGTGCCGGGACATCATCATCTGACAGGACCCAAAACGCTGTTCCGGGTACTTACCGTCAGAGTGGTCAAGCTTGTATGCAGGACTTGCCCATTTCGTCCACCGGTTTATGTGTCGTGAACTTTCTAAGATAAATTCTCCTCCTTTATCGATCTGAACCAGAGTCACCGGTCGCATGCATAGTGCACCATGAGCAACGTCGTACGCGAATGCGACCATATTTAGGGATTTGGTACCTTGAGGGATATGTTTTTGGAAGTGGTGAATCTGTGCGTTCTCGTGGCAGCTGACTGGTAATGATGATGTTATCATGAACCTTGCCTGCCCTGTAATGTCATACAAAAGACAGTCTCGAATAGACAAATGCTATGCTGACATGCGTTTTGCAGTGCCGGATCCATCTATCACAAATGTAGTTGAGAATTTATGCCCAAGCATCTGCATGCCCTTGTCTGAATACGGCAGGCGCAGTCAGATTGGCTGTCCGAGCATGGAATGATTCATGATAAGGTGCTCCATCAACACGTATGATCGATCTATCGCAAGCACTTTATGTGTCATCACAGTTCCATAAAGAATACTATGGTTACTTCAAACCATCTATAAGAACTTATGAAAGCACTGATCCGCCCTTCCAGATCCCAAAGGTGCACATAAAATATATAAGATTTGAGGAATCAAAACAATACCATTCCCCTCGGCCAGTTTGACCGCTACGATGCCAGAAATCAGTCACCACCACTTCTCACGTGTTCCAACAACGCCTCCACCCCCTCCATGCTTCCCGAGTCATCCAATGGCATTGTACGTCACCGGATGTCAAAAGTGCGGAGGCAACCCGTAAGTCAATTTGCTTGTCAATCTCCAACGTTATCACCTCATTTTCTTCCCCTTAGCGGAATGCTTAATGTTTCGACATACTGACTATATGTCAGCCATCGCCAAGTAATATGCGATGCTTGCAATGGAGGAACTACAAGAAAGAATTGCGCATCTTGCCTACAATATCGCCGCGCAGTGGGTATGACGTACGAGTTGGCACAAGCGTAACAGCATCGGTTTGATCGTTTTGCACGTTCTCCGATAACGGCGCTCTTGAGAAGCAGCTTATATGGGAAGATTGGAGAGACAGCTATTTTATACTTCTGAGGATATCCTGCAAAGAGGTCACTGCTATCTATTTTTGTACTTCTCTCGATCAGTATTGGGTACCCCAGCATTCTTACCACTGTCGATGACTCTTATACCTCATTTGTTCTTCTGTACGCTCGTTCACAATGAATTCACTGTCTCCTTCTCTTACTAGTGATACGTAACAACTAGTTCGAAAAAGTATAACTATGAGTAAACGATATATAAGAAGAAATAGGCTCTTCCTCTCTTAACCTTGACCTTTCTTTGCAAGGACGCAAGATACCTGACAAACTTGACATTGATAAACACAGTGAGACAACCCAGGTAAACAAGTCACCCGCGGTTTTCACGGCCCAAGAACCGAGCCTATCGCTCTAGATGCTAAATTAGAGGACTTCGTCCTACTGCTCGCTTGGCATTTGAGACAGTACGACGCAACACAAACGACAGGAACAGGTTGGCACCTACACCATCAGGCCACCTCGAGCTCAGCGGATTACCGAATCTGTCTAGATACTGTGAGCCTGAGAATCCGAGGGAAAGGCAGTGCAACGATGCCTGCGTCATCGCATCCCAGTATACTCGTGCCCTACCTCATGGTCCTCGGGTTCTTTCGCATGTGTACTTGCACGAATAATGTACCACATGGCACGTGTTGTGATAAACCGCATTGCACCTTCGGTTGGGTATTTTCTTTATTGCAATGGGAACTATGTCACATGACTACAGGATACTTACTCTTAGCTCTGATGGTGGGACCGTATTTGTAGAACAGGAAGGGAATGGGTATCATAGCCAGAGCAAGGAACCCGAGGAGAGATGCTGCACAGCCAATGCCGAGGGCTTCATACACTAGCATGGAACGTTAGAATTTCTGATATTGCCCGTTGTTCGTTTGAGGCTGGCTGCAAGGCGACCTACTTTGTACAGTGAAGAGAGCAGAGTTGCTATCAGTCAGTTCAGTCAGTCCGGAGCTCTCTGGACTGACTGAACTGACGTCCTGAGGTCACTGAACTGGACTGGACTGACTGCCAAGACTTTTCAATTAAACTAAAACTGACTGACTGAACTGACGTCGCCGCGGCCTGCGGACTGACTGGACTGACTGAACTGAGTTACCTGACGTCGAACTGAGATAAATGCTCCTGTACTTTTGAGATTTCTTCCTCTGATAGTGTGCGCGCTAGCCCAGAAGCTGAGGTAGTTGTTGGCTGTATACCAAGCCTCTTCCAGCTCTTCAAGCTCTGCAAAGCTGAAATAAGCTCTGGCTTCATATGGAGTCTCCGGGTGCCTAACATGTCGCCAAGCTCGCTGAAAGTCCGCTCACAGTCTGCCGCTGCTGCTGGTATTGTTAGGACGTCAATAGCGAACTTTGAGAGTATAGGGAACTGCCCAGCAACTGACTCCCAGTATAGAAGCGGATTAAGAGACAGCCAATCCTCCTCAGCTAACGCTGGTTGCCGCTTCCATATCTCATACTCATCCTCAGCAAGGCTTGCCTCTAACTGCCGTGTGCTTTGCTCAATTGACGACTGTAGAAAAGCTGATCGCGACGTTGAAATCCCTAGCCGGGGCTTCTTACGCGGCGGCGTTACAGTGTGAGCTGAAGTGGCTGCAGAGTCCTTCCGCCCCTGCCACATACGCAGGAATGCCCGGTGGTTATTGTCAAGCCAGCCGTCGCGATAGTGGACACCGTCACGGGCAGTGACATGGGTGTCAGGCACCTTCCAGAGCGCTGAGAGGTGGTGTTTGTAGTGCGGGTGTAGTATTGTAGCAGTGTAGTAGACAGGCGCGTTATCGAATTTTGCGTAGTACTTAGCAAGCTTACAATGTGCAAGGTTAACGTTTGTAATAAGATGATCTTCAGGCGCATCTAGATCTTCGTAATTTACATCCTTAAGGCGGTCTTTGAGAGCCTTAAGCTGGTTAAGAAGCTACTCAAACGTTACTAGAACTTCCTATATAGCGCCGTGTCGGCCGTGTCGGCCGCGACCTTTAAGTAGCCGTGTAGCTTCGGCAAATGGCTCAAGGAGTCGAATGTATTCTGTTATTGTCGCCTAGTCCTTGCCGCTTAGACCCCCTTCGCGTATATATAACCGTGGCTGGGCAGCAGGGAGCTGCTCACGATTCTTCCGGCGTCGTGAGGTTGCTGTTGCAGCACTATGCTCCTCAAGTTTACACTCAATATAGCCATCGATAGGGCCGTGTAGCTCAGCTGCACGGACAAACGTGTTGAAATAGCTATTCCAGCGTGTCTTAACAGGCTTCACAAGCTGCCGGATGTGGGGTGTAACACCTAGAGACTCTGCCTCCTCGCACTGTAGGCGCTCTAGTAGTTGTCGAGTTTGAGGCGTACAGATAGACGCAATCACGTCAAAGAGGACGCCAACAGGACCGTATTTGCGCCACTCATCCATGTACTTCTCCTCTTCCTCAAGGTGTGCGGCTTCATTCTCGTACGCGCTACGGTCTTTGCCCCAAATTACTAATTGTGCGCTTAGGTTGAGTATATGGCAGCAGCACCGCAGCCGCCGCTCGCTTGCGATAAAGCCAAACTCCTCTGCTAAGGACTCAACTGCAGTATCATTGTTACTTGCGTTGTCAAGCACAAAGTACCCAACCCTCGCGTTGTCAACGCCAAATAGCCGAAGTATTGTTGTTGCTGCAGCGGCAATATTATTGCCAGTGTGCGCCCCGTGTAGCTCAGGCAACCCAAGCAGGTGGTCAACTAGCTTGCCCTCGCTGTTAAGGTAATGTACGCAGAGGCCAGTAAAAGCATACTGCCCACCAGTTGAAGTCCAGTTGTCGAATGACACGTGTATAAGCGACCGGGCTTCGCGAAGGTAGTTGGCAACAGCTAGTATGTATGTATTGTACTCAGTAATAATATGATCGTGGAGCGTTTAGTGGCTACGCCAAAGGAGAGCTTCGGCTAGCGGGCTCACGGCCGCAATCATGGCTCGAAACTGCGGCGTTTCTATTACGCGAAGGCTCTGGTTGTCCGCGACTACCCAGTCCTTCAGCGCGTCCTGAAATCGAGAGGTTGAAAAGCTTGCTGCTATCTCGTTTGCTACCTCTTGCGATACTTCTATCCCTTTAGACCTCATAATATATACTTGGGACTTTGCGAGCGCGCCCATAATATTGCCCTCCCGGCTAGCAATTGGTACAGGTCCGTTAGGTCCGTGTGAGTGTCCAGGCTTGTTGCTTGAGAGGTGTCGGCCGGCGTTTGTAGTGCTGTCAGCCTCGTAGCAAGCCTCCTGCTTCCGTCGTTGATGGCAGTACCGGCAAAGCCAGTAGTTTTTCTTGTACTTGCGGTGCCAGACGGCCCAGCCGTGGCGGTAGATCCAGCTTTTTGGCCCACCGCGACTATTACGCTCAACCTGGCGCCGCTCAAGATACGGCACACGCTTAAAATCAAGCCCGTCGTAATTGTCGTCGTCGTCGTCGTCGTCGCCGTCGTTGGGGAAGTCCGCCTGTACTGCCAAGGGCTCATCAGCCTGGGCCTCGCTCGCAGTATCGCCAACAGTAGGCGCATTTGATAGCGATGGTAGAGGAGAATTGCGCTTGTCGCATTCTACAAGGCGGCGAAGGCCTGAATTAGAGGGAGTAGACATGAAGTACACCAAGAAGTATTATGGCAACAGTAGTCTAGCGTCGTGTGTATAGCAGACGCGACGCGACGCGACGCGAAAGGCTTACTAGGTGCGCACCGGGTAGCGCATTTCCGCAAACTCTAATTAGCTTAAAGCTAGATGCTTTAACTTATATAGGATTAGTGTCTTTATATCTAGGACTAGCGCGGCTTCGAAGCCGCACTAAATGTGGCTTTCACAACTCTAAAATACTGCTTTAAAAACAGCTAACGTCAGTCTAACGTCAGTCAGTTCAGTCAGTCTGGAGGCTTCTGAACTGACTGGACTGACGTCCAGCTGCCTCAAGAACTGACTGACTGAACTGAGTCTTGGCAGTCAGTTCAGTCAGTTCGAACTGAGTTACCTGACTGATAGCAAGTCTGGAAGAGAGGAAAGACAGCACTCAGCGTGTATCTTGCAATACCATTTGCTGCCATTGCCGAAGCGCCGTTCATAGGACCATACACATCTGTCAAGTAAAGCGCGGATGATGTCTGTGCAACTATGTTAGTTTCTCTCCACCCCAGAGCTAGTATAGAAACAGATACGTACAAACACGCATATGTTTCCCCATGCAAATGGCACAGCGCCGACTAGCGTTGGCCCCCAGTGAACACCATTATCAGCGCACCAGCCAAACCAGAAAAGTCCAACAAATATACCCCAGCAATCAGCCATTGCGCTGTATAAGCGGTGCTCCGGCTCGACATGAAACTTGTTGGAGGTGGTTGCCTTGCGATGCTTCTTCTGGTAGATTGTGCGGTCTATGATGATTGCCGTCATGCCACCGAGAAAGACGCCGATGGCGATGGAGATGAATGTAAGACCGATCTGAGATGGCCCGAATAAGTAAGGCGAACGTGTAAAGATGAAAGGGGAGGCTGAGAAGAAGAGAAAAATAACAGCGAAAGCGAAGCCCGTGTAGAGAGAGAAAAAGAATACAGTAGGCGAGAATCTATTAGCGGAAACGTTCAAAGAGAGCGTATGACATGTTGTCGGCTGACCTCTGTTGATAGCATATGTATAGGTCGTACAAATTTCAAAACAAACAATCGCTTGATGTCTTTGTCTTCGTCCTTGATGAGAATTCCGGCTTTGATAGCTCGTTTCTTCAAGATGATCGGCTTATAGGTCTCTTTCATAGGGAGAGCGGCAATGTATACGACGATCGTGATGAAGAGCATGCACCATTGCGTCCACTGCCAATTATTGTACTGTGCGACGAAGCCTCCAACGACTGGTCTGTTGTAGTCAGAATCATCACCCATGCAATCCCCTGACGTTCTACTTACCCCAGAGCCGGACCTACAAAAGGTGCCATCAAGAACAAGCTCGTAGTTACGGCCCGTCTATAGGACGGGAAGAGATCCGCATTTGTCCCCGCACCAACTGCAAGTGCCGGACTGCCAAAGAAACCCGCGAAGAACCTGCATACGCAGACGCTGGCAAAGCTTTTTGAGAACCCAGCGCCAAGCGTGAAGAGCATGAAGATTGGCGATGAGATTAGATAAACTATTTTCCGCGCGTGGCCTTCGCTTAGCGGCGCAGTGAAGATAGGACCGAAGTCAAGACCCAGTGTGTAGAGCGTCAAGCCGAGAATAGCGACGGTTCGCGAGATCTGGAAATGATGCGTGATGTTTGCGATGGACGGACTGTACACCGATGTCCCGAAAGTACTAGACTGTTAGTCCTTTGGTTGTGCTTTAAGCTCGTCTGGATCTTACACTGTGAAGCCGAATAATGCTGGTATCGTGGCGTGATAGACGCGCTTCCATATACCCCAGTTGTGAGGATTGTCAGGGTCATCGAGGCCGGTCCAGTCGTTAGGATTGGGATCTCGCGACGGCAACGAATCCTAGCCATGGTGTTCCTCACTGTCGTGAATTCCTCGTAAATTTTGAGAAATCGGACGTAAAAAATCGCTCCCAGCCTCGGATTTGTCCTTCTCACCCATGACGCTACCCTTCTCTGGGTCTTTGCAAAGTGTTCCACATATTCTCGGATCCTTATAAGTAGTCATGGCTGAGAGCGATAGTTGCATGGTCACAGCTGACAGAAACGCAGAAGGTAGGAATAGTACTCCGGTCGACTGACAGGATTGATATGAGTACAGCAAAGCGTATAACTGACCGCTTCACCGACCAGATATCGCACTAGCATCGTGATAACGTTCTGGGTCCGCATCTGCATTGTTGAGAACGCGCGGGAGATCACAAACAGGAGAGGGTTGTTGGTATGGAAAGCTGTGTTGTGATTGGCTTGTGGTAAGCGGTCCGAGGTTGATATTCGTGTTTACTGATCAGCGTACATGCTGAAACGGCCGTATGCTAAGTCCTTCTTGGGCTGCGGGGTACATTAGCGGATTGTTTATTCGCAAGCCCCAGTGCTGAATTACGGAGGAAATTCGGATGAGCAAATGTAAAATGTAGAGTGCGATGAATGTTGCGAGGGGCCAGATGATCGCCTAGTCCCGATGGTCACGGAAGGCATGGATGACGTCATCACTCATCTTTCTGCAGCCACTACACACGTCGGCGTCTTCTACCGACGATACCTAGACAAACAACATAAAATATCACAGCATATTGCAGTTATTTTCGAACTATATTCTTGAAACTAGGTGGTTGTTATTTGTTACTACGCGTCAGTTGCTTGTCATTAGTTGCTCAATATTAGCTTTAACATTGTTTACTTGAGATGCCATGTATCCAAACCGTAAAGCAACAAGCTACTGCGAAAAATACGATAGATACTCGCGGTACGAGGCAACAACTACAGTACTGCCATTGCGGCAATGCACATGTATTTCCTACCATAGTACCCATCCTTGGCGTACCAAACTGAAGCGCCTAATTTTGACGAGAGCTCTACTAAGCCTTTTCACACTTGCCTTACGTATTCTTTATAAAATGATCGTGCCTTGAGGTATACAAGAAAGCTATCGCGTTGACAGATGTTTTTGCAAATCACAGCAAGTATCTAGAGAAACCGCACAGGCCAACTTGCACAGGACGACTTCAAGATATGGTAGCGAATCCGGTACAATGGTACCTAGATACAGTCGACCCAAGGCACTCAAAACTACTGCATGCAGAAGATCCTTAAAACATTGACGCATCAAATTCGCGATTAAAGAGAATTCCTAGCCTGCAAAGGACGATTCACTGCCGACTCACACTCACCAAGCTGAGCACATACGTCGCCTGTTCAATTTTATGAATGTGATATTCAATTACGAAATCTCTCATTCTTCATGACGTATTGGTGACAAGAACAATAGACTTGTCTGTTTATTCAGCGCAGTCATCGCAGGCAGACAACGCGCACGGACCTTTTACTTGCCCAACCCACCCGGTCCCTACATAACTTGACCCATGATCGCAGCTCTTTCGACCCTCGATTACATTAAGCATCAGAAAGAACCCTATTCCTCACAAAATACCGGAACATTCTGTAAATCCATCCGCATATCACGCAAACACAATCAGCGACATGGCTACAAAACGCAAATATAGCCTCGAGGATGACCACGTGGACGCTCAGACCCCAAAAAAGCGCAGTCACCAAAACAAGCAGAAAACTGTTGCGGCCCTCTATGATGACGACGACAGCGATCATGATGGCGCACCGAAGGGCAAAAGGAGTAGCCAGCGACCAGCACCCAAGTCATCCCGTGCGACAAAGAAAGCGAAGAAATCTGACAGACTACTTGCTGAACTTGCCGATTACAACAAGCCCCCAGTAGATCGCTCAAGGAGGGAGAGTCCTGACGCGATCGCCGACGATGAAGAGCCGATGTCCCGTCCCAAGCGCGGAAGTGCTCCGAAGACGTCTATGTTTACTCGAAAGACTGCCGACGTGACGGAGAAAGCACGCACGGATGGCGGGCGCATCACCAAGCCGAAATCAAAGGCAACTCGTTCAATAAGGCGAAGCCAAAAAGAGAGGATGCGGGCAGAGGTTGAGCAGTTGGCGCTGTGGCGTGGGTGGGTTTCCGACGGCTCGAGCGAGGAAGACGAAAAGAACGAACATCTTCCTCGTACACATTCAAATCACTACCCACCAAAGAATTTCGGTGTCCAGAACGTGGATTGGTCTTTGTTGCCTGGTGAGCTTCGCAACAGGATCTACGACTACGCGATGATGGGGGAGAACGAGAAAGTCATCAACGTCCGTCACTGCCCTGACGGCGTACCCCGTCGATCCGACCGAGGTATCGCCTCCAACACCAACTTTGCGTTTTCCCACTGGGGCTTCACACAAACCTGTCGCCAGATCCGACATGAACTGAAGCCTTGGCTTCAAATGAAGCGACAAGTCCGAACCCCACTCGAGACGATAAACGAGTACATTGACACCTTTCATCGCCCTGACGCAGACGGCAAGCTCATAGGATGGGTGGAGCCTATCTGCCGCGATGTTCCACTTTCGGGCGATGGAGTCGACGTACTGGCATTGCTAAAGCTCAAGGAAAATAACCCAGACTTCCACATACATTTTTCCCTCACACAATCCAACTCCGGCCATTTCAACGAAATGAATATCATGCATGATATAGAAGACACTTATACACATGGATGGATGGCGCTCTTCGCCAATGCTGGCATTGTTGGTGCAAAAGTCAGCTCAGTTGCCGGTGATACTGCGGTATCAAACGTATCCACCGAAGATGACGCGGATTTACCTCAGCCCAATGATACCCTCCTAAAGCTCAAGACTGGCCCGATCAAGGCAGCTAGGATAACAAACGGGAGCATACCGTACGAAACATGGCTCAAAGCCATAAGTAACTTCATCTTTAAGTCCTCACTAGTATTGAGACGAGGCTTAAGGGTACAGGCTCGTCTGAGGACTGGTACGGCGATTTGGAAGGTGAGGCCACATTTGGTTATTGAAATGGCGTGGAAAGAGAGGATAAAAGGAGGGAAGAGAGTTTTCTGGAGGATGAAATTCAATTTGCGAGATGGCACAGTTTCGGTGCAAGACTTGTGAGTGCTATCTTTGAGAATAGAAGGCTGGTATTTTGAGCGAAGCGGTGGCACGAGTTCTGTGTCTTAGGAGAATTGAATCTCTTTCCTGTTTTTGATTACAGATGTTTATTTTGAGTGTTGCTTCGTTTATCTTTGCAATCATCTACCGGTATTCTCACAAGCTGGGGTGTAAGGAGACGAAATGAATCATCACGATATTCATCACATATATCCCCCAACGCCACGCTATCATAACCCCAAAACATTGTATACATAAAGAAAGTATCGTAAGACCCCCGCCTCACACACAGATTTCTCCTAACGAAACTCCGCCACCATCCTGACCCTCCACCTCTCGCCCCACCTACTCATAGCAAACAACGCCGCACACCCAGTGACGACGCTCCAAACACCCAAAATCGTCATCAACCAGCCATTCCCAATAGCTGCAAGTAGCGGCTCCGCCACCATCGCACCCGTAGAAGAAAAGATGTTCCTCACAAAATTATTCAATGCAATGCCGCTCGCCGCGCGCTTGGGCATAAACTCCGTTAGCATGGTGTTTACCAGCGCGAAAATAAGCATAGACCCGATACCAAAGAAAAAGTTTGAAATCATAGGTACGATCCAATGGATTCCGTATCGCGCTGTCCAGCCATATATTATGAGCGCCGTGGGCCAGAGGATAGCGCTTATCCATGCGTTTTCCTTCATGCGATCTTCAGGGCGAAAAATGAGGGCACCGCGGTCGTCGTAACGCCCTGCTTTCTTGGCTTCGCGGTGCATGATTCTATCAATCCAGGCGCCGCCGAAAATGCTGGCGAGGAAGTAGCCGAGCGAGTTTGGGATGTATAGAAGGCCGACGAGGAAGGTGCCGAAGTTGTAAGGGGGCGCGGCGAAGGTGCGTTGAATGCTTATGTTGAGAATGTACAGGCAGCCGAATGTGATGCTGGCGTAGTAGACGGTGAGTAGCACTGGCGGGAAGCGGAGCCAGGCTACGATACGGAGGGGATCGATGAAGATTTGGCGAAGTTGTATGAGGAGGGATTTCGTTTTTTGGACGGTCGAAGCGCGGGTTTGGCTGCGATTCAGGGGTGAAGAAGTGTCTTTCTCGTTCAGGGGCGGCGGTGGGGTTGGGTTGGTAGGAGAATTCGTTTCGCGGTGCAGCGTTTCGGGGAGGGCGAGTATGACGAATATTACTGTTATTCCGCCGTATATAACGAGGAACCATTGTGTGCTTCGCCATCCTAGACCAGCACCCAGTGCACCACCGATGATGGGCGCTAGGAGTGGTCCACACAGTGGCCCAAGGTAGAAGAAACTCATCGCTCGTCCCCGCTCCTTTGTTTCCCAAATGTCTGCAATCGTTCCAGCACCGACTGCTTGTACTGATGCGGCTGCGCCGCCAGATAGCGTTCGGAAGACAATCAACATGCTGATGCTAGTACTAATAGCCGACAGTATGCCAAAAAGTACGAAACAAAGGAAAGACGTAATGTAGATCGTCCGTCGTCCGAGCCTCTCTGAGAAGGAACTCCACCAGAGTGGAAAAATTGCCATACTCAACATGTACACCGCAACAGACAGATTGGTCACGGTCCCGTTTGCGTGGAATACTGTGCTGATCTCATGAAGTACTGGCATAACAATGGCAGATCCCATTGGCCCTGCCATGGCACAGAAGGCGACTATGAACGTTACGAACCATTTCGTTTTCCTGGCATAGTGCACGGGGTTTTCGACTTCAGGGATGAGAGCAAAGCGGGCAAGCAATCCGCGTCGTTGGGAGCGAGGCACAATAACAGCCTCTGGGTTTACAGAGGTTGTTCTTGCAAGACTAACAGGCCGTTGCTTGGTGTCGGAAGGCCTCGGTTTATGCGTCTCCGCGGAGTGCTCAGAGGAGATCGAGTGCGGTAACGACGAGATTGATAATGCATCATCGCTATCGTTTTGCTCCTTTGCTTCGATAGCTTCTTTTTCTGATGGGGTTTGCGGCCTTGTTTGTTTGTCTTCCATGCCGCGGTCGGCACCTCGGTTCAGGTTAGCTTCCGAGGTCGACATTGTTGGTGGCGTGCTAGACTTCACTGAGCCCGCCGGTGACGGAAACTGGGAAATCAACCTAGGTAAAATAGAAGAAGTGGAAGAAGTGCGGAATTTGACTTTCCGCTTTCACCGCTGGACCGGAATTGTGTCTTTTTCCGAGTGTAGCCACCTCTGTTTTCCGATGATGATGCTGTTGTGCGCTGCGTAATGTATCGGAAGTAGACAGCCGATGAGTTGGGATGATTCCGCCCAAGCCGTCCAAATGTACACAATGGTCCTGGAATTGGTTCTTCTTGACGGGTAGAATTCACGGAGCAAGAAAGAGAGGGCGAAAGATAAAGACAAACCTAATCTAGAGGCCGACATGGCGGTAGAGAAGTGCTGGGACGTTACATAAGCAGCGAGACATGCTCGACTCAAGGCGTTTGCCTCACGGAAACAAGCTGCCGCTATTAAAACCGGCGCATTGTTGGCATGTGGGGTACCTCAGAATCTGGGTGCATGCATGCGACAGATGCTAGTTTGATCCGCTCGTACGAGTTTTGAGCATCGTCGTACGTCCTATTTGATAAGTGCCATGTTGTCGAGGATAGGTTTCGACAGATGAGAATAGTCGCTGATCCTTGATGTAGAGTAGATCCGCTGACCTCTATGCGGAGATTAGCGTGGCACTTGAAAGTTCTTGGCGGAGCTTCCATGATCAGGGCACTCATATCCGGAAAGCCGAGGCTTTATTTACCTTCATTCGTCTGCTAAGTATTGAGGTTAGGGGCTTGGAGAGCGACCGAACCTCATTCCTCTCACTCAACACTCCTGGAAGAACCCTTGTTGCGATCGAATGACGTCGTACAAAGGAAGCTCTTGCATGCGACCCCACATCGAAATCAACATCAGACATTAACCCAGTCATCAAAGCTGCTCAATTTCCCAAGGAACATCAGATCTTCGTACCCAAACCCCAATTTGTCTTGATCACCGTTTCAGACACGTGCAATGGCAACGCAAAACCAAGATCGCCTCCGCACACACTTTTCCTCGGTTCCCGACACGGCCCATAATGATCGCTGGGACGATCTATGGAAAGAAGCAAACGTACGTCCCCAGCATGAACATTGGCCCAATCCCACACCCACTGCTCCCCGCGCCCAACGACCTCAATACCAACCCTAACGCGTCGACTCGGAATAGTTCTTACCCTGGGACCGCGGCCACGCGAACCCCGCGTTGATAGATCTTTTGGACCAACGTTCTAGACCCCTTAGTTCACCGGACCCAAACCCTTCGCTGGGCGCGCCGCCACCAAACAGCGAGTCCCCAGGCTACGCATCGCTGCCGTCAGCACTGAGTTCAGATGGGCGACGCCGCCGAGTTTTGATACCGGGATGCGGCAAGGGATACGATGTAGCCTTGTTTGCCGCACATGGTTATGACGCGTACGGCTTGGAGGTCTCTTCTCATGCGGCCGATGCTGCGCGGAAATATCTCGAGGATCCAGGAAAAGGACCAGTAGAGGGGGAGTACAGTGTCAGAGATGAGAAGGTTGGCAAGGGGGCTATGAAAGTGGTGTCTGGTGACTATTTTGAGGATACATGGCTAAAGGATGTGGAGGGATGGGGTGCAGACGACGGATTCGATATCATTTACGATAATACTGTGAGTATTCTCCGTCGAAATCGGCACAGTGCTGATGTTTCGCAGTTTCTGTGCGCCCTCCCCCCTCCCCTCCGTCCGAAATGGGCATCTCGAACCGCATCTCTTCTTCGTCGTCCGTCCCCAAACAGCACTCTCTCTGGCGGGGTACTCATCTGTCTCGAATTCCCTACACACAAACCCGTGTCTTCAGGTGGCCCCCCATGGTCCCTACCACCTCTGGTACATGCTGAGTTGCTCAAACGGCCGGGCCGAGATATACAGTACGATGACCAGGGTGTGGTTAGAAAAACCGATGCGGAAGAGACGGATAATGCGTTGGTCAAGATTACGCATTATACACCGAAGCGTACGCATGATGTTGGGATTATCAAGGGTCTCGTGCGGGACTGCGTGAGTATGTGGCGACACAAAGCGGACTGTCCGGAAGGTGCGAGGTGGCATTGAGCTTGGCTGAGCGGGGCGCCATAGTGATAGCCGTCACTTATCCCACCTTCCGCAAAGAGTTGTAATGCTCACCTAACCCATGACTGTGCTTGTAGTAACCCAGCCATATCTCTTCCATGTCCTCGGCCCCGTCTTCTGCCTCGATCTTGTCCACCCTTCCATCACTGTGCAAAACACATATTCTCAGCCGGTACGTCCTTGCAAGAGCAAGTAACTCCAGATGGCCGCCCCATTCGCCCGTCTCCCTGATCTTTCGGAGGTGCTCTGGTAAAGGGTCTTCTATGAAAGGCGAGAAGTCGTCGGCGTGACCCTGTATCCAATCTGCCGCCGCGGACCGGACCGTCTTATATGCCGGCATTTCCTTCTCTCCGGTGTCGCCTATGATAATCTTCGGCTTCAGCCCCAACTCGCGTGTCTGTAGCTGATCTGCAACTGCAGCATACAAGCAATGCCCGTCCGCTCTGATCTCATACAATGCGAGCCCATGCTTCTGCAATTGTGTCTCCATGCATTCGCGCTCCAGTTCGCGTGGATTCGGCGCATTTGCGGCTTCGCGCTCCGCTTCGGCGATGATTGAGGCCTGTTCGGCGGCGCGCCGAGCAAGACGGGCCTTTGCGCGATTTGGCTTCTTCTTTCTGGCTTCTGAGCTGTCGCCATTGATGCTACTCTCTGTGCTTTTGGGTGTGCCACCATCTATGCTGAGCTCGGAGACATCTTCCTGTAGGTCCTGTGTCTCCTCTTCAGAGTCTAGTGGGCTGTCATTGTCGCCAGCGTCCAGGTCCTCTCCATTGAGCACAGCGAGTTCGCGCGCCTGCCGCTCCTTCAAGTCGCGTTCCAGATTCTCGCACTCTTCATTTACGCTCTTTCTGGTCTTTTTGCTCGCTTGTTTCTTCTTCTGCGTTATGCGCGACACAAGATCGCGTTGTTCCTTGCGGTGTCGGGCCTGCAGGACCTCGAGCGTCTCCGGTCCGGACGCTGAAGGCGCTTCGGCCATTGGGATGAGTTCGGCTGGCAATGTAGCGGGCGCAGAATTAAAGACAGTGGTTTGCGGATGGTGGGGTGGTGGGGACATGGGGAACTGAGAATCTTTGGCGTGTCGGCGCCATGTTTTGCCGAGGTCGTCATCATCGGTTCTTCGCCCTTTCTTTCACTTCATCACTTGGCAGTCCACCGTTTCCTTTTCTTTTCCCGTCACCATCTACCGTGTCACCCTCCTGGATAAGAAGTGGCTCTAGGACTTTGATTTCTGTATCCTCAATTCCTTTTGCTCGTTGGCTCTTCCTCTCGGATTGTCGACTCAAAGACAGGGTCTATCCACTGATATACATTTTTTTAATTTTGCGTACTTGCTCCATATCCCAAGTGACTGTCTCATAGCCTCTTATTCTATGCTTAGTCATGAATTCCCCAGTTATGTTCCGCTCCGCAGATTTCCATATCTCATGTCAGTGGCCTGCCAGCATGCATGTCAACTTCTTCGCCACAAATTTTTCATTTTATATCATATCCTTGTAGGCTTCAGCGCTTTCAATGCGGTAATCGATTGAAGTTGGATGATGCATATTTCTTCCTCGGAACTGCCGAATTGTAAGAACACTCCCCATGAAGCGAGATATTTTGTCCTGGAACCATGCACACTATATGCCTTGAAAGACCAGCGTTGCACCCTGTCATGTCTTCCAAAAGTTGTTCCTGCTTCGTTGCTGTATGCGGCACCAGCTAGCCACTGTTGAGAAACTAGTCTCACATGGCCTATAATCCTGGGTGCACTGATTGAGGCATGTCAAACTGGCAAAGGTGCCTGCATGTTCTCTTACTGCGGGACAGGAAGAAATAGCAACGAAGTTTCCCGTGTGTTGTCGATAACCTTGGAAGGCGCAGTGTTTACTAGCTCCATCGTGCTTGGCTATTTTGTCGCACATAGTTCTGCGCGCCTCCCTCAGCCTCCCCGCAGAACAACAACACCATTTGCACACCATCCACAGCTAGTGGAGTCCCCTCTCACCCATATCAACGATGCCTTTCCGTGATAAAGAATGGGAGGACTTCCAGCGCTCCTGCGATTTCTTCCCTGCCTATAGCGACTACCTCTACGACCCTGACGAGCGCCTTGTCGTCACGCAAGAACCCGGTCTGCATCCTCAGATATATCCTGGGCTTACATTTGCGCCGATTCAGTATACTAACAGCATGCCTTCCCGGTCCTACGATACCTCTGAGAACTGTCAAGTGCAAGATTCCGCTGCTTCGAGACGCCAGTCTTTGAGAATACTAATTTCGGGGCACGAGACACTCAGTGGTGAGAGCAGTGTCCGGAACACGCCCGGCTTGGATTCACGCTCTGAGATCGGAAGCCCCATGGTTGCATCCAAGTCCCGGAAAGGTGCCCAGAAGATTTCCAAGAAAGAAACGAAGAAGCGCCCGCGAAACGCTGCTCGTCGAGTTGCAGCTTCACCGAGCTCGTCGCAACGACCAGTGAGATCGACTAGACAGCAAGCTCAGACAAAGCAAGCACCAGCATCCGCTGAACCGTCACTCTTGCGCGCATCTTCCACGACAGATGTCGACGATAGTTTTCCGCCTACTCCACTGGCCCAGTCAAGCACCCTGCCATCAGCGACTGAGATGAAACAACAGGAAGCTTGTGTACATGCTCGTCAGTTGCAACAGGCAACCGGTTATCCGGGATCTCTCAGACCAACACCAGAGCCTTCTCATCATCCGCACCCTCACCAGTCTCCACGACCAAGTGTCGAACAACCGTACTACTACACGACTCGCTACCCCCAGCAGCAGATGCCGCCACCTCCTACGACTGCATACCAACCGTATACGCCTCCGCTATCCACGAACCAGCAGCAGATACCACTGCCTCCATCTACTGCATACCAACCGTATACACCACCACAGTCTACAAGCCAGCAGCAAATGCCGCCACCTCGGTCGCCTGCATACCAACTGTATACACCACCGCAGTCCACAAGCCAGCAGCAAATGTTTCCGGCTCAACAACAAGTATGTGTACATAATCTCCGAGAAGCCTGAGCCACAGCTAACTGAACTACTAGCTCGTACATAATAACGCTACCATGCAACCGCGTGCATCCCTTCAACTTCGTCAAAACATCAACCAACATCTTCCTAAAGTATGGAAATGTTTACAGATCGTCCAAGGCATGCCAGTTTCTGCGAATGATCAGGATGCACAGAAATTGAGGATGCAGGCAAACGAGTGGCTCATGATGTTCAAGCGCAGTCTGCCTCCCGACGGTCACGACTACATGATGCAGGTGGTATGTCATATGGTTTCGGAAAACAAAGCGGGCAGGTGGCCTTTGGCCTTCCTGGGATCTGGGGATATGCAACAGCAGGGTCGCGGTTAGTGTGAGTGAATAGTAGAGGCGCGAAGGACGGGCTAGACGTCTTTGGCAGTGCCCAGTTTTGAGAGATCATGGACTTTGTGAACGATACGAAAAGTTTTAGGGGAGAGATTCATAGTGGCTATTGGCAGTGATAGGAGCGAATGATATTGGTCTCAGCAAATAGGGTCTTTTCTCAGCTGCTATACATGTAAGGCCGATTCTAGATACAAATTGCCTACGAAGAGTGTAGCCATCCACATTTACAATGATACTTGAGTTAATCCTCCTTATGTCATGTCAGCCCTCAGGGGGTGTGTCAACTAGAATGTTCTACTATCGTCACAGCTACGTAACACACTGCTGATCTGGAATGCTCCAGATACTCTACTTCATGTATATAGTCGCTCTCTGCAGCTCTCTCAATAAAAACAACCTTCTCTCTCATCTCTCCTCCGATCCAACATGTCATACTATTCTACTCTAATGGCTTCATCCGTGCGTGTTGGCAAGCAGATGCGCAGCTCTGAGAGCCACCCGTCCGCTCGTTCCAGTGCCTGTTACCTCCTTATTCGACAACACGGCGACCAACTCTGGTTGCATGTGCGAAAGAGCGGAGATATCTCACCAGCGGTAATATCGAAACAAATATTATCCAACACCTCTTGAACGTACCCTTCAGCTACTATTACCCCTCCATACTACCCACAACAAAATATGCCACCCATACATGGAAAATTCCAGTAAGCCCAAGCTTCTTCTTCATCTCCAACGATTCCTCGCACTCATGCCTCCCTGATACAACACCGCATTGCCACTCATTCGCCCACTTGGAACCCGGTTTCAAAACAATGTCCACGGTCCTCTCGTATCTATAGTACAGGCGCACTTGCTGCACGGAGCCTTGGCTGAGGAACTCCGCCCACGCATCGACTTTGTTCTGAACATGCCTGATGAGAAAGGTGTGGAAGTTACACTGAAACTCACTCTCGCTAGTATGAATTACGAAGTGGATGTGCGGGTAGTGTGTGTGGAGGTATATGTAAGGAAGGATGTCGAGGCCGTCGCGAGACAATTGCGTGGGTATTGTAGCGTCGATATGAACGGTGGGTCTGGGATAGTACTGGTGGCGACTTGGAACTGGGGGCATGAGGATGGTTGGGTGGATGTTGTAGTAGGCGGAAAGGTTTGCGTAGGTCATGGAGATGTAGGAGGCGCGATTGCAGTCGTATTGAAGGCGCAGGATCGAGCAGAGTTCTAGAACCAGGTTAGTGTATGCAAGATGTATGGGCCTAGGGATGCGGCGCTGGCGCTGCTGCAGATACAGGTTCTCGTACCTGCGGGTAGATCTAGAGCTGCGATCAGGGGGGGTACGCTAGGCGCTGACGGCGGACATGCCGCAGCCCTTCTAGCGGCTCTGCGGTTGACCATGTCACTTGTTTTGTTTTGAACGATAGTGGAGCGAGTGGGCTGCGCAGGTGGTAAGGTGAAGCCCCTCGAGCGCTTGAGAAATGCGATAAGATGTAGCCAAAACTGCGGCTGGTATGAATGATCCTGCTGTTGCTAGTTGGCCTGGTGGTATGCGAGGGACTACAGGGCTGTGGGTGTGTGGGTGGGTGTTGCCTGTCAAGCTAACAAGGCAAGCGTACCGCAGACGTACCTGCTCGTTTGGTGCAGTCACGTGACTGTGAACAGTGAAGTCATGTTTGCCTTACAAAGCGCATGTGCGTGCGCAATTGTCATGAAACAAAGCGATTATACTTTATAATAGCTTCTGGAGTGCATCGGACATTTTCCTGCTTGTCCGAGGTCTCATGTACCTCGATTTCGACACAGATCCTATGTCGGCTACTCGTTCAAACCAAGTCGTCTACTTGGCTAGTATATGTGCTCACGATAGTATATCACTGTAAAGATATTATTATATACATTCTATCCGTTCTACTATTTCTCGTATCACTAATAGACATACCTTAGAGTGCTGGGGCTGACGTCACTCCATTTACACTCGAGGTCTCAAGGTCAGTGCTCTTCGCACGTACCAAGTGCCTCACTTCTATTTAGGTTGAGCATCCAGCAGAAAGCAACTCGTGACTTCTGTTAAGCAACATCTCTTAAGCTGCGACAACAACAGTCTCACATCGCAGACAAGATGTCACAAGGTAAGCACTATAATGAGGACCAATGGTTTGATCTTGAATCTCACAACACAGCAGTGCACGAAGTAGTAAACACCAAGCCTTTCCGCTTTCTCGAATTGCCACCAGAGCTCCGGAATCATATCTACGAGCTAGTCTCCGCCAGCGATTCCAACTCCAGCCGCTTCTGCGATACCGACAGGCAGTTCTGCAGCGTCTGTCATGCCCACAAGGATTCCAGAACTTTCTGTCATATCAAAAGGGACTTCTTAGCTCTAACATGGACTTGCCGTCAATTCCGTCAGGAACTACGTCCAATCTATATGCGTACTTCCACAATCACGATAACTTGCCTACTGTCCTTCAAGCGCTATCTTAATGCTTTCCTGCCCGGCTGGAATGACGAAACTACAGACAAAAAAGACTTCCATGCAGCATTACACTACCACTCAAGATTTTTCCTGCATTCTGCAACCTTCCAGCATTGTCTGCATGGGTGGTGCGAACCCCTTGGTCGCTTACTACAAGAAGCTCCTGGTGTCCGGATCAAGTTCACATGCCGTCAAGGCAGGTGTCGGTTTATCGAAAGGGTACTCAATATTTGAGGGATTTCCAGATTCTGGTTACATGGATTGATTCAAATTTTCGATATTGTCTACCTTGATGCTATTCAATGTCGTTCCGAGTCTAGTCTGGTGGCACTGGCCTCTGCTATCCAATTACGGCTCGCACACGATGCATTCTGGTGTTATCTAGGACGCGGCATTTGAGTTCTCAAGCTTTCCGAGTTATTGAAGCGGGGTTATTTTGTAATTGGTAGAAGTCAGAGCACACATACTCAGTACGACAATGAGATGCAAAAGCCAAAGATTGCTTCGTACAACCTTTCTCTAAGCAGAGATGTATATTTTAGCTAGAGAAATAGACGGTTTTCTATAGCTGCTTGACTTGTTTACTACCACAAACTTCCTTTTCCTTTGTCTTGAATAGTGCGTGACTTGCTACCATTGTAAAAGCTTGCTTGTCAAGCACTCGACTCTATATATGGACTTGAAATACTTTAGTAACCCAAGTGGTAACAAGCCCAATGGTGCTGATCAGAGATTTGAGGAAGTGCTGGTCCACGAGTATAATTCCCTAATGACATTCTTGTACTGTATATACGTCCCCACAGCCAACGACTAATTGTATCAGTAAGTGAAAGGACCGTGCATCAAGGACCTTGACCCGGCCATGACACCCGGGTGTTAGCGTTAGCATTAGCGTGTGTCTATGAGCTTCCCAAACTCTCCCTCACCCTGCCTCACCCACCAAGACCTGACAGCTCAATCTCTACTTCTACGCCTTGCGCATTCAACATCTGTATCAGTCATGCAGTCTCCGGAAGATACAGAGTTGATCACGGATGCATCGTTTGCCATGCAATTCCCCTTCATGCGCCTAGCCTTAGGTTTGTGCTGTCATCTTTCTTGAAATAACTCATTGCTGAAACTAGACTAGAGCTTCGCAACCGCATCTACGAGATCGCTATACAGATGGAGGCCGAGCGTGGCTACATTAGACTCTGTATCGATGACGGAAGGGACTCCAGCAATGATAAAGAGACTCCCGACGATGAAACGGACTCCAGCAACAACAAGAATTCCAACGATAATACAAGCTCCGCTGATGAAAAAGAGACCCCGGATCATAAAGTTGATTCAGGCGTTCGGCGAAAGGCTCCTATACGCAAAAAGGTGACTCACTGGGGTTTCACTGGCCTCATGCAAACATGTCGCGAGATCAGATCTGAATTTCGCAAGCTTTACATGGGGAACATGAAGATCCAGACTACTTCTCACAGTCTACAAAAGTTTTCAAAGGTCTTCTTAGCCGATACCCGTTCGGAAGCTGTAGAAGTTCTACTGGCCAACGAGGACAGAGAAGGTTTCAATGTCGATGAAGACCTCGGTGACTTCGTGGCATCGGTATCTTGGTCTTTTTGAGAACGGTTCATCACATTTTTCGATGAAATTAACGAGGAAGGTGGTTATACCGTCAAAGACAATGGCGTCGCTACCATTCTCCATGGTATCTTTGAGTCTCTGGATACCTTTCGCGATAGTCTCGTTACATGCTTCGAGGACTTCCACGAAGAAGCCTATTACCCCGTCAAAGATGAGGGTGTGGCTACCCTTCTTCATGACCTCTTCGAATCCCCGGATGATTGTCGAGATGGCCTCAACACATTCTTCAATGATGTCGACAAGAAAGGCTATCACAAAGCCAAAGATATTGACATGGGCACTTATCTTTATGAAATCTGCGAGGACTCGGATATGTATAAGTGGGAAAGGACCTTTCGGACCAAGTACAAGTCAATCTCACTAATCATATCTACGGAATCAACGCCAATTCTAATGGTTCATGATGGAAGCTTTCTTGGCGAGTGCTGGAGGTATCAATACAAGAGCGAGGAGGACTTTTTCGGGCACCTGGGCCTTCCAGGAGCTTTCCGTCACAATTTCGAGTTCACGTACACGGAGTGAGTTGAAGCCAGCATACCGCTTGATTACAATGAGAGCTAGCGTGTATGATGGGCCAAAATGAAGGTTTTGACATTTTGTTCTGACTTCAAGCCGAATATAGGTGGATGTTGCGAGGGATATCTGGGCTGATTATCTATACCGCGGCAGCAGTGGAGCGAGGCTCCCTTAGCAGGCGATTGGCCATTAAAGAAGCAGTCAGCCGCCCTGTAGCCAGCAGGCATTTACATACATCAGAATGTGTCTATATGTTGGAAGCCATGTTTGGCCAAAAGTCAATAATATTATTACGTATCATCTAGCGCCGCGATATTGCGTCCTGCCTATTGCAGCTAGTGTGGCAATGCTCCGCCCTTCACCCTTCTCAACATGCTTCTCTCTTCACAGAGTCTCGCAATCCCTATAAGCCCTAATAAAGCTTCGCATTGCAGCAAAGCTTGTATATCCTTGCAATGAGTGTCACAATGTCTTCCAACCCTTCGACTGTTCAGATGAGGTCCAAGGGCTTTCGCGATCTTCCGCTAGGTAACTACCGCGGCAACCTCGGCTTAACTCACTTTCAGCTTACACATCATTAGAGGTGCGCAACAGGATATATGCGATTATTACCAACAACAAGGAGCGTCTCATTGAGAAACATGTCAGCCGTCGCAGTACGACCACGACCAGCGATGCTTTTTGGGAAGCGCGTGGATACTACGGCTTGACCCAGGCTTCGCGCCAAACACGACAAGAGTTCCGCCACTTGTACCTCAAAGACCGTGCGATCTCAGTACACATCCGTGACGCTCAGGATTACCTCGATACGATCTACCCGTCATCTGGAAATTGCGCGTTTGACCGCAATGCGATTTCCCTCTGGCTCACTATCCGCACTGATGTGGAGCGACGCGGTAAATACGACACGCCCATCGAAATCCGCCCTCTCCTTCTGAGCCTATACAACACGAACGGGCTCGAATTTGAATTCACTGGCAAGGGTGGTGCTCTCTTCAATGAGCTCTTCATTGGCTACGAAGCGGAGTGGAGGCAAGCTGTATCGAACGAGTTCAAGAGTGTGGAGTTGAAGGAGCCAAGTGTTTTCGGCCTGCGACTGGTGCTGAATCCCAAATGTCGCACACCATGGATCAAGCAGTGTAAGATATCTGTTACCAGGCTTCCGCATGTGCCCGAAGAGGCACTGCCATTCTTTAGTGCGCTTGGTCTCGATACAGAAGAGGATATGATCTTCGTAAGGAAGGGTGCGCCTAAGTGGCTACGCGGCGACTTCATCAAGGGATCCAAGTAAGCTTGGTGATATGGGCGCATTGTGCATAGAATCATGCTTTCTTTGGAGTTGACATTAAGGTTGCAGCTGGAGTACATCCAAACTTCTTTCTCCGATTTTTGTACGCATCGACGATACCGATGATCTAAATGTCTATGACACCAGTGATAGAATACGAATCATATGCGAAGGGTTCTAAAATCTCACCAGGTATTCAAGTTTTAAGGTCCAAGGAGAGGGTGTCGTGAAGGTAAGCATCTGACGACGTAGGCCAAGATTGTCCAAGACCGAACTTACCCACCCGGCAGCCGAAGTGACGATGATACGCCTGCAGCTGCACATCGTCTGTATCCTACCCAACCGATGTCGGGGCATCGTAGACAAGTACCTCCGACCAGCGAACGGAAAATGTCTCAGGTTACCGCAAGCGTTCCGTCATCGTAGAGCCTGGCCCAACAGACAGCCGCGCGTTCTACCGAGTCATCCGATGCGATTTCCCACATACGACTACGACTTCGTGAACTTTACAACTGGTCGCTCGCTACCGAATCATCCCCAGAGAGATGTGGTCGAACACATATAGCAACTGGATGCATATACGAGGTTGTCGTCAATGTTCCATGTGCCGTACGAGCCATACGCGTCACTTCGGGCCTTCAAACGAACGCGACACTCTGGTACGTGCTTGTCAAAGAGACATGTACACTTAAATGAGCCTGACATCAGGCATGCACGGAGCTTCTTTGCTACCTTGGGCTGTCAAAGGCGAGCATTGCCTACACCAGCCTTCTACATGTGCCTTTTAACCATATCGCAGGTTCGTTAACGGTTCTAAGCATGCGTATACCGGCCTTGCATTGAATTGAGGTGTGGGGTTCTGTTTGGGTGGTAAAAATTTGGTTTGTTGACAGTCTAGCCCCCATCTCTGGAATCAGCCTGGCCTGAAATAAATAGTCGTTAATGGTCTCGAAGCACAGTTTGGAATAGCTGACGTTTCAGAAGCGCTAGCGAATAAACCTCCGCATCCCTGTTGCAATTCAATACACCCTCCTTCTCGTAGCAAGGAAAAGTAGTCCTTTCCAGAAGGATTGCTCGTGTCTAGAATCCTATGAGTGGTCGCCGGACCATCTTTCCGGCAGAAGCCCCACAAGCTCATGAGTGGGTGAACATGACTTTAACCATCTCATCTTTCGATCCAATCGTCCCTTCAGCTGGCCCGTCCAAGCGGTCAATATCTTCTTTGTCGGCGCAATTGTGAATAGTGGCACACGGGAGGCCGGCGGTAAATTGGTGAGAGTAGTCGGAGCCGAGAAGAACCCGAAGTAACCTACATGGCACTTGCATATAAGGCCCGCGACCATTGGAAGGAATGCTTATATGCATTTTTATGCGTCATCTTGTACATTTCAGGAGGCTCGAGCAACGTAAAAGAAAGGTAAGCGAAAAGCGCAAAACTCGCATGCGCCACGGAAACCGGCAAGCTAGCCGCTCTTAGCCGGGAAGCGTGAGCCACATGACGTGAGCCACAGTTCCGCTCTTTCCGCACCGCCCCGGTTCACGCCAATCACACAAGTCCATGCGCCATACAAGCTATACCAAGATGCGAAAGAGTGGCGCCCGGGTAACGGTGCGTCTGCAGATTGATGGCGCGGCTAGTCAAGCTTTGTGAAGTAGTGCATGTGGCTTACGCATGCTTGGAAAGGGATCGTGGTACATTATATATGGCGCCTACCCCCAGGTGTGGCGGTGGAACCGTTCACACGACGAGGTCAATTACGCTATCAGGATAACCAAGACTCTATTCCAACACAGAAGCCGATCGAAATCGATACAAAAGAGATGGCCAACATGTCCTTCGACGCCTACATCCAACGCGCAGACGACTACATCACCAAGCAAATCCACAAGTACGAGCAACAGAAACGAGGAAGAAGATCTCCACCCCGCGCAAACGGGTACCAGCAAATGCCTCCCCAAGGCCCACACCACAGACAGCAATCATCACAGGGTGGCTATCCCGGAAGCCCGGCCCCACAAGGCGGTCAATACGCTCAACCACCCGCCACTCCCATGGTACCACACGGATGGTCCCAAGAGTTCGATCCTCGCAGTCAAAAATGGTATTACGTCGACAGATCAACGGGGAGAAGTCAATGGAACCCACCATCCCACGCACCGCCGCGCGCATCAACGTTTCAGCCTGATGCCACAATGCCCAGTCCACATCACCTCTACACCCGAGAAGACGAGAACCGAGCACGGTCAAATTCGCACCCGCAACGCCCTACGTCTAGCCCAGGTGAGCATGGACAACATTTAAATCCTCCTCAGCATGGTGGTCATGGATCTGGCAGACTAAGTCCTTCGATGCAGCTGCCTCCGGGGTCGCACCTGGATTTGAGTACAGGGAGGGTTGTCAGTGGTATGTTTCCTGAGGTGCAGAATCAAAAAAGCTGGGCACAGTCGTTGCAGAGGATATGAGTGCTGGGGCAGGGTTCCACTTGGGCATAGAAGAGAGGGGTGATGAGTAGAGTTGAAGACATGGTACACGTTCTACGGAATAGGGAGTTGTTATTTTGGGCCTGCGGGACACCGGATGGTCCGTTTTCTGTGAATCATGCATAATGTATAGATAAACGTTTTCATTGAGATGAATACGTGATAGACCTTCAACTATAACAACTGTAAAATGCGCCTCCTGGAGAGTCGTTGGGTCACAAAATCCTTTACCAAATTGATGCCTTGAATATTATGAGGCGATGTCGGATCACAGATATCAACGATATCTCAGCCACGCGATCGGCCGCACTAATCTCGGTCACGCGAGCAGGCGCACTGATCGCGGCGTCCGAGCAGCGCTCAGACCAGACCTCCTATATCTAGCTCTTCCATAGTTCCCCTTCACACGAAAAAAATCAGAACCATCACCGAACAGAATGCATTACTAGTTATCGTTATTTCCTTTCAGCACTAGTGCTACAGCCCTACCAACACCTATATTATTATTATTATTGTTATTGTTCCATTTAGAGTCCTTTTCAGTCAGAGACTATGCAAGACTTTGGCCTAGGCCGTTCTATATAGGTGTTTTCTGTATGTGGTTTCTTTAGGGTAGTACAATTTGGGGAATGTTTTGCGTACTCCTATTCTAGAGTAGATCTAGAGTAGGCGCTAGTGCTGAAGAGCAGTGTGGTAGACAGAAAGAGATGTAGCAGCGAGCTCTTATAGTAAGAAAGTAGTTTTTTTATTAGTTTTATAGAGTAGCTCTCTCTATTGGTTTTGTCGGTATATGAGGTCGGTATAACGAGTCGGTTTGGGGGGTTCGGTAGGTAGGGCGTTCGGTGGTGTAGGCAATTGTATACAGGGATCTATTTACAATCATAGTAGATCTATACATCTACTGCCTTGTCGATAGTTTGCTCGTGAATGTGCTGGTGAACTACAGCAGGTGCTAGAGCTGTTCGGTATAGTGGGTCGGTATATCGAGTCGGTTTGGGGCGTTCGGGAGGGAGGGCGTTCGGTGGTGTAGGCATGTATATTGGATCTATTACAACAATCGTAGATTATACAACTAGTGCCTTATCGGTAGTTTGCTCGTGAGTGTGCTGGTGACAGCATGTGCTAGAGCTGTTCGGTATAGGGGGTCGGTATATCGAGTCGGTTTGGGGAGTTCGGTTATAGATGACGTCTAGATATATAGACCTATTGCTTTACAGCAATAGGACTTGTTGACACGGCAAAGGTGTCGAATACTAGCAGTCGTTGCAACGAACAAAGTGTATAGTATTTGATTAGTAGTGAGCAAGAGCTGGGTGGAGAGATCTCCATATGTACAGGTTGCGAGCTAAGCGGGAAGCTTGGTCTACCTAGTGGTCCAAGCTTCCGGCCCGGAAAAACTCGCCGGGCTGGCTGTACGCGCATGTCCCGACAGGACTATATACCTAAGGAAGAGCCGTTGCTCTGTACTAAGCCTATAGTGATTATTGCATTAGATCTGTTTTACATATAATAGTGCCTTATGGTTGTAAGCTCACTTTAAGGCACAGGATTTCAGTACTCTATGATTGGCTGATACTGGCAAGGAATATCCTAGGCTCACAGGGGTCTGACAGTGAGGGCGGTTTTGCAAAGGACTGTAGCCCCTTGCATGACCACTGCAATCGTTAAGGCCGTGAAGACGTTGTGACGGCTGTGAGGAGTTCATCAGGGATGAAGACTAGCAGAGCTGCGTATCCAGAAAATATCGCCTTTGGTGCAACCCTTTGGCCGGTGCGGCTTAGCCGTCCTCCCTGCATATGTTGGCACCATCAACGCTGGGCCATGCTCGCTCTCCTTTTAATACGGTCACCTACTGCACGTAAGCATATGCGCGGAACCTGTTCATATACTAAAGTACGTTACATACATATAAATCACTCTCGCGCATTAGTCTTCACCCCACCCCAACATAGTTGTTCTCATGCTCCTACAGACAGGTTTCGGACATTCTTGGTTTCAAGAATCTCCACCACTTTGGTTTGTCCATAGATACGTGCAATAGTAAGCGGAGACCGGCCATCCTTGTCCTCATAGCTCTGTTGCGCTCCATAATCAAGAAGTAATTTGACTACTTCTACATAACCATGAGCGGCAGGCCAGAAGAGCGGCGTGAGTTTGCTAACGCTTGCTGCATTTACATTCACAGCGTTTGTCTCTAGAAGAGCACGGACGGTGCCTGTATGACCGCGAGCGGCTGCATGCCACAGCGGAGTTACTCTTCTAGTGTCTCGTTCATCTGGAGGAACACCTTGTTGAGTGAATTTGAGGACAGCCTCTCCGTCTCCTTTCTTCGCAGCAGCGCAAAGACCTGCGATGTCAAACCAAGTTTTTTTCACGATACTAGTCTTAGCCCAGTGATCGAAAAGACGAAGAGTGCTTTCCTGACCGCTGGTCGCTGCCGACTGAATCACAGCATCCGTTATGTCGATGGCTGCTATTTGATGCAGGTATTTGACGACCCCCCCACCGTCTTCGTTCCCTGCAGCTGCAACGACCACTTCTTGCGTGATCTGGACCTCGTCTCCGCGCTTTTTGAGAAGTAGTGTCATGACTTTCGCATCAAAACTCTGCGCAATAGACACTACTATCTCTTGCGTGATCTGGACCTTGTCTCCGCGCTTGTCGAGAAGCAGTGTTATGATTTCCTTGCCGTTGTTCCCTGCAGCTGCGACGACCACTTCTTGTGTGATCTGGACCTCGTCTCCGCGCTTGTCGAGAAGCAGTGTCATGACTTCCTTGCGGTTGTTCCCTGCAGCTGCGACGACCACTTCTTGCGTGATCTGGACCTCGTCTCCGCGCTTGTTGAGAAGCAGTGTTATGATTTCCTTGCTGTTGTATTCGTTCCCTACAGCTGCGACGACCACTTCTTGCGTGATCTGGACCTCGTCTCCGCGCTTGTTGAGAAGTAGTGTCATGACTTCCTTGCCGTTGCCGTAGTTCCCTGCAGCTGCGACGACCACTTCTTGCGTGATCTGGACCTCGTCTCCGCGCTTGTCGAGAAGTAGTGTTATGATTTCCTTGCCGTTATATTCGTTCCCTGCAGCTGCGACGACCACTTCTTGCGTAATCTGGACCTCGTCTCCGCGCTTGTCGAGAAGCAGTGCTATGACTTCCTTGCCGTTGCCGTAGTTCCCTGCAACTACGACGACCACTTCTTGCGTGATCTGGACCTCGTCTCCGCGCTTGTCGAGAAGCAGTGCTATGACTTCCTTGCCGTTGCCGTAGTTCCCTACAGCTGCGACGACCACTTCTTGCGTGATCTGGACCTCGTTGCTGCGCTTGTCGAGAAGCAGTGTCATGATTTCCTTGCCGTTGCGGTAGCTCCTTGCAGCTGCGACCACCACTTCTTGCGTGGTTTCTACACGAGGCTGGTCCATCATCAGCAGTTTTGCTACGCTTGCACAACTTCCGTTCGTCGTTGCAATGTGTAGAGGGCTCCGGTTGTTCCGGTTCAGAGAATCCTTTGCTTCTGCTGAATCTTCGACTTTAGCCCCTATTAATTCCTCAAAATCGAAAGCGCACGAGACGAATATACCAATACACGTTTCTGAGTCTACCCTCGGGAATGTGTCCTCTAGTGGCATTTTCACATCCCAGTAGTCATACTCTGCTAAATGCTTCCGTAGCCGCTTGTTCCATAGCGCGATAATGGAGCCCGAGCCGCCAAAACCTGATAACATGTGTTGTAACATCTTTTTCAGCTTTCCGGAGCGTCTTTGCTCTTCTGCTGACTTACAATGCTCAGGCCAGTAGATATCCGCATATGTGCATATCTGTTCAAAGGCCTTCGGTAAAGCATTCGCAGAGTAGCCCAGCTGGAGCAGCAATTTCTCGGTAGCAATGTTGGAGCTAGCGGACAGCACAATCCAGAGACACATCTCTGCTGCTAGAGCGTTTGTCGTTGTACTACCGTATTCAGGCCTCTGCTCCAGGTATTCTCGGACGGAGAGATGTGCAAAACGAAATGTGTCTAGCTGCGGATCGAAGACGATGAAATTGTTGCAAATCTTTAACACGAGATCCTTCGACGGTACCTTCACGCTACTTCCCGACTCGGAATCTATTGAAACTGCACACAGGAGTTCTTCAGTACTCAATGTTTTCCGAGCGCACAAAAGCCAGCAAAGAGTATTCTTGAATACTGCTACCTGGACTCGACCTGGCTTCGTAGAAAGCATCTCGTAAAGTTCGTCATAGAGAGTATTCAGGTCAGGCGGAAGTCGACCGAGGCTGCTCTTGATGTCATCGTCCAGCTCAAACGAGCAGAGGTACTGCAGCTGCATGCTTGCCCAACGAAACCTACACATCAGGGTCAATATTGTCACTCTGACCGTGGTCTTCAACGTACATTCCAGCAGCACCCTCAATCACCTTGCCTACGATGAGCTTCTTCATCTCTGTCTCGGAGTCGCTGTACGATAACAGCCTTCCGTCTTGAACAAGTTCCTCTACTTGTTCGTTTACGAACCGCGCGATATCATCACAATTTCTCCGGGAATCAATCTCGAGGTTCGGATAATTTCGCAAACGCAAGACGATATCTTGGTCGTTTCGACTTGATACAAATATCTTAACGAGGCTAGACGAGTTTTGGAGGATCTTCTCCAGAGCTTTAAGCAACTCATGTCGTTTCTGGGGGTCGCATTCATCCATGGCATCAATCACAATGGTCGTTAATGGATACTGCGCGATGAGCTGTAGGACAAGATTGAGGGTTTCGTCCATCTGGAGCGGCCCAGACGCAAACCCTTCCGCTTCCTTTTCTCTGTAGAGGCTGACGCTAGGTTCAAGTAGAGGCTTTCCAGGCTCAAGGCACGATAGCTGTCTCGCAAGACTGGCAAGTATTGCTTGCGGTTCAGAACGCGTAAGCTCTGCTGGGTTCCGCGAGCAGTAGAAGAAGACCGGCTGTGGGCTATCGCCGGCTTTGTAACGCGCCACAGCCTCCTCTATCACCACCGAGCTGAGCATCTCAGAAACTATTAGATTGGAACTAGGTATACAATACACTTACACAAGTTTGCTTTTGCCAGATCCAGGAATGCCATGGAGCCAGAGGATTGAGGATGCGCTGTCGTCTTTCCATCTCTTGAAGATAGGGTCAGCCAGAAGCCACTGCCCAGTTCCCGTTAGAACACCCTGCATGTTCTGCTTGTGATGCTGTATATACGGCTCAGGTGAGAGCCACTGAACGATTCTCGTTCGCTTGGACGCTTCAGACAGTCAGTCATGGTCTAATTAGCTCGTAGGTCTCCTTACCTTGAAGATCATCATGGATGTTGTTCAGACCGTCATCCATTCTGCGCAAAGGCATGTCAATACGTGCTAGAATGCCTATTAACTTTGCATAGTTCTCAGTGTTGTCTGCAAAAGACGTTAGTGCTGTTAGAGGCTGACTAAGTGCTGATACGGACCCATTTTATCGACCAAAGCCATGCATCGATCCACGTCCTTCTCTGCTACCTGTATCTCGTTCAGACCCAAACCAAGATCCGACTCGGTGAGGAATGCACTCTTCGCTATACGCTCTGGCGGAGTGTTAATTAATGTTTCCGTCATAGAAACTATATACGTACTTGCGGTTCCCTGTTCGAGATACTGCTTTGCCGTAGACAGGAAGACTAAAGTGCGTGCGTATAGCTTCACCACAGCCAATTCCAGCGCTTTGGCTTCCTTTGATGTGCCCTGAAGATACAGTTGTTTAATAAGCGCGAAGCGACAAATCAGCTCGGCTACCCGAGCAAGGTCTTCCACTACCGACCCATATTTGGCGATGTCGTTGACCGCAACCTGCAGATAGGTCAGCAGTCTCTTTCCTGAGTTCTATGGTGCAACTGACTTGCAAGAGAAAACGGATCCCTGCCCAAGGAAGCGAAGCATGTCCTGGGTCATACTGAACAGCAGCATCGCCAACCTGCTTAAACGTATCAACCCACCGAATGATCTTTCCGAGCACGTCCCTAACTATGACCACCTCTCCGTTCTTGCGAGCGTATTTCCATCGAGACTCTACAGATCTTTGTCTCGAGTGTTCGGCAGTAGCGTGCAGTTCGGCGAGGATGTTGAGCTTATCGGGGCGGTTGAAGTTTATGTTTCGCTTAACATTGTCGGGTAGCTCTGTTGCTGCGTAGGCCCAAAGATTGTTGCTAGAGCAGCAAGGTTTAGCAGTCACTCTAGGGCGTGTTGAACCGACAACCTCACGTTCGTGGCACGGTAGGCTGAGTCATTGTTCGAGCAGCCAGTATAGACGGTAAAGTGCTAAGTTCTGAATGGTCTGTTTTTTGCATATATATAAAGCGGAACAGTGAACAGGGCTAATAGAACAGAGGGGCGTTTTCTGGCGTCCGAAGTCTGGGGAAGGATTCGTGGACAGCAGTCACCACGGAAATAGTTAAGATACAGCCGTTAGAGACGATCTGAAAGGCCAGAGAGGGTGACCTGGCGTACGAAGAGCGGCATAAAGGAGAGTTCGACTGGGGCTGTGCAGGATAGCTACGAGGCTGAGCGGCTGAGAAGTGCTACAGCCCCGCAGTCACCAGCCACCCAGCGAGGCAGCCTAAGTACTAGATCCGTTTTACATACAACCGTAGGCTGTGATCGTGAGCTAGCCGTCTAGGGACTAGCGCATATCAGATTCTCATGATTGGCGGAGCTTAGCAAGGGACCCCAGATCGACAAGGGTCTTTTCAAATCGTCGCTTGCACAAAGGGTGAGGGCGGTTTTGCAACTTACTGTAGTATTCAGAGCAGAATTTGCAAGAGAAGCCGAATGCCTTCTTGCTCAGACGGAGAAGCGGGAAGATATCAACCGGTGCTATGTCCTCGTCCAAGCCAACTATCAAGGTACCTCGAGTACTAGCATCCGCATTCCGATGGAAAGTGTCGAGGAATGAATGCAGGTCATAGAGTTTGACTGTGATCTTGGAGTCTGACATGTAGACCGGGTAAAACTCGCGTCGTAGTTGTCGAGATGTAAGAGCTAGACCAAAGAATTGGTATTGCTTCTCCGGGGTCTCTTTCACACGGTCGAGGTCTTGCTCTTCTGAGCCGACATGGTGGATAAGTGTTGTAGGTGTGGTGCAATGGGAATACACTTGGTTGCGGATTTCAGCCGGGAGATCCATGAATCGGAAAGGCGAGGACGATGGCTTGCACTCCAATGTTGATGATGCAGGCGACATTCTAAAGCTGGCTGAGATCGTCTTGTAACTGAAGCTGACCTGGCAATCAATATACAACTCAATATTGCGACTATAAGCTTCAACTTACAGCTTGCGCGCTTGAGACAACACTCTGAATTTCAGAATCATGATTCAGAGTTGCGGGTTGGGTTGTGGGTCAGGTTGCAGGTGAGGTTGCGGGTTAAGTTGCTAATTAAGTGGCTGGTCCAAGCGCGCTAGCATTGTTTGGGAACACAAGTTGCGTAAAAGCTGAGAATTGTATATAGAATTTACTGTGTGCACTAAAGGATTCCTTGATATGGGTTTCTGCTAGCGCTCTCTGCACGTGTTCTTTCACAATGCTCAAGCCCCAAGCATGTCAATCGCATCGAAGCTCACTCCGGGACTAAGATAACCTGTTGAAGTCTTCCCAGAAATGACCGAAATCTTCAGTATCTGATACTCTCTCGTGCTCTGCACCCAAGCACTTGCTGGGATATTGTACTCGTAGATGTAGTTGTTGCCTCGGTAAGTTCCCACGGTCAAACTCCTGGTATCGCCCTGGCCCTTGTCGCCCTGCAAAGGAGCGCTCCAGCTGCCTACAGAGATACTTGGTCGTCCTCCGGCCATTCCCTCAGTGACGCCGATCCTGATCTTAGCACCCTTGGCTAGCTGTGCATCGGTGAGACGGAAGTAGACAAGGTGGTCGTTATTGATGTCCTTCCACATATAGCCGGGGAATCCAGATGCAGTGCTTGTGCCGATGATATAGTTTCCAGCGTCCCATTTAGCAAGGCGTGAGTCGGATGGATGCATGTAAGTCGGCTTCATAGGCGTGTCTCCGAAGTTCAAAAAGCCCTTGGGGGTTCCATCCCAGTCACCAATACGCCAGATGACAGCGGTGTCGGCGGGATCGCTGCATGTAATGGTGTTTCGCGTCGCTGTTCCGCCCGCAGTGATAGTAACTGTGCTAGTATGAACTTCAAGTTCCTACACGATGGAATTAGCACGTTTTACAAAGCACTCCGACGTATGTGTTGACTTACGCCTTTGTACACAGTCAAGGTGTAGTCTCCTGGTAGAACTTTGTCGATTCTCCAGGCACCAGTCGCTATGGTCCAGTACTGCGCCTGGGCACTCTTCAAACCAACGACATACTGGAATCCGCTCTTCATGTTAGCAAGGCCGACACCCGCTACAGCACCACGGCGGCTAGCTGGTACCCAACCATCAATTTCGAGAGAGTCGAGCCACCCCCAGTCAGCCTTCCGTGCGAAAAGGTTGTTGTTGGGCGCAGCGCCGTTGTCGGTGAAATGAAGCACAGAGGGGCCTTGAAGTCCGAGTCGCATAATATCAGTGTGACCTGAGTTACGTTAGTAACATGCATGGATTTTATGTGAAGAAAAACGTACCCATGTTGTAATGGTAGATATCGTATAGATCTGGGCCGCCACTTCCACCACGTCTGATCAAGCTCCTGAAAAAAGGTCCGCCTGAAGCCTTCTCATGGTCGGACCGGATTAGATACATGCCAACATTCGCGTTGGTGTAGCCGACATAGTCGTAGTCGATGGTCCGACCGTACTTCTTGCCAGAGTAGTGCTTGGACCAAGTTTGCCCATTGAGACCATTGATATCACCTGATTCAATAGCCGCTGCGCCATCAGGGACCCAGTCGGTGTCTTCGTTGACGTTGTTTTTGAAGATGCCGCCAGGTATACGAAGAATGTATCGAGACACAGTGATGCTGGAGTCCTTCTTGTTCATGAAGATGTACACGTTCGGGTTGCCATAGCGGAAGATAAGCGTATGTACGAGTGTTCCCACCTTCATGGTGACTTTGATGATGTTGGCCGGAGAAGTGTACTGCTTGATGGTAACAGTGCCTGGTGCAAGTCCAGATTCGACGTGCGAGTTCTTGCCATTCTGACCGTTGTACTCTACGCCGCGGTACTTGATGGATGTCATATCCGCGTTGGTCTTGCTGACCTTGACAACAAGATTTGCGCCTGTATCGATGACATAATTCTTGCCGTCGTCAGTGTAGCCCCAAGCTGCGAAGACGGCAGCCGGGGCTAGGAGAAAAGCCGTGAAAGTCGCGAGAAATCGCATCTTAAGCCAGCGACTGCCTGTGACGGCTAGGAAAGACTGGAGGGAAGGTTGAGCAGACAAAGTCCCAATAGCCCTGTGATGTGAATGCAGAGGCGGGATCCATCCTACTTTATGGGCGGTAGTCGAATGCTCCGAGTGTCCTGCGCTGGTACACCTGCATTGATACTAGCACACCACCATGATACCTTCTGACTTCCGGACATTTAATGAAGTGTCCGCTTGGCTATACTAAAGTCGAGCGAACTGCGCACTTAGATTGCCTGACTATGCCGTATATAGTAGGACGTAAATCGCCATGTGCGTTGGTCCCTATCCCCGACGCCCTTATCCAGGAACAGGGCGCTTGCCGGCCTCAATAGTTCTGATGTGTATGCAAGAGTCATGTTATTGGCGGAAAGATCACATCTGTTTTGAAACAAGCATGTGGAAATTGTGGAGGTTGCGAAGAGTTCCGGGCAAGTACCGAGGATGCATCCCAACTTCAATTATCGATACGGCGGAAACGATACGCATGGGGGAGGAGCGAAGACTCAAATCCGGGCTGTATGTAAAGTCGTATAAAATAATGAACGAACGTGAAGATGCATGAGCACGGATGAATACAGACCGTCGGTTCTGCGATACCCCGCAATTCCACCGGCGAGGCAGCTACCGTAGCCAAGCGGGTCTAACCCTTTGATAAACACAGGTGGAAACCGTGATGCCCCATTCAAGCATCGAACGTTCGCGCATCCTAATACATGCCCACGTGCTTTGTAGTAATAAACACAAGGCAGGCTGGTATTGCCTCCACTACAAGTACTACTCCTATCACGTGAACACAGTTCAAGCTGAAACAGCCGCAGCAGTGAAGGTACATATAAGTGACGTCTATACAGCTCGCCCTTGCTCAAGTCGCGGAAACTTTATAATGAAATAAAAGGAGACGAAATCTATATGTGATGTTAACGCTAAGTAGCAGATTTTCACAAGGCAATATTGAAAGGCTGGTACACATCTTGGCGTACCAAACTGAAGCACCGTCGATTCCGTAATCTTGACAAGAGCTCTATCGAGCTTTTCCACACTTGCGTATGCGCAGTAGTAGTACGTCGCATTGTGTGGCTGATACCGCCCTTATCCGGGGCTCATCAGCTCTCGAAAGCACATTGTGGACACGCACTACATGAGATGATGGCATTTTTACAGACATGACAGTCTCAACTTCCGTACAGCTTCATTCATTCGCCGCGCAAACCGCGTGACCAAGTATTTATATGTACCGCTATTTGTATCTACGACATACGTAACATAATATACAGTATATCCCTCGCGATGCTTTTCCCTAATCGCCAACGGCGCAATAATATATATGTTCCAAACATTCAGGCGCGGATGCACCAGGTAGCGAGACGACGAAGGCAATGAGAATCCTGAAAAACTGACAGAATCCCATACCCGGATCCGCACCGAGCGCCGCGCTTCGTTCGTACAACAAACAAAAAAAGGTGACATCAGCCAGTGATGTTACCCAGAATCTTCGCACCGTCATACATGCTTGTACATGGTCGGACTCTTCGGCGGAGTGAGCATACTTCCAGAGTCCACTCTCCGCCTCGATGTCTCGCTCGGGGCAGGCATATTGTCATATTCGTACCAGACGCCTTTGACTCTGCGGTTTAGCTTTCTCGGCCCAGGTCTGATGGGACTACCAACAGGACCGGAGGAGGTAGTGCATAGCGAGTTGCTACTTGCGGTATCTGATATGGCATTGGAAGTGAACTGTGAGACGCAAATGCTGATATTCTCGATGCTGTGCAACAAGCCTTGGCATGTCTGCGAGAGTTCGGCTTGGTTCCTTGAGAGAGTCTGCAGCTGGGCTACCGTGGTCTGGAGGATGTCTTGGGTCTGCTGTTGCGACTTGCATGTTTGTTCCTGAGCTTGTCGGCTCTGTTCTTGCGACTGGAATGATTTGTTTGAGAGGGCAATGTAGTGCGACGCGTTCTGGTCGACCAACGCTTGGAGCTTGATCTGAGATTCTGAAATGGCCTTGATCTGGATACTGTTTGACTCGTTGATTTCCTGCATTGCCTGAAGGCCAGTAGACTGCGCGACTGAAAGCGCACGAACGTGCTCGGCATTGCTCTCTACTGTTTGTGCCAGCCTGGCCAGACTCTCAGCTAGACTATCTAGAGCTGGTGTGTTCGCCTTCTCTTCAGCTGGCTGTGGTGGCGCAATAGCAGGGATGCCAGTAGGATGTTGCAACGGCAGAACGATGGGAGGACATGTTGGACTGTCTTGTGATGTATAGAACCACTTGTCGCGGAGATGAAAGAACTTGGCGTCGTCTTGTATGAGCTCCATGTCCTCACTCTTTACAACAAAGAACTGTGGACTGGGCCGGGATGACGACGTGTATTCAGTCTGGACGAGCGCCCACCATTGCGAGCAGACAGCGGCCGAGGCGAAGGTGAGGATATAAGGGGGCGACGAAGGGTAATCGCTCTGCAGCAAATGTTAGTATGCCGTTGTTGTCCGAACTGTCGCATATGGCAGGTGCCATTGAGATGGCGTACTCTGAGCGCGTAGGCATAGAACAGACTCTCGCCGTCTTCCATATCTGGTCTTTTTCGTTCTACAAATCGACTCGAACTTGTCCGGCGTGGAGAAAGCGAACCCGTCGCCAACGGGCTATCAATGTTCATCATCAAGCCAGCGGCAAGCGAGATGCTAGGCCTCGTGCGCCCATGCGTAGCTCTTCGCTCTGGTGACGTCTGGCGCCGACTATGAATACGCTTCTCCATCGATCGTGACGATTCGAAGAGTGACGTCGATGATTCCATCAATGCCGTGAAATCGGGCATGCTCTGTGGTCGCGACATATCTGCAGCTGGATCCGAGGAGGAATCTGGGTCAGAATTGGCGTGGCAGCAAAAAGTGTCGTCGAAGTTGTTAGCTAGGTGACACGTGAACGACATAAGGGAAAAGGCACAAGACGCCGCGATTGCATCCAAAATATCAGTCGAATCAATCAGCGACCAGCAAGAGGGGCTAGAGCTCTGGTCCTGTGTGAGGTTTGCTGCAACTGGGCCGGATCCATGTCGATGACCTCACAGTGCCACAAACTGCTGGGATACGCGTGTGCCATCAAAGCATCAGTTCAAGGGACAAGCGGCACGTCTTGCATGTCAGATGTCTCAGCGAGCAGTAGCTCACGGCAAAAGCATCGCATAGTGCGAGCACGTCCGGCCTTTCTCAGCTCAAGCCGACGCGCCCGTCGTTGCCATCAAACGGTGCCTGCCTCGTTAGCGGATGCAGGGTAAAATTCGCATCGAGCAACCGCCTTCAGGGGCATAAAGGAGGTACAAGATTGTTGTTTGGGGTTTGCGGGTTGTGGGAACGAGACGCGTTGATGCAGGTGCGTGCAGCGATAGGTGCATGATGAAAAGTGGCGTGGAGCGTCATGTTTCTAACTTTGGCACTTCTGTCGTAAGCGAGTGTGACGTAAATACACCTGTACTGCGACAGACAGACAGCACGACATGCATACATGTACATGTACACCGATCATGTGTACTCTGCATTCACGAGAATCGAAGAAGAGTTGAACTTCGGTATCTACTCGGTCCCGTCAACGTCGCGTGCTTCTCTCGTGCTCATCACATGCCGCAA